GGGTGACTGCAATGAGAACGCCGTGCTCGGTTAGCAAGTGTCGATCTTTGTTACAGGATGGAACGTTTTCAGATAATCGGTACTGTCGTTAAAATAGGAGGGAAGTTTCTAAATCACAATGTTGTCAGATGTGGAGGGACTATGGGCTAATTGTGTGGGTGTGTTCGACTGGCTTCATCCATCTAGTTTGCATATTCGTAACTTTTTTCTTAGAAGGGCTGCGCTTTTGCGATAACTGGGGTTTAAGAGATCGTGGTTTTCAATTCCATAATGAAATGTTTCCCATTTGATGAATGAGGCATTCAATAATGAAGTGTTGCTGATAAAAATGTTTCTAGGAAGTCAATAAGAAATTCCTTTAAATCTAAGGCACATGTTTTGCGTGTTGCCGCGTTTCAAAACTGCTCGCTTTTTTGTATATAATTTGTCGATGCTAGTTTTACTTGAAAATGTTCTCCGTCTAGGTTTCACTGTTTATGAACTTTAACGTTTATAGGGTGGCCAAACGTCAAAGGGAGATTCTTTGGATTGTGTTAAAAATACATTATATATATACTGACTTCGAAGTTGAGTCATTTATTTTAACAGTGAGTAGATCTGATCAAAAGAAATGTTTTTTCCTTTACCATTTTTCTGGTAAAATTAAAGTAACAAATTTATAGCCCTTTGGAAGTTTGAGTACCGCCCTGTCTCAATAATAATATTATGTGCTCGTGTTTGGCAACAACGGATATAATCCGCCTTATCGGTTCATCGCATTGGGAACAAAAAAGCGAAAGAATTTGAAACGCTTATCACGATGTTTTTACTACAATTTTATTCAGTTGTATTCAGTCAATGTGTCAGTCGGTAACGCGTGAGTGAATAGTGGTGTCTGTTGCGTGGCTCAAACGAAATCAAAAATGGCACATGTTTACGAAAATGCTGAACTTGTGGACATGATTCTTATTTACGCGGCATCACGGATTTATGCGGATCGGTTTCCCAATCGAGTGCAACCAACCCCTCGTGCCTTTGTTAATGTAGTACAAAGGGCTCGTGAATCAGGTGACTTAAGACCTCACAGGGGAGGGCATGCCGGTGCTCCAAGACCGCACGATCAAATACAGGTCCGCACTGAAATACTTGTCGGGAGGATACTTTATAAAACAAGGTAACATTTTTTTTTAATTTTTTTTTATTTTTACACACATATTTTGGTTTATCGTCCTTCTACAATCATTATCTGAAAATTAATGACTCAACTTCAAAGTCACCCTATATAAACATGAGACAAAACTGTTTAATTTTCCAGGTATGCTGTCTCAACTTGTTTTGAATGTTTTTTTTTTTCGAAACGTACACGTATCGCGAAAAATTTAACCGGCCTCTCAAGAAAAATGCTTTATTAGAACCACGAATTATAATTGTCATCTAGATTGCAGAATTTAAATCTGTTAAATTTTTGAGTTTTTTCACTTGTTCGACTTAATCTAATTTTTCGACGATAAACTTATTAGTCCTCAATAAATTTTAACAAAATGGGCTAATAGGTTTTTATTTATTTTTAAATTTTCAAATAAAGTTTAAGACCTATTTTGAAAATGAATTACTACCAAACTGTTTGTATGCAATGTTGTCCTTAGGATCGCCCAAGGTATTCTCATAGTACAACGATGAAAGATGTTTTAGTGTCCCTAGAAAAAGTGGCAATATTAATGTGCTATTTATTTTGAAATGCCACTACAAATAAAGTCAGTAAAAAATTAAAATGATTTTGGGAAAATATAGTTTTTTCCGTTTCTCTCTTGGATTTGAAAACTTTCTAAGTGGCGTTTTCTAAGTTACCTGAATATGCAACTTTTCCCCCATTTAAGAGACTTCGCATCTCGGTTTCCGAAATGGTGCCCCATATCGGCAAAGCACACTTGATTCTGACGGATCCATCAATGCCAAGTGGATAGAGCCATATTTTGTTTTGGTTTTTTGTACGCTACAGATTCATTTTGTTCTTGCTAAAAGCTCTTTTATTTAGAACAGTTCATTTGCATACAAAAAACAAAACGCTACAAACAAGTTTTTTATAGCCAACGTTGCAGACTAACACAAAAATGGCACTTGCTGATCAGCTGTTCACCTCAGTAGACGTCAAAGCGTGATGGATACTCGTGAAATAAGGTATATACGCACTCAAAAATGTGTTGAGGTTTTTAGGTTATATTTGATGGTTATCTTCATGTCTGGTTGTGCTATGAACATATATAATTGATAACAGTGATTCTATAGAACCTACAACTGTAATCTTTGAGGCATTTTTTGATAGGTGATAAGGCATGCTTTTTAACTTTTTGTATTTGTTTATATTCGTATATGCGATTTCAATATTTCTACAAAAGTAAACTAGAGTTTATGGAATAGAGAGAAGTACGTTTTTGTATTATTCCGTACATCACAGTTCTTTTGGAGAAGTTTTCAAGTCGCGATTAATTTTCAACAAAGAGAAAGGGTACGTTATTGTTTATTACATTTCAACAGTTTTTTTAGACATCACTAACACTATTTATGTGAAATCTGTGCAGGACTTTTCAGAGCGTTCGACTTACATATAATTGAACAATCATTTTTAAAATCATTCTAACAGATTTGGATGAAGATGAGGAATTCCACCACGAGGATGAAGATGACGCCATTGATATTGATGCTATAGAAGCTGATGGTTTGCTAGACATATTCCAGAGTGAAGGCCAGAACAATGATGTTGACAACTCTTTGTTGCTCGATGAGAGTGACAACTTCTTTCCAGGATCTGACGAATTGTCCGACAGTTGTACGTAGTTCCTAAATTATTGGGGAAACTGTGAACGTTTATGTAAAGACAGTCAAAATGTTTGTTGTACTAGATGTTATCTAGTTTGGGTTATGAATTAGCAACATTATTTTAACAATTTGGAAAATTAATTATGACATTCAAGGTGTCTTGAAAGTTGGGACATTCATTTTCAGGATCGTCCACCCTTGAAACAGTATCGAAAGATTAAAAAAATAAATGAAAAAGTACTCACTATTCATTTGCAGAGAAATTTCAAGTACAGTTCTGTCCCTTGAATACTGTTTGAAGTTAGCTAGACTCAGAAACACATGTGTGTGCATAGCCAAACATCAAGGCAGGATTTTACAATCCACGAATGAATGCAGCAGCTTGCCCAATCCCCATACGTTGTTCGTCAACCTTGTTCCCATCAGTTTTGTACACGGCGTTTCATTTCGCCCCAAAGAAAAAAATCACAAGGTGTTAAATTTGGAGACATGTCTCGACACTTCCGTGGTGCTTGTTCAAGGATTTTCTTCTACGAGGTTCAATACTTCTTCCTCAGTTAGTACCATTCGGGGTTGTCTAGACAAATAAATCAATGTGGCCTTGGATCATTAAGTCTGGGAAAGCGATCTTTACACACTCGGGAAGCCTCGGTAGCATTTTGAAGATATCACCCTAAATTACAGTCATAGCGAAAGTTCAATATTGCTGTACGAGTCTGTCATTTTTTTTTTTCGAACCGATTGATAAATAAATGTTTTGTTTAGCTTTGTTTGATTTTGCGGAGCCTATTATTTCGGTTATCTTGATATATATGCTACTAGAAAGAAACGCGTATTTTTTCAAGATCTATACGCCGTGTAAAAGAAAGTCCCAACTTTGCGGACACCCTCTAACTAGGATGATTCGAACACAGTGGCAATATTTCTGGAGCAGAAAGCACATCCAAAAATAATAAATTTTCTTTAACACATTGACTGCGAACTGGGATGAGGATACCCACCTCAGAAACTGGAATACTTTTTTTGGAAGACGGCAGAGAGCGTCGAAAGACGCCGTTCGCCTCCCACCACAGGAGCGGAGGGCGTCTTTTGACGCTGTTCGCACTGAACGTGTTAAAATGTTTCCATATCACAATGATGCGCCACTGATGAGTCCGATTAAGGACAAAATGTGAATATTCATTTTTTGGTCATACTTCACAACTTTAACGTATTTTCAAAACAGCACTGATTTGATTTTTTATACGGATTCTGCTTCAAATATTCCAACCAATTTTTTTATATTCTAATGGTCTGGCACACATTCCTCAGAGACAGCTCATGTAAAATCAAATACAAGTACAGTATTTTTGTTTTTCCCGTCTGTACTACTTTTGAATGTTTAAATTTTCCATTGTGGAAGACTTCGGGTTTTGCGGATATCCGTCTGTCCCTCAATATTTTCCCAGGTATCTACGTAATTCAATAATAGAGACAGTATTTGTCATTAAAAGGTACGTATGCAATATTTAACAGGCGAAATATAAACTAATCAACAAAGTCAAATAATTTGAGGGGACCTGGGTTGGCCGGGTGGGTCAGAGCGTTATGCTACTGATCAGCCGGCCGGCTAGGCCGCGAGTTCTAGTCTCGCCTTCGGAAATAACTATCCGAAATGTTGGGTGTTGTGGCATCCTGTGTTTGTCCAGATTAGAATATATATATATATATATATATATATATATATTGGATCGGGCTAATTGGACATTTGTCCTAGTGCCAAAAAAATCAAATAATTTGAGGATTTCTATTTTATATTTATCTTGTAGTTTTATTTGATTTGAACCGAATTCCCTGAATGTTACACTTATTCTGTAAAATTGACGCACTTAAGATAACATATGACAGTGATTCTGTAGAACCTAACCATATTTTTGTTTTGGGTTACAGTTTCAAAATCTCTACAAACTTGAAGCGACATGGTTATCTATTCCATAATAGATATTATAAAGTCTTGCAACGTTTTTAAAACAAATATTCTCGCTTTTTTTTGTAGAGATTTTGAAATCTGAATCAATTTTTGTATTGGAGTGGGAAGTTGGGATATTTTTTTCTATAAGCACAGATGAATAGCAACTAATATGGAATTCGTGTTTTTCTGAACTCGGTTCATGGTGTAGTATGTAATTGATTGAGAAATGGTATTAACAGCATTATTATTTTAGCAGATGACGAGGATATAGATGGCGTGCCAGTAGACCCTTCGATTTATCGTGTACCACTAGAAACCTCAGAAGCTTCGAATGACAGATCAGAAGGCAATACTCAGAACGATGACATCGTCTTGTCGCCGCTCCAGATGAGATTTGATCGAGGTTCAAACGAAAATTCCCAAAGCAGCATGTCCGAAGTCACCCACAACGCTGCCGTCCAAACTTCAGAGTCGTCTGAAAATGTTCAAAGAACCGAGGAGAATAGTAGACCAGATTCGGAGATTAGCAGGGATAGTGATTCTTCGAATCCGTTTGAGATGACCTTGCCAGCGTACGTGAGGTGATTCGAGGCAGAAACACATTATCGTCACATCACGTGAGCTCGTGAGCTGTCAAAATCTATATTGATGAATTAACAGAATCAGCCGGGAATAACTACGAGTATATTTATACATATACCGCGTAACCAACAGTGGTTCAAACCGCGTAACTGCCAATAAAACACAATCAACAGCGACTGGCTTCTCGTGAGGTCAGGTGAGCATGTCGTTCAATTGAAACGCTTCAAACGACACAAGACAAACATGGAGTTTGTTCACTCGCCTACAAAAATGATTGTTACTAAATTACGCGGATTCAACCTCTGTTTGATAAGCGGTATTGCAGTATCACCGACGATATAGCACCCAAAAATATGCCACAAAATCCTATAAAAATGTCCCCACGGAGATCCATACATATACTAACACAAATTGAAGGTTAGGCGAAAAGCGTGAGTACATTTCAGGATCATGAAATTCGGAAAAATATGTGTATTTATATGTATACATGTAGCACTGTCGATGTCGACATCGCCGCAGTACACCAGTTGGAGTTAGTGACCTATTGACTTGCCAAAGTCGGTAGTGGGCTCCACGACGATACAGCATCGCAACGCCAGCGATTGCAAGTTATTTTAAATTGTTATTATACATCGGAGTTTCATTCAATTTTCCCGATTTTACCGGGATAGACCGTCTTGGCTGGCATTTGCAATCCCCAATTTACAACCTCCACAATTTTTTTTTAATGATCAGGAGCCTCTGAAACGTCAAAAAACAATGTTTGAGTGATGTTTGGTTTTTCCTTCTCGCCCCCCACTCCGCCGCCATTGGACCGAGTTTCAAAAACTACAAGGCAAAGTAGTAAATCTAAAAGTTTCATCGAAATCCAACAGGTACGTCCCGAGTTATAGAGGGGTCAAGGACTAGCGGACAGACACACCGAGCGACGGAAATAAGTGCTATGATTTTTCGTGATGTACTTGTCATAAAACATCCGAAAAACATATCTCATTTTCGAAATTTTTCGCGATTTCAATACTCCCTAGCCCAGTGGCGTAGAGAATGAAAAAAATATGTTCCTGTTTGAAATCAATAAAATTAGCCTTTTTTGTGGAAAACAGCCTCGCTTCAATACTGCTCCTCTCAATGTACACTGCAACCACTCTCCAAAAATGCTGACTTGAATCTAAAACGTAATCAAGTATCTGGAAATTTATATTCTAGGGTTTTTCTTGACGCTAATTATTTATGAAGCTGTTATCATAATTACGTTAAACCTCGGGAGTTTATGTGATCTGACAATAATGTGTTCCTGCCTTCATAGTCCAAGCGACATCTATATTGGAAATGATTTTTCTACCAACAACACCCATCCATGCTGCTATTTTTTTTATACTTCATACGTGGCGTCAAGTAGGCTACCATGTACTTCTCATGAAATTTTCTCATCACTTTGTAAAAATTATTTTTGGTTTATGAAAATTTGAGGTCTCGCATATTTTCAAAACTAACACCAAATAGGATTGAAATTCAATAAGTTGGCTAAAGCAATTATTATTATATTATATTATTATCAAACAGAGACTGATAACTACTTATATGGGCCAATAGATTCATTTGACTGGCGTGATTCCATTAACTCTGCTATTTATAGTTAACTTTCAACCAAGGTGAATTTGTACGGAACATACTTTATGAACTGATGTCAGCACTGTGTTCAGTCGACCTACTTGACGCCATTTTTTAACGTTTACAATTTCCAGGTCCACTAGGCCAGTGATGTTGCCTAGAGATTTGCTGTCACAGCCTCCCAATGATAGCATGCTACTTACTGAAGAAGAGACTGACACTCTGACGTCAAGACTACGCGAACAACTCAGAGACAGTTTACATAATCTTGAACAACCAGGTAGCATCACGTTAAGAGCCTTCCTGGATGACGCTGTGAATTCACGGCTGCTACCACCTCAATCAGAAATGGATGCTTTGGTTATTCGTATGGCTGGTGAAGCAACAGCTAACTTGGAAGAAGCTGTGCAGAATAGCCTAGATGAGGTAAAGAATTGACTTACGTTTATACAGAGTTTTCCAGTAAAGACAAAATGGAATAAAAGTCATTTATCATTTTTGTTTCCATAAATGCAATTTTTCAGATGTTGCAGAGCAGCCTTGCTGAAGCCTTGACGCATACTCTCAACGAAGCTATTCAGAATAACTTTGGAGACTCCAGCCTGAATAATTTCGAGACAGCTTCACACAGACAGGAACCAATCCAAAATCCCAACATTGTGGATGAAGCTTCGACCAGCACAACTGCTAACCAGGGCAGCGCTGCTGCAGACGCAACATCTGCAGCTTCTGATGCAAATGCTCCAGGTGAATCTGGTGAAGGAGACCACTCATCTGCTGCACCACAAGCTCCAGGTGGAGCAGCTGCTAATGATAATGGTAACCCACACGATGAAGGTGCTGCAGGTCAGTATTGGAATTTCTTGCAGAGTATTGTTTAGCTTTTATATTGATGATATTGAATTTGGAGCTCCCTAATACCAAGTGTATCAAACCTGGGTAAGGTGCCGTTTTTCGCCGTACAATTCGTTCATTTCCTATCCATGTACAGTTCAAATCTTTGTACCAATATAGTTATTGTATGCATGAGATGTAACGGTATTTGACAAACGCTCGACTTTTTTCTTCCAATATACTTGTCCAAGTTCAACTCAAATCGTTTTGAGTATGGTTGTTTGAATTTAAATTTTCGAAAAAGCATTTCGTATACGAATTTAAACATAATAAGTAATCAGTGTTGTTTCATCTTTCAACTTTTGCATTGTATTAGAGGAAAGGTTCTACACATTTTGATAGGGGCGTCAGTACTGTAAAACAATCAGCACTTTATTATAGAAATCCAATAGCTAGGCTTAACAACTTGCATAGCTTTCCTTCAAAATTAAAATGTTCTACAATTACTCCTGTTCCAAAAGTGCAAAATTGTGAGTTATATACAAACATGTGGCCAATTAATGTACTGCCAGATGTCGAGAAGCTCTTGGAAGGAATCATATATGAACAAGTCATTGAATTTATTGAAGAAAATAAGATATTGACAAAATTTCAAGCAGGATTCAGAAAAAAGTGTTCTACTGAAACAGCAATTCAAATGGTAGTAGAAGAATGGAGGCGAAATATGGAAGAAAAAAGTTTACAGTAACATTGTTCTTAGATTTCAAGAGAGCATTTGAGACTATTGACAGGGAGAAATTGTTTTATATATATATATACATTGTTGTATATACTGGGTAGTCCATTTAATTTTTTTTAAAAAATGCTATAAAAAAACTACTAAATATTTTTCCAAATTTTTTTTGTTATTTGAAAGTACAATCCTTCCTATTAAGTATGGAATACAACTTCATTTAAATGACTGCCGCGGCTGGCTTTGCAGTAGCCCATACGGTCAGCCCAATTTTTGACCACATTTTCAATCGTATGTGGCTGTATTTCAGCAATGGCAGCGCGTATGTTCTCTTTTATTTCGCCAATTGTTGCTGGTTTGTTGGCATAACACTGGTCTTTAATGGCACCCCATAAATAATAATCTAATGGGGTCAAATCACAGCTCCGAGGCGGCCAACCATCAGAATTTCGGCTGATAATGCGGTCACCGAAAACACTTCGCAGAAGAGCAATCGTAGCGTTTGCTGTGTGACACGGAACACCGTCTTGTTGAAACCAGATGTTACCGACATCAATATCTTGAATTTGTGGAAAGAAAAATTCATTTATCATGGCACGGTAACGCTCACCATTCACAGTAACTGCTGCTCCGGCTTCATTTTCAAAGAAAAATGGGCCAATGATGCCACCAGCCCAAAATCCGCACCAAACAGTCACTCGTTCTGGATGCATTGGCTTTTCTTCGATTGCGTGTGGGTTCTCTGAACCCCAAATGCGGCAGTTTTGCTTATTAACATAGCCGCCAAGATGAAAATGCGCTTCATCTGAAAAGATGATTATTCGACAAAAATCAACATCTTCATCAAGTTGATTGCAGGCCCATGAAGCGAAACGAAAACGCATTGGATGGTCAGTTGGCTTCAATTGCTGAACCAATTGAACTTTGTACGCCTTCATACCAAGGTCTTTATGCAAAATTCGACCTAATGATGTGCGTGAAATGTTCAATTGTTGAGAACGTTGGCGCGTTGATGTGCTTGGAGACTCTGCCACACTCTCAGCTACAGCATCGATATTCTCGGGTGTACGCACCGTTTTCGGTCTTTCGCGTGTTGGTTTGTCAATAAGAAGACCAGTTTCACGAACTTTTTGCACAAAATACCTCACATGCGGTGCTGACGGTGCTTCATTTCTTCCCATTTTTGCACGTAATTTTCGGACACAATCTGCAACATTACCACCACTTTCGAAATATTGTTTTAATATTCCCCAGCGTTGTTCAAGCGAATTCACAACCATTTTCGTTAATCGGAATGATATGACTGATGTTCTGTCAAATCAGATGCGAAATAAGTCTTGACATATCCCAAAAAACCAGTAACTCAAAAAAAACGATAGATGGACCACCCGGTATATACAACAAACAAACAAATCAAATAAAGATATTTAAACTGCAGTAGAGCTGTTAAATAATGATATGAAAAACGTAATAAATTGGTTAAATGTAAATAAACTTAAACTAAACACAAACAAAACAAAATGTATGCTAATAGGAAAATCTTTAGATCAAAATACGATAAATCTTACAATGAATCATGAAGAAATTGTGTCAATCGAATCATTTAAATATTTGGGCATATACATAGACAGTAAATTAAAATTTGAACGGCACTATAAATATATTATTTCAAAAATGTCCAAGAAAATAAATTACTTTTATAGAATTTCGCATAGCCTAAGCGTTTATCCTAAAAAAATTGTGTACAACACTATGATTGTTCCTAATTTGTTATATTGTTCGACTATTTTGTTCACTGCAAATGAAACTGTATTTTCAAAATTACAAATATTACAAAATTAAGCTATGAGAATCATCTTAAATAAAAAGAAATATACTAGAATAAATTTTATGCTGAAAGAACTACAATGGTTGAATATCAAAAATTTCATAGCCTACTCGATTTTCATTTTCATATTCAAGTTAAAAAATCATCTTCTACCAAATCACTTAGAAAATTTTATGAGTGCCAAAATTATTCTCTAGCGGAAGTATAGACTTTTTTCATTTACAAAACTGCAGTAGCAATATAACGAGCAAGTCAGTAATTCAAAAGGGATTTTACGAATATAATAAATTAAGTAATGATATCAATATGTGCGTCAGTTTGAAAATGTTCAAAGGGAAATTGAAAAAATATCTCATGGAAAACCAGAATTCATAGTAGTGAAATTTTGTATAACAATATGTAGTCTTGAAGACATAATATATTTCGTGATATACTGTGTAATATGGATATTATGGACAGTGTAGCATTAATGCTAAATAAATCTGAAACAAACAAGGCTATTAACCCAATATGACATCTTATGAGAAGCCCTATTGGTGCATGTGTGCACTTACGTCACGTACGCTGCGGTGACTGCGCTGCTCTCGTTTAGCTGTGTCGAAACAGTCTCAAAAAATCAGTATGCATTTGCTGCACATAGTTTTAAAATGATGGAAAAATTGTACAGCGGGAGATGATACCTTACCAGACAAAAACCTGGTTTCTGTTGAAGAAATGTTCCGACAAGAGGTTCCCGAGCTGTAACCCGATGCAAATTTGCTTGAACAACTTCTTTACGCAAATTACAAATCATTATCTTTCAGCGCTTCACACTAAGCTTTTTAGGTTATTTGGATCATTCTGAACAAAAAAGGTCATTAGTAACATGACCCTTTTCGGATTCTAAATGATTTAACCTCTGGAAAACCCTAATAATGGCCAGTTTCGATGCTCAAGGACTGAGTTCAGTGGTGGCGTTGTAGTGGATGCTGTGGTGTATTGACCAGGGCGCCGTGAACTGCACGGATTCGAATTCTATCCCAAGAAGATTCTTCTCTTGGCTATAGATATAATAATAATCATTTATTATCCATTATCCCACTTGACCTTTTTTTTTTGTTTGTTCCGAATGATCCAAAAAACCCAAAAAAGTTCGTAATGACCAAAATATGTTTTTGTTAAAAAAAAGTCTAAGCGAAGTTATCATTCGACAATATCTTGCTTCATGGTAAGGAGCCTCTAACAAACGTAGTTATGAAAAAAAACAAGCCGTAAAATGTCTCCCACGAATGCATCGTCAAGTCATGAGTGACTGACTGGGTAGTCCAAGCGTTGGCCTAAAATACGAAGAGAAGGTGGTGGAGTTGAATCTGTCACCGGAGATTTGTTCTTTTTGTCTTTTTTTTCAATTTAGCTGGCTTAGGAGATGCAGGAACGCCAGGGGCTGTTACCGCGGCGGGACCAAGTAGCAGCGTGAACGATGATGAAATACCTGAAGGTGTAGACCCGTCATTTTTGGAGGCTCTGCCACCAGAAATGCGCCGAGAAGTACTAGAGCAACATAGAATTCTGTGTCTGCAACAAAGAATAGCAGCGAGTGCTGCAGCTAACGCTGCCAATGGTATGGCATGTTAACTGTGTAAAGCCAAATACTGCTAGTCAATCTAGAAAGTCCTTTAAGCATGTACTTTGTACATTAGATATTTGGGAAGTTGGGTCACTTTCCGCTACAGCCAATGTTTGCATATCTGGGTGATTTACCTACCGATCTGTAAGCGTTGTTGTTTGCCGGAGAGAATGGCCTTTTGGGCCCCTGAGCATGAAAAAGGTTTCTGGAGTGACCAACTTGTATTTTATTTTCTTTGATTCCACTAGGGGGTCTTTTCCATAAAGTACTTGCTGCACAGAAATTAATGTTTGCACTGGAATGCTTAAATACTAACGAAGGATGTTCATAACCCCATATCACCCTCACATGTTTGAAAGCACTCCATCACATACCTTCACAGTTCATCATTAATCAGCTGAATAGTGGCAGTAACTTCCTTTAAATGGATTTGGGTGAAAGACAGTGCGAAAAATGCATGGCCAGTAGGAACTATGAGGAAGTTTAATATAATTTTGTAGTTGTTCTGTCCTGCTGGAGCTGACCAAATAGTTTGTAGCAGTCTCAATAGACTACTTAACTCATATCTAATTTCATAGAATAAATGAGTATTTCTTACAGTATTTGGCTTACGAAAAGGAAATACATATATCGATTTCAATTGCACTCTAATCCACAGCTTTCTTGGGGTCTGTATCGATGTGTTTTTACATTCTCGGGTGATACATAAACGATAATTACTATATTTTTCATGTAAACTAGTAGACCCATGTTTGTATTCTTGAAATTTTGAGAGGTTATGCTGCTGTCAAAAGCTGTTTAGCGATCGTATGACGTCAGAGCACATCAATATGGGCCAAACTTGGCGGACAACGTTTTTGCCTATCTAAGTTTTGCGGTCTTTCAGGTCTGAAAAAATAGTATTAATTTTGTTAGTCTAATAAAGCAATTATTAACTATTTCAGAGCTACTTAAAAAAGTGTCAAGTGGAATATTATCAATAAACTTGAAAGTTATGCCCTGGTAATTGGGTCAAACTAACGAGTGGTGTTGAAAATATACTTTTTTTAACACCTCAATCGCGCTAGGTTACTCTTACATCTTTGAAAGTACTTTAACATTTCAAGGAAAAGGTCCTTGGCGATAAGTAGGAGCTACAGATGAATTAAATACCATTCTGTTATTTTGTCTTGTTGGAGCTAACGAAATATGTGTAGTTCGTTGAGGTCCCTATTGGCAGTAAAATCAAGAATTATGCTCTGAATTGGAAAAGACCAGACTTTACAAAAAAAAATGCATGATAAGTAGGAACTGCGAGAGAATTGAATATTCTGTTGTTCTCTTGTTAAAGCTAACCTAATAGTCTAGAAATATGCTTCAAACTGAGAAAAACTAATGAGCTAATATCCTTTAACAACAAAAATGCACTCTGGCACTCTGGCAGTGCAACATTTCTCTAGTGCTACGCGGGAGTTGGATGGTATTCTGTTGTTAGTATGCTATAGCTATCTTAAATATTTTGTAACCATTTCATGACTCACATTTCATCAGTTATCAGCTGAACTGTAGCAAAATGACGATTGTGCTTAAAACTGTGGACGAAAATAGGAGCTACGAGGAGTGGTGTATCATTCTGCTATTGTTGTCTTGTGTTGTGTGAAACTAACAAATAGTTTGTAGAAGGAAGGTCCCTGGCAATAAGATCATGAATTTTCTCCTGTAATGTTGCACATTGATAATGATTAGATCGAAATGATTAATTCATTATTATGAATTCTTTGAGGTACTGCATCAAAATACAGTCTTTTCCATCAATGCTGGACACCAACATGATCATTTTTTAACTTATTGCTGGGAGCGTTGACCTGATTGGTGACTATATGGGGAAAAATACTCATAAACATGAATTTTAGCTGCTGGTGCTGCAGGCGAAAACACAGAAGCTCCATCTAATGAAGTCAGCCCAGAATTTTTAGCTGCCTTGCCTCCAGCATTACAAGAAGAGGTATTAACACAACAGCGACTTGAACAACAAAGGCAGGCAGCTGCTAGAGCAAATCCCAATGAGCCAGTTGATGCTGGCGCTTTCTTTGAGACTCTTCAACCTTCATTAAGAACTATGGTATTTGATTAATCTCTATAAGGCGTTTTTAACAGTATCGACGTTGACCAAATCAAAACTGAACTAAAACTAGATAATAGCAGATTATAACAGATTTGATGTTTAACACGAAACATAGCAACACTTGAATAAATATTTTGCCTATAGCTGGTCAAATGACCGGTTGTGGTAGATAGTATGTACAAGCCACTTCCCACTTCAGTTGGCCCACTTCAAGATTTGTACCAAAATATGCCTTTATAAACTAAACATGACGAAACTATTTACTTCTAAAACAATTTATTTTCTCAAAAACATTTTAGATACCATCTAGTCGTAAAAAATACATATTTGAAATCACTTAGACCTATAACTAATAGAACATCTGAACAAATAAATAATGTGCAAATAAATGCACGAAGTTAACAAAGCAACAATTGAAAGATTACCATTGGATAACATCACCGTTATTTTTTATTACGGCTGAAATTCTTTGGGGCATAGTGTTATCAAAGTGTTGGCAAAATTTGTTGTAAAACAATCCCATATTTCTTGAAGTTTTTGTCTCAGTTCGGTGATTGTACGAGCAGGATGTTGTCGTAGAACCTTTTTCATCTCGTGCCACAAAATTTCAATAGGTGACAGATCTGGACTGCTAGAAACCCATTTCAAAAGTGGTACATTATTTTCTTCCATCCATTTATAACCTTTTTTGAGGTATGGCACACTGCACCATCTTGCTGAAACACAAAATCTTGACCGGATGTCAAACATTCTTCCATCACTGGTAAAAGCGATTCTTCTAAAATTGCCAAATATTTGTTTGTAACCACATTTCCATCAATAAAATGAAGTTTTCCTACTCCTTTTGATGACATACTGCCCCAGACCATAATGGATGCTGGAAATTTCACTTTTCTCTTCAGACAGTCAACATGGAATGCTTCATTTTTGTTGGGAATAACTCTACTGCGACTGTCACCAACACAAACTTCGAATCGGGCCTCATCACTCTATTGTATTGCACACCATTGTTGAGGTGTATATTGTCTATGTTCTTTTGCCCATCTAAGCCGATTTTTCTTTTGCAGTGGAGTTAATAGTGGCTTTTCTTTGGCCTATAAACAAGTTGTGCAACTTTAGGGTTTCTACTTCTCTTTTTTATAAGAAAACTTACCTTGCAAGTGCTAAATCCCATTGTGGGCCTCTCTATGAGTTGTGGACCTCGAAATTGTCCTTCCAACAGCGTCACTCCACGGAGCACTTAATTGTAAATAATTGGCACGCCTGTTTTTCACGATTATTCTTCTTAATGCTCTTCGGTCGGCATTTGTGATATTACTTTTTTTCACATATTGTGGCTTAATATTAACTGAACCAGTTACGTTATATCTTCTAACAATATTTCTCATACTGTACCGCGATAAGTCTAACGAAGTTGCAATTTCTGAGTTTGATTTCCCAAAATAAAAAAATGTAATTATCAGTAACCGAATGTTCTCACTAATAACCTTTCCTCTACTCATTTTGAAAACCTTAACTACCCAAAACTAATTTGAACGTATTCTGACAGCTGTGATTAATAAAAACAATTTTCATGGCTTTTATTTTTCACAGCCACCTATGCGTTATAGACTTATTTTGCATTGAAATGAAATTACTTTGATATGCAGTGATTGCAACATGTGTTATTTTTATGCTGCAAATTTGATTAGGGAATAAAGTTGGTGTTTTCTACTATATATTATCAAAATATTCATTGTTAATATTTCAAACCTATAACACCCTGCTACATTTTTATTATTTGTGTTTGATAAGAAAAAAACTAAGGTTTCAATAGTTGGGCCAACTGAAGTGGGAAGGGGCTCGTATACTTGTCATGACTAGTGTTCTCAAAATAAATATTATAAAAATAGAGTGTTAACTTTATATGATCAGTAGAAAAAATCACGAAGTCAAATGTGCAAAAGCAATAAGATATTTTCAACGCAAAAACCCGTAACTGGTGTTTTAACAGGAGAATGGTACCTTTAGTGTTGAGGGACATATTAGACAGGAGCATTATCTAGAGAATATTAAACCTTGCATTAAGCCAAAAATTATAAAAATTGTATGCTGCTGGATATTGCAAAAGGAGGTGAATTTTTCCCAAAGCCTTGTTGATTCCGCTTGGAAAGTGTCTCTTCGAGTTTTTCATTGTGTTTGTTAGTGGCATCTCGATCACCGTTTTCTAATAGTAAGCTTCAAGAGACAGTGGTTAGAATCAAATAGATTATGAGATACTTATACTAATTTTTAAATTAGTTAGAAAACAATGTTGTGACCTTTATTAACACATTTGCATCTACCAAAAATCATCTAAATATCTCAGTCTGTTTGCGACGAATGTGAGACGAACTATCAGATATTCTCAACTTTAAACACTATATTTTTCTCTTTCATATTATGATGTTTTGAATCTGCCCTTCAATTTTTCATGGCAACATTTTCTAAGACCATCTAAATTCCATCTACAAACGATACCACTTAACGATACGTTTTCCAGATCTTGTCTGACATGGAAGATTCCCAAATGTCAGCTCTTCCTCCGGATTTGGCTGCCGAAGCCCAGACACTCCGTAGAGATTGGTACGCCCGCAACCGACAGATGGCTCAACAGCGCTTGTTCCAAAGCAACCTGACTACAATTTACCGTCATTCAAGAGGAAGACAATCCCTCAGAGCGACAAATTTCCAACGTGGAGGCTGGAGCCAGTGGAATAGAGACTTCCCGAATAATCCAACCCCAACCAGCGCCCAAATGAAGATACGTGGGAGGCAGTTACTGGATCACGACGGAATCTCTTGCCTGTTGATCTTGCTGTTTACGGATGACCCGCATTTGAATAAGCTGAGGCTGCATAGAGTTATTCGTAATTTATGCTATCATGGACCTACTAGGGAATGGATTATAAATGCCTTACTCTCCATCATTGGTAAGTAATGTAGAAAAGATAAAATGAAACAGATTAATAGCAAAAGTAGAGGAAAATGTCCAAAACCGGACCCATTTCTTATCCATTAAATAAAATGAAAAATAGCTAAAAGTATGTTTTAAAAACATTCAATGTTTACTTTTTAATGGTAATCATAATTTACGTTACACGTCCATAAATAATTGTCGAAATGTGCCAAAACCGGACCTCTAGTAAAAATTGTCAAGCATCAATTTAAAGAATTTATTCTCAAGCGAATATATAGATAACAGATAGTTTTCAATGCCTTGAGGACAAAATAGCTGAATAGTACCTTAATTACCGTTTTTGTACGATACTATGTGTGCGGTAATGGCTCTTTACTGTGCCTCTTTTTGACAAAATGTGACCTACCATGTCATAAAAGTGTGATAATTTTATTTTTTTGCACGAAAACTAGAGATAGGAGGTTAAACTGAGTAAGGGATACACCTATATGAAGCCAATCCTGTCTCCAAGGATGGTGTGACTTTCGGAAATCTATTGGACATGGAACATGGCGTGGAGCATCTATCCATTCAAAAATGTCAACATAATCTGCCGCAATTTTTATGTACATTTCACTCACGTGTTGCCATGCTTTGTAGGTTTATTACTTCGTAGCTTATTAATGTTATAGAGATATTTCTGGTTGGAACTCGTCCGAACTGTCAAAATTGGAGTTGTTTACAGTCATGATGACAGCAACTTTTTTCGCAGTGTACACAGGAGAGAGCTTCATATGCGCAGCACTTCATTCACTAGCCACGCATTGTACCAACTCGCTTCTTCACATCGTCGACTTTTTTTACTTCACCCCCACTCCAAGATTTTAACCTCCTGTCTCTGGTTTTCAGGACCCGATCTAACAGTACATACTTCCAAGGCGAACTTATTTTTCACCCAATATGTCGGAGACGTTGCTATTACTACAAAATGCGTTCATTATTTGCATGTCATAGTTCTAGTGTTCATAGTGAAACTTGAACTAACAGTAGGATTTTTTTCAGAAAAAAGCGTGCATACCATACCGGACGAGAACTTGAACAAGCCTTCAAGAAAAGGGCCAAAACCGGGACCGTTGAGTAGCAAATTGGTGACCGACTCTAAGCACCTCCAAAATGGTGGTCACTGGCTGACAATTCGCACAGAAGCAGCTCTTGGATGCGCAGCGAACGTATTTATAGTGAATAAAACAACCGGCAAGAAATGCGACAAGCCGAATGGATCTAGCGTAATAGCAATCCATCCTCAAGCGGCACCAATAATCTGTAAAAACACCCTGGATCTGTTCACGTCTCTAGCTAAAGCATTCCCCTCTTGCCTATTACCGCTGAAATGCATTAGAGATGACAATGACAAGAACATCGTCCAGCCGATCAAAGTCAAATCTGATAGCCAGTCAGATTTCTGGGATGTCTTGCTGCGATTGGACTCTGCCACAAAGAAGGGCAAGAGCATCCAGAAGAACAATTCATCCAGCAACAACTTGGATAGTGATCCAATTGTTACGTTCGACCAGACTGTCTTCGGAAAGCTGCTGAACATGCTTGCTTCACCTGTTGTCAACAGCAACACCCAGCTGACAGACAATTTACTGAAATTGTTGTCCGTGACCACATCGGGCATGCCGGAGTTAGTGAAGCCCCACAAGAGTGGTAAGGTCAAGAATCAATTGCCAGATATGAGTGCAAACCCCCCAACCCATGCTTTAAGCTTAGCCGTTAATGTGATAACCTACAAGAACTGCTCCGAAGAAGGTCTGGAGTTCATCACAAATCTACTGTTGAACCTAGCAAATTCTTCCTTAGACATGAGCTTTTTGGTGAGTATTAAAACTCTGAAATATGCCTTTATTGCGCGGTAAAATATCAGTATCTCTTTTTGTGAAATTGCACAGTTCACTTCATAAATATTGAGTGGAAGACTTAGCAAAATGTCTTTTTCTGCCATTGTAACAATTTTTTAAAGTTCAATGGCATTATGTTTTATTTTTTAGAAATGCCGGTTTGACTAAAATGTGGCTTATGAATTTTTTTGGCAGCCTTGAATATCTGTACCATGTATTTCAATGTTTGATATGCTCATTTCCCACTTATCATAACGTGTTTTGTTGCAGATACTGACGCTTCTTCTGAACGGTGCCATAGAGATTGGTAGCATCGTCGAAAACCAGATTAAAGACATGCTAAAAGATCTGAAAGATCTCATTGTAAATTCGCAAAAGCGTAAGGTAGAAGATGGACCTTCTACCTCTAAGGGGGTAATAGTCAACAGATTCACTAATGAACAAGTTGTTGTCACAGCCTCGACCAAGGTTAAGACAGCATGTGAGCTTCAATTGCCCTCGATGGTGCCTTTAACGTCAAAGTGTTCCAGTCAAACATTCTTCTTGAGGGTTCTAAGAGTGATTGTACACATTAGAAACTCTATAAAGAACAATTTGAAAAAATGTAAGTCAGTTTTAATTTCCGGAATTCTAATCATGTTTTTATATTTTGTGTTTTGAAATAGTCCTTTGTTAGACAAAAAGCGTTTTAGTAAATGTAAATTATGAATGAGTATATTAACGTACACGCCTTGTTTCTCACAGTATTGAATGAACTTTTTATTTCTAAAGTTGTGGTCTAACATTGAAGATAAAAAAGATATGATAGGTCTCAAGAAAAGTAGTCTCAATTTTGGTGTTTTTTTTCCTAGCTGATACCTGGGCGCACGAGATGCCTGCCTTGAGTGAACAGTTGGGAAGCCTCAAAAACCTTTGGGATACCCTCAGCGAGTGCCTTTTGGAATTGGAACATGCTCCAGATCATCATGCTGTGCTCGTTTTGCAGGTGAGATATTTTATCCTTTAACAGTATGATTTTTTTGACAGTTGATTCTCGTTTTCGTGCCCGCTTCTTGGGGAAAAAAGAGTGCAACTGTGTATATTTGCTCCAACTAGTGTAGTTTTTACAGTACCAACATACAAATTCATATTAACAATATAAAAGTATCGTAAATGTCACCTCCAATGGTATTTTGTCTATATAAAAAACCATGTGAATACACGTTCTTATAAAAACTAACATCAGTCTTAATGAATACAAATATTAAGCTTTCAGCTGAATATTGCAGCCATTCAACATTGGGGGAGGAACCAGTCACTAATATTTGATCAAACAGTCACCCTAGATGAAAAATCTAGATGCTGCTGTAATTTATAAAAACAGTTAATATGAACTCTGAACGGCCATACTCGATAAGTAAAACGTCATCTTGAATCTCCTTGGAAGTATTTTAATCGTGAAAAATTTCGAAAATGAGATATGCTTTTCGGATATGTGTATCTCATTTACGTTGTAATATGATTTGAAATGATATATAATTCGGCCCATATTCTTAGTACCTACGCAGATATTTTGAGGAGTGATTAGCATATTTAAAAGACAAAATGAGCTGCTGCTTATTTCACACTTTCGTTTATAAAAGGGGGTCCGTACCAACTTTTTCAGCCTTAATCGTCAATTTCCGTTTGTAATGGCCATCTACGGTCACTTGAGGTATTTTCTTAATTGGTTGTTGAATCTAGCTCAGTTTATATGTAGCAATTTTCAGGAGAAATGTCAATATAATGCTGATTTGAAATTCAAATTGAAAATTTATCAATTTTTCAAAATTCTGACGCTGTTATCAACGCGAATTATCTTGGCAAATTTAAGGGAATACTTAAAACTAAATTTTTACTTTATTAGTGTAGTCCATGATACGAATTTAATTTTAGCCTGCTGTTGAAGCATTCTTCTTAGTCCATTCGCCTCAACAAGGACCCATTAAACCCAAAGAGAGACAGCCTGACCGACAACTCGATGAAGAGGAGCTGATGGCTGACAACAATGAGCCTGAGCAGCAGGATCAGCCCGCAGAACAAGAGCAAGTCCAAGCTCAGGAGCAACAACCTACCCAAGACGGACAGGATCAAGAAACGGCGCCGCAGGCTGCCCAACCTCAACAGCCTGATCATAGAGAAGACAATACTACTGCGCAGATCGATATGTCTGAGACTGTTCATCAGGAACATGTAAGATTGGCAGAGGTACGTGGAGAAGTTTTCTGTCTGTTATTATTGCGTTATTACTAACGTTTCGGCCACCATATTTCATATTTCTTCTACCTGTCTTCAAGGTGGTAGTTTGCTTGTTTTTGCCACTACTATACACTGTGTTGCAACCACCGACGATATATCTATAGATACTGCCGTTCATTAAATAGTCTAATATTAGACGAAAATACCCCTGGTTTGCGAAATAATTGTAAAGTCTGGTTTTATTGCTGCAAGTTGTTCAAGAGGGTATTTGAAACATGGACCCATAAAAAGGGTACACCAATTTTTGGGGGAAGACTTTTTATTAGACTACAATGAGAAAACGTGTTTTTTGGGATTCAACCAACAAGTGTTGGCAGAAACGAAAAAACTCTTCATATAAGATTTTTAGGTATTTATACGTCCTATAAAATGAGACCACACGTATAAAGATCTGACTAATAGCAAAAGAGTTATGGCCGAAAACCAAGGCAAACTGCAGATTTTGGCACTTGTTGGTAATGCGACTATGGTTTCTCGCAGGTGGTAGGTGGCAAATGGTAACCCATCCTTTTTGAATAAAAATAAAATTTATCTTCCAGAATGGTTTGTGATTCATATCGGTACGGTAAACACGTGTATTTTGCTATTAAATGCTCTTTGAACGAACCCTGTGTATTGCTCAATAAACTAGTAGTGGCCGGAAAACAGGTGTTTTGGGATTAACAATTAGGGATTCTCAAAAACTACTTGACTAATATACTCGAATTTTGTTGTTAGTATGAATCCTACGGATTTGAAGAATTTCAAGTAGTTTCCTGAAATTATCGTCGCATTACCAACGCAGTGCCAAAAACTGCATTTTGCCTCGTTTTTCGGCCATAACAGTTTTGCTATTAGTCGGATCTTTTTAAGTGTGATCTCATTTTATAGGTCTCATAAATACCTAAAAATCTTATTTGAAGTTTTTTCGTTCCTGTCAACACTTTCGATTGAATCCCAAAGAAAACGTTTTCTCATTCTTTGTTGTCAAATTAAAAGTTTTCCCACAAAAACTGGTGTACGCATTTTATCCGTCCATGTTTTAAAAACCCCCTTGAACAACTTGCACCAATAAAACCAGATTTAACAATTATTTCAGGCAGCAGCGGTGGCCGCAGTAGTAGACTCTTCGGTCTCCTGATCAGTCGCCGTGCGCTGTGCGGGTTCGATTCCCGTCCCAGGAGAAATGTTTCTCTTGGCCATGGATGTTGTGATTGTCCGTAGGTGGTAGATGGTCTCTGACTGTCGAACGCGGAGGTACCACCCGGCGGTTCTCGTAGGCGGAGCCAGAATGTGTGCATGTTGCATGCACACGTGTTCCCTCGCCAGAGTCCGTGTGGCGTCCCCCTCTTTCCCATGTATCCCCCATAGCCCCACGGTACCCAATGGGTGCTTAGGCCTTAGGCCTTCGTGGTAGTTGGAGTATAAAAAATGATTCGACTAAATGAGTATACCTACATTCGTTTATTTGCCAACATTCCTTGGCTGACAGAACAAAATGGCTGTGGTGGTGAAAAGAATGGCATTTGAATCAGTGGGACATCATAATTAAAATATTACTGCACTCACAACAAAATAGTGATCAACTATCAATCAAGCTGTTGGCTCAAAAGCTACAGTTCCATGGCACAAATGAATGCTGACAAGCTGCTACTGAAAACTGCGCTATTGTAGCTTATCTGTATTTTTGTATGTTTACAGGCTAAATCTCGTGCTAGTGTGCCTCCTGACCAGCAACAGTTCCTTCAATTTGCCGAAAAGCACCGAACAGTACTCAACCAGATCCTGAGACAGAGTACCGCGCATTTAGCTGACGGTCCATTCGCGGTGCTTGTTGACCATACCCGAATTCTCGACTTCGATATAAAACGCCGATACTTCAGAACAGAACTGGAGCGAATGGATCATGGCATTAGAAGAGAAGAGACGGCTGTGCACGTGAGAAGAAGTAATATATTCGAAGATTCCTTCAGAGAATTATTTAGAAGGCCTCCTGAGGAGTGGAAGAATCGATTCTACATTGTTTTTGAAGGTATGAACCAAGTATGAATTCGTGTTTACAGATGTCTTTGTGAGCTGGTTTGCGAATTCAATTTTGTGTTTGAACAAGTCTCAGAAATGTTGTATAGGTACAGAATTACTTCTGTAGATGAATATAAATTATGAAGCATTGATATTTATTATAATTCATTTTCATAGTATAATCACCGATATTTAATATCTACATGACTTTTCGGTTTTCCCCTGTTTTAAATAACTGTTTCGTGTGAAGTTTCTGAAGGTAATTTCTTATTTATAGATGAGGAAGGTCAAGACGCAGGCGGTCTCTTAAGAGAGTGGTATGTGATAATATCAAGAGATATCTTCAACCCAATGTATGCCTTGTTCACGGTATCCCCTGGAGACAGAGTGACATACATGATCAACTCTGCAAGCCACTACAATTCTAACCATCTTTGCTACTACAAATTTGTTGGAAGAGTCATTGGTAAGTAGATTATTTTTGAACATATTTTATCTATATCTTGATTATAATTGATTATTTGTATAGTGACTTTCAATTGTTGCAACATGATCTAGAAGACTGCCAGGATAATTTACCTTTGACACAGGTTAAGATCTGTTGGTTTCAACAAGACTTTGCTCCTGCACATAACTCTATAATCCAGTCAACTCGTATAAACTTGTATTTTGACATCCCAAAACTTGTCTCAAAATTCACACATGATAAGATGGTCACAACTGAAAGTCAAAGGTCACAAAAATCGATTTTTTGCAAATATATCGTTTCCTATGGGTTTTACGCAGTTTGTATTTGATATCAATATTGTAGAGAATTATATTCTCAACAACTTTTGTTCCAAACATTTTTTCATACGTCGAACTGTTTTCGAGATAGAGGGAGCAGAGCGCGCAGTTAGAGGTCAACTGCTAGTCCCGATCTGACTTTTAAAGTTTATAGCTGGCTCGTATTTCCCGATTCTCACCTAATTGTGACTAAGATGACTGGATTACTAGACAAGTTTGAGAGTATCTTTCTCAGCGATTTACCTGAAGGTGGATTTGAACCTCCAGTGAAGTGCCCTGACCAGTGTGTTCCCCGGCTTAACTCCTGGACTTTTTTGTTTCGGGTTTTATTAGAAACCAAGTTTATCAGCATACTTTTGAGACTGAGCAGCAGTTACGAGAATGTGTAATGGAACATTTAGTATGATTACACCAAAAATGTTACGTGATGTTTTGAATTTATGTTTAGAAAATCATGTCAACCTATTTAAGTACCTATTGTGAATAAAATAAAAATAATGTTAGAAATATATTCGTTTCACTATCTCACTAGATTGAGCAGCATTTTATAAAATTTTACCACATCATATCATTATACAGGGTGTTCCTTAATGATATGCGAATATTTAAGGGAGTGAATCTATATGAAAAATTAAAGTTAGTTTGCTTTATAAACTATGGTCCAAAAATGTTTCCTTACAAAAACTCGAAATGCCATTCAGAATTTCCACAATAATCATTTGTGGGCAGAAGAAAATCCCTATGCCGTAACCGAAACCCATTTCCAACACCAATTTTTGGTTAACGTATGGGCAGGAATTATTGGCAACCACTTTATTGGCCCATTCTTCTCGCCGGGACGACTTGACGGACAGACTTACCTCAATTTTCTTCAACAACAGTTGCCTTTGCTGCTTGATAATGTTCCGTTAGTAATAAGAAACAATATGCGGTACATGCATGATGGTGCACCAGCGCATTTCAGTGTAGCGGTTCGTAATTATTTACGAACTGTTTATCCAAATCGTTTGATTGGCCGCGGTGGGCCCCAAGAAGGGCCACCATGGTCCCCAGACTTCAACGGTTTAGATTTCTTTTTGTGGGGCTATCTTAAGACACTAGTGTACACAAGTCCCATTAACACTGTAGAGGAATTAAGAGAAAGAATAGTTGCAGCTTGTGATAAAATGAAAAACACTCCAAGGATATTTCAACGAGTGCGCAATTCCATGAGAAGGAGGGCGGAAGCATGTATACTAAGTGAAGGGGGCCATTTTGTTGGTTTTAATGTTATGTTTATGTTGTCAGCTGTTGTTACCCCTAATGTGTTTAATTTTTCCAATTAAATTATTAGTAATTTTGCAAGTTAGACAGTAGAACGGTTTTTATTTTTTTACTCAAAAATGGCGCATCGAATGAAAACAATTCAAGAAAGATCATTTGTTTAAAATTGAACGGGTAATTCAAATATAATTTTTATTTGGCGTACCATTTTTTTTCTTAAAAAATATCGAAGTCAATACCCGTACGCACGCCACTGTTAAAGCTAAAAATTATTTTTGCATTGAAAAATATGCAACTTTATTAACTTATCCTACTTACTAAATATCAGTGAAATATCTTAAGCGGTTCTGAAAATATTTATTTCCATTTTTTTCCTGAAACTCAACACCCCGAGTTTTTGTACGGAAACATTTTTGGACAATAGTTTATAAAGCAAACTAACATTAATTTTTCATGTAGATTCACACCCTTAAATATTCGCATATCATCAAGGAACACCCTGTATAATACTAAGTAATATGCATCACATCATTACATCGCAACTGTTTCCTAATTTAACCTAAGCTGTAACCCCCACAGTTATTGAGCTCCCCATGCATAGGATCCTTATCTTGGACACCCTGTATAATGTCAGCATCTACTAATGTTGTTTTCCTTTTCAGCCAAAGCAATATATGACAATAAACTTCTGGAGTGCTACTTCACAAGATCTTTCTATAAGCACATCTTAGGCATACCTGTCAAATACACTGATATGGAAAGTGAAGATTACAGCTTCTATAGGGGATTAATTTACCTCATAGAGAATAACATTAACAACTTAGGTCTTGATCTAACATTTAGTACCGAAATTAGCGAGTTTGGCGTGACTGAAACCAGAGATTTGATACCCAATGGCCGCCATATAAATGTCACAGAAGAGAATAAGATGGAGTATGTTAGGTTGGTTTGCCAAATGAAGATGACCGGAGCTATAAAACAACAGTGAGTTTACTTATCCAGCCACCGATTCGCCTGTTGTACTAATTATGTGTTGTTTCAGATTGAACTCTTTCTTAGAAGGCTTTTACGATATTATTCCTATGCGCCTAATCTCCATATTCAATGAGCAAGAATTGGAGTTACTGATATCTGGATTACCAAATGTTGATATAGACGACCTCAAGGCTAACACAGAATACCACAAGTACCAGACTAATTCACTACAGGTAAGTTTTTTGTTTGCTTTGTGCATGATCTTCCACTAACAGTGTTCCGAAAGCATTATTGTGTGATGGAATATTTCCCGTTATGTCCAGATATATTTTCTCACATGAGGTGTGGTGATTCAAAACAAAATACAAATTTGAAAAAATATTTTTATATTTGGATGGAAACCTAACTCCTCTATTGAATGAATTATTCCCTACTTTGTCTCTAGTTTTATACTTTCTGAAATGTATCATTAGATTGAGATCGATTTTTTTTTCAGATCCAATGGTTCTGGAGAGCTTTAAGATCATTTGATCAAGCAGAACGAGCCAAGTTCTTACAGTTTGTAACAGGAACATCTAAAGTACCCCTTCAAGGGTTTGGAGCTCTAGAAGGCATGAATGGAGTGCAAAAATTCCAAATTCACCGAGACGATCGTTCCACCGATCGGCTACCATCTGCCCACACTTGGTAAGTTTTCACAAAATATAGCTCAAAAAACCTCAAATTTTCAAAGATTTCTCTCATTGATAACTAACAGACTTTTTGAAAATCAATAAACAAGGGCGTACCCAGCTCAGAACAGAAAAAAATTTAGGTGGAAGTTCCACAAATAATGTCTACTATGCTCGATATTTTTCTTTCTGTTTGGATGTCAATGTCTTAACAATTGATACAGTCTTCCACGATGATTTGAGAATTCATATGGATATGGAAAACTACTAGGATTACTTTTTTTAAACCATGCACATATTGCACGAGATGTTTCTTTAAAAATAAAATTTATCTTTTTATCCTTAAACCTTTTCATTTTCATTTGTGAGGGCCTAGCTGCGTACTCCAACTCTTATACAACGGCCGTCCAGTGGGAAAGTTCATTTTTTAATTCAAGAAAAAAAAAAAGAAGCATAATGAAAATATTTATTACTATCAACATATTCGTTTATTTGGCGGGTTTTATTTCTTAAATATCCAGACCAAATGTTTGCCGTCCCTTCGGAAACACTCTTCTAATCGCGCGCAAATTCTGAAACACTCTCTTGCAGAGTTGCGGAGTGATGTTGTTTAATTCTCGTCGAATGTTGTCTTTAAGCCTCTCCAGTGTTCGTGGATTATTGGTTGTTTATTTCTCGTCGAATGTGTCTTTAAGCCTCTCCAGTGTTCGTGGATTATTGGTTGTTTATTTCTCGTCAAATGTTGTCTTTAAGCCTCTCCAGTGTTCGTGAATTATTGGTATACACTTTTGACTTTAGATAACCCCACAAAAAATAATCGCATGGCGTGAGATCGGGTGACCTGGGAGGCCAGTGAATGTCTCCAAACTTCGATATAACTTTTTGAGGAAAAAGTGCTTTCACAGTGGCCCCATCCTGTTGAAACCATGTGTTTCTGTTAAATGAACGTTCTGTTCATACAGTAGGAGCAAAAAAAGCGTCAATCATGTCCTTGTATTGCTCGGAATTGACTGTCAATGCATCACCGTTTTCATCTTCAAAGAAATACGGCCCAATAATACCGCTAGAGGATATGGCGCACCAAACAGTCACCTTTGGACTATGTAGCTATTGTTGATGTTTCTCTTTTGGGTTCGTTGGTGCCCAATATCTGCAATTTTCCTTGTTCACATGACCATCTAAGGAAAATGGGCCTCGTCACTGAAAACAACGTTCTCGAATCTGCGCTGCGTAGGAAAAAGATTCAACATCACAAGATTTCCGTGATACGTAATTGCTTTCCTTCAAAGCATGGACTGATTGCATTTTATGAGGATAAAACCCCATTTTTTTCTTCATTATGCCATGCAGTGTTGACCTAGGGATTCCCAAAGCACCGGAATGCTTCTGTACAGAACACCGAGGATTTGCAATCACTCACTCCATGCACATTTTCTTCGGTTGATACAGTAGGTGTGGTGCCAGAGTTTCCATTACATCATCAAATACGTTCCAGCGGTCATTCATATAATCTTAAAAGTACATCGAATTGACGTCCTCTGAACATCCTCAAGTCTGTATAATATTTTAATTTCTGGTTTTTCATTTTTACAGTTTCAATCAGCTGGACTTACCTGTCTACGAGACCTATGATAAGTTACGAGCCTACTTGTTAAAGGCGATCCACGAATGCTCTGAAGGCTTTGGCTTTGCCTAAAAGTTAATTATTTCAATGTTGTTTAAGACTGATGTGTTATTTTTCCTTTTGTTGTATATAAACGTTTGTATATGTTTGCATATAAATATATACACACACATATATACTGGTAGGCAGTAGTTTTTGTGTACATACAAAAGTATAATCTAAATGTTAAGTGTACAGATTTATCTGTGTAAAAAAACTACTTCGTATTTTATCCGGAAATTTTGTTCAAACTGTGGGTTAAGTGCTTGAGTTACTTACAAAGTTTTGTAAATTTACTAATAGGGAGGTAATGTATTTTTGTAAAGGGCCTTAAGGCATTCGAGTGTGATACAAGCTGAATTTGATAGTCAGATTCATAATATATTACTATTATTTTAGTGATTTCACTGTATTAAACCTTTCCTCGCTATACTTTTGTACATTGGATCTGTTAATCCCTACGTTTTTTATTTATGTTTCTGGCAATTACGTGTTTGATTAGTCAACCTGTAATAAATAAAATTTGTGTTTATTTAAATAAATGTTTCTCAAATAATTCATATTTTATTTGCAAAATCCTAAAATCCCACCAACTGTTTTTCATATACATACGACCTGCTAGTTAAACATTGTGGCATAGAACACTGTTTCCAAAATACGTCGATTCCTACTCGAAATTATTTAAAAAAAAACATGTTTTTTTAATTGAGCTAGATGGCGCTTTAGACCCTTTTTACCATATGCCTCACAAAATTCAACTAGTTAAATGGATTTCGTAAGGGTGGTCAGTAAGGGTCTGGGTGGCCAAGTCCAACAATACATCTCCAGGATAAAAAACTCGAATACAGACCAGGCGAATAAAATTAGGGAGAGACGACTCCAAAAAGATGGTGTCTAAACAGCTGTTCACATTATAGTCGGAAGTAAACCAGTTGTTGCCAGATAATCATCTTTGTACGAATTCATTTTACTTCACTTTTTCTTGCTCGGTAATTGCACACGTAGTGTCGATGATTCGTACCTGCCGGTACTTTGGAAGCAAAAAATTAAAAGACACAGCACATTCCTTGGACCGACCAGTCGTCACTTTGCACCTGCCGGGTGAAGACGTGTATTTTCTGTGAATTACATAGTGAGCTAATTGCGGAATGCCGAAACGGCAATATAGTAATGATACAGTAACCCGAAAAAGAATAAGCGGGGAAGGAAGTATGAGCAGATGTGTGAATTAAAACGGCCCAAGAACAAAAGCAGCCTCTTCAAGCGATAGCGTCAGTAGTTCCACTATTATTAAAACCAAAGTAAGTAATTATATCAATATGGTGTAATGGAATGTGTTGTATGTGTAATCGTTATATTCCATTCTGTTTTTTGTCGTTATACAAGAAATGTAAACACACGACGTCTGGTGTTCAAATTCGTATGAGTCTGAAAGGGAAAACCAAATAACTATCGTGGCCGAAATACATCCATTGCCAACATCCACAGCTAACACTATGCCTGAAACTAATGAGCCATCATGTAACTTTGAGTTCTTGGGAAACCATCACAAAAAAAACATGGCGTCAGAACCACTACACACAGAGTTAGCTGTGCGTTGGAATGCCTTTTTGCAAAAGTGTAGACAGGAAGTCTAGGAAGAAAATAAAGGAAAAATATCCTCTTTGAAAATTGTCCAGTAATGAAATCCCCAGGAAGTATCATCTTGTCTAGATGTAAAAAGCTTACAAGACAATTTCATGACTAAGCTACAATACCAAACTGGCCATACTCTAGCCGCTTTTTCAGGGAATAAAATCAACAAGCTTTTATTAGAAAACCATGGAAATTCTAAAGAGCTGGGCTGCTAGCTTACCAGATGCAAAGTACTCCAGGCTATATCTACTCACAGGAAGTATAACATATTGCCTGTCCTAAAACAGTCAGAACGAAAACTGATGGATACATAAAAAACAGATGAACATTTATTCGTTAAGAGTTTCGTCACAGATCTCCGAGGAACTGACGCCGCGAAAAAGACAAGTTTTGAACTGAAAGCTAACAAAAGTTTAAATCAGATTCAAAAACCTGCATTTATCTCAAGAAAACAATTCACCACTGGTGGCCGCTGAAACCAGAATTTACGGCCTGGCCACAGGACATTCGCCACAGCGAATATTCGCGTTGTGCGAACGGCGAAGCGTCCAGCGAGTGAAATAAACGCATAGAAATGTACTTATCAAGCCAGGCGCAACGGCGAATGGCGAAGCGACGGGGAAATGCACCGAGCGAACCGCGTGTGCGACTGGCGGCGCGGCGGGTGAGTGAAACAAAGGCATGAATCCGTATGGCGCGAGCCACGGAGTTTAGTTTTCTTCGCCTCGAAAAATGGACACCAGGCTTTTATTACTGAAATACTTGCTATTTGGAACTCTGGCCACCCAGAGCACTCAAATAAATAACTTATTGTAAAGTATTTTAATTTCATGAAATATTAACATACAGGGTAACATTTAATAAGCTAACCATATTTTGGACAATGATAGTTCCGAAAAAATTTAGTTATGAAAAAATTCCGTTTGCGACTATATGTTTTTTGGGGAAAGTTGTTCGTATTGATGGGGTTCTATCATTCCCCATAATATGCTCAACTAATTAAATGTCATCCTTTATATTTAATGTCAAAAACAATTTTCTATCTGCATTGACTTTTCCAAATTCTGGTTGTACAGGCTGGGCCATCTTTTAGGTCGGTATGTAAACATGAAATAACTTTGAAAACGATAAACTGATTTCTATATATCGGGTATTTTTATTAAATATGGTCCTTTACAATTTATTTTGACTAGTTTTTGAACACAACATCTATCAAGTAGCCACCTTTATTGGCCAAAACAAAATGTGCCCGTTTTGCTACGTTTTCCATTACTTTTTCGAGCATCTCTTGGTGGTATAGCGGCGATTGCGGTACGAATGTTTGCCTTGAATTCTTCAGTGGTCTGGGGCTCGCTGGCGTACAACTTGACTTTTCAAATAACCCCACAAGAAGTCCGTGGAGGTCAAATCTGGAGACCTGGGTGGCCAGTCAATGTCACCTCTTTTTGACATCAGACGTCCAGGGAATTTTCGTTGCAGAAACTGTATTGTTTCATTTGCAGTGTGGCATGGCGCCCCGTCTTGTTGAAACCAGTAACCATCAAGACCTTTTTCACGCATTTGTGGGCAGACATAATGAGCCAACATAGATCGATTTCGACTGTTTCGTTTTCGTTGAAGAAAAATGGCCCAATGATGGTTTTGGCGCAAACGCCGACCCAAACAGTCACTTTCCGGTCATGCAACGGCATTTTGTGGATCTCATGTGGATTTCCGCCCCCCAAATGCGGCAATTTTGCTTATTAACGCCGCTAGAGAGCGTGAAATGGGCCTCGTCTTTGCGAGCGATTGTTTGGGCGTATTCCAAGCGACGTGGACGGTCAGTTGGCAATATTTTTTGTGTTAACTGCACCTTATAAGGAAACAAATGCAAACCATCCTTCAAAATGCGCCGCAACGTGGTTCCACTGATGCCAAAATGCTGAGCGCGGTGACAATACGACACTTTTGGGTTCTGGGCAACGCTGTCTCTGACCGCTTCAACTAATTCATTGGAACGTCTTGGTCGTTGATGAACTTATGTTGACGATCTCCCACTGTGCCGTACTCAAGAAAATTCGAAACTAAACGACGGATAGTGTTGTCAGACGGTGCCTGTTTGCCACGATATTTTCGACGATATGTACGTTGCGTTAACACAACTGAACGAGGATTTTCAATATACACTGTGACCATTTCGGCGCGTTGTTTCGGTGTAAAGCGATTCATGACTAAAATTGTAGTAAATTGACGTTTTCAGAAACACGTATAACCAAATCACTCGGTTGGTTTAGTTGGTTAATATCAAAGTCATTCGATGTTTCAATACCGACATAAAAGATGGCGCACCAGTTATATTAATTAGAATTGAATCGAAGGTTTCGACACTCATTCTGGTATACTCCAAAAATTTTTCTGGATACATTCTGTATTTCTCGTACTTCTACCCCAATTTCTATTCAGATCATGTACTCCACAATCTCTTCCACATATTATGTCTTGAACCAAAAAACTATTACTTTCAAATCAATATTGAGATAACGTTGATAAAAACATTTCGCTCGGTCTATACTGGTCGCGGCGCGATATTTATCGTTCATTTGCAACCTACGAAATATATTTTTCATCAATAAAGTTATAAACCACAGTTTTAGGGCTCTTCACGGAATACTACAGGACTTTGTTTACTAATAAAAATACGTCAGCTTGGAATTAAAAAGTTTTATAATCTCATACTCATTTGACCAATCGTCGGTCTATTTGGCATGACATTACGATGTTTATTTATTCTGTATGACTTTTTGACCTAACCATCGTGAAAAGAGCTGAACTCCAGCCTATTTAGTATAAATTTAGCGTTTTATAAATATTTTATGGCAGCTTGACAACACCGTCTGTTTTTGTAAACCAATAATGGTCCAAGAGCCGACCGTAAAAATTGGTTATAACCTATTTGGAATCTTACCTATTCCCCAAGATAATTCAAGTGTGAAGAATATAGCCTTAACCGCGAAAACAGCTCCATCTATCAGACAATTGTTTAAATTTCCAAAATTTCTGGATTTTAGGCAATATTTTCAAGAAAATCTATATGTGAGAAAATGACCGGTGTTTGAGGTTTTGGGGTTTAATACACGGTTCAGTTCACAAGTTTTGTATTTTTTCTCAAAGCACGTACATAGGCGTCGGCGGTTAGATGTGCGAATATATTTGAACTCAACTCACCATGTTGTCAAGTCAAAAATTAAGTAAAAAAAGTCGGCCACGACAACCGGGTATTGCAAAAATAAAACAAATTAAAAAATATATAATTTATTTAAACTTCCAAAAGATATATTTTTAGTACACAAAAAACCTGCATACAAAAAATATGCACAGGAGAAAGTGTATAACAATATGTTGGTCAAAAATAAATGAACACACACCAATGCTATTTTTCAAGTAAAATGGGACTCTGCCGCTCTGCCAAAAGGACAGAAGACAAAAGTCATTTAAATAGATACCTCTACATAAATTACAATAAATAAAAATAAACAACAGGCATCACAGATTGTAGTGCAGTTATAGATCTTCACTGGCAAACATTCAATAATAAAGAAATATTTTCAGCTCAGTGATTTTCTCAAAATCTCCCTCCCGCATTACATTTAATTTTTGAATGGGTCAAGTCTGCAAGTTGAATTTATTGTAAAAAGAGATAGCTAAAAAGTCTAAAATGTTAGCTGGGCGCTATTTTGGATATGGTATAATCGAATGGAGGCTCATGTAAATAATTTGCAGTGAAGGGCACAGGAGGAAAAAGATGAAACACGCAAAAACAATGACATTTCGCAATTTTACCCAATTGAAAACTAGCAGTGCAGGGAAACACATGAATGTCACACTGATCATCACTGAAACAATTTACCAAACACCAATCTGCGACGAAAGAAATAAACGTTAAGTAACCATTTTTAAGCAGTTACCATTAAAGATTGTTTTGTTTGTGCTATTTTCTTTTGAATAAAGATTTTTTTTGGCTCATTTTTTCCTGGACCAATTAAAAAAATACTTCTGTGTTTGAGCTGTTGAATTTAGAAAATTTATTATGTTCAAGGCTCGGTGTAATAAATTTCTTGTTAAGGTAGTTCTCATATTAGAACAGATCGTAAAACCCAAGATAGGCATTTTGCTGGTCAAATCAACCATCAGATTTTACAGGGTGTCGCATATGACGAAAAGCTCATTTCTAGTCTCAATATCTCAAAGTTGAATTCAGGCATGGACGCTAACCCAAAAAGTGCTTAAAATCATAAGGAGAATCTCAAAATACAAAAATAAAAATGATTTCCATTAAAAAATGTTTGATCTGGTTTCACTTTGGGCTACCCTGTATATCAGAAAATGTTTTTTTATTTATAATTTAAGTTTTTTTCAATTTCTTATAATAAGGAATCTATGGTATTCCGTCAGATCTTTGGCCCACCCTGTACAACGAGTCTAGGAGTCTTCAAACTTTTACATTCACTTTTCTCGAAACTAACTTTTTGTGACATTCATTTTTCCCCTGTACCCTTCAATTGATGAATGTTTAAATCTGCAGCTATAACCTGTATTGCTCAAAATATATAAGGTGTTCTTTGAAAAACGTGGCAATATATCTTGGGCATCAAAAAATAACTCGTTAAATTCATATAAATATAGGTCCTAAAATTTCCCCTTACCGAGATACATAAATTATATGGTAATTTCGAAAAAAATATCTTCAGGGAGATATTGACTTGAAATTTTGAATTATGTAGTACTTACATCATAGCCAATACGTACAAAAATATTCGAGCCTGAGATAATTACACTATTCCTGAAAGTCGCAAATCAAAATTATACCTACCCAGACTGGTTCATAGGAAATCCACAAAAAATCCAGATCAGGATAACATAAGGGATGAGCTGATCCAAAGTGAAATTTTGAGCACGTCTTGTGCTAAATCGGTTACAGGACATGTTATGTTCCAAATTTATATAAAATACTTAATTGGAAAGCGGGGGGCGTGGCCTGTGCTGGAGAGCAGAAGACGTGGTGGCGGAGGCGGCCTAAGTGCTTCTGGAGAAAGGGAATGTTGGTGATTGAAAATTTAAGAGCATCAGTGTTCTGTCCCCAAAGAGAGAGATCTTGTTATAATCTGTCTCTGAATATTTTAGATAGAATCCACATAAAAAAACCTCCAACCCGTTCTACTTTGAACACTTGCTGAGATAAGTAAAGTTTGGCATTGAAAATTGTATGTAGTAAAGTGGAAGAATAATCCTAACTTACCACAGTATTATTTGGACAATATTCATGTTTTGTCCTTATTCAGCCTCATCAGTGGCATGAAAATTTACAGCACTCTGTATTTTGGTAATTAGACATTTTAGGGCCTACATTTATAATATATTTGAATGTACTTTCTAACCTAGAAATATTGCCACATTCTAAAATGTATAATGCCTTTCCTATCTGTACTTATATGCATAATAGCTCAACATACAGTGCTTTTCAAAAGGTTCTTCTCAAAGTATTTTTTGAACGGGTCAAGTTAGAAAATTGAAATTTGGGGTAAAGAAATTGATGCATGAACACTATGTTTCAACGTAAAAATGACAGCCATCTTAAAACACTTTACTTCCTTCTACACTGCGAGGAAGTATTGTAATTCAGAAACATTTCGGAAATGAGATGTTTACGATATGTACATCATGGAAAATCATTTCTGTCAGTCGGCTATTCTTATAACCACCTATAACTTGGGAAGTACCGCTTGGATTTGGATGACATTTTTAAACAAGACCACTACTATGCCAGGGACGAAAAAGCTTTATAGTCTTTCAGAATCGGTTCAGTGTTAATAAAAACTCAAAAAAACAAAAATCTATCTATTTTTGACGTTCCAGAAGCTCCTGAACATGTTCAAAACATTTTGCTGGGGGTTGTAAGGGGTTGGGAAGGAAATATCTCAATTTGTTTATAGTATATTTATATGCTCTCAAACCCACGAAACATATTTTAGACATCATAGGTTTCCACGTTCATTTGTCTTTAAAACTTAAAATGACAGATATTTTTTCGTTATGTATCTCATTCTGGCATCTGGGCTCACCGCTCGGCGTACCGGTCTGGTTGACTGTTCTGCTCGTACTGCAGTAGAGCGTAAACGTTGCCGCTCCAGACGATATCGAAAGGGTCCACGTTGCCAGATGAAGGGCAACTACAGGTAGGGCAGCGAAATAACGTCTCTGCACTAATTGTACAGATCTGCTTGACTGACTTGACCCACTCAATTTCTATGTTGTACATGTTCTTAATTTTTTTGTGGAGGGTGTAACTTGTGCTGAATTAAATCCTTTATGAACTGATGAAGTGTAGTCATAAATTTTGAGTAATAAAATACTCATAAGGAGATTCAAAAAGAGTTATCATACAACCCCCATTACATTTAAAAAAAGTTATTAAATGGTGTGTGCAGCCACCATCTTGAAATTTTCAACTGCCACTGGTGGAATTTCAGTTTTCTAACTTGATTCATTCAACAAATAAGTAGGGGAGGGGACCTTTTTGACAAACACCACAATTTTTAACAGTAAAATCAATCAATTGTGTATAATGTATGATAAAAACAACAATTAAATTTCTCACATAAAGTAACTATAAAGATTTGCCATACTATTCATATTTTTTAGTTCCCCTAGATCTCCAAGCTGTTATTAGGTTCCATGCAAAGTATAAAGAGAATGCATGAACTTGGAGTGCCAAAAGTATAAATGCATACCACAGCAATCCATATGGGTAGCCCTGAAAGATGAAAAATGGGTAATCAAATGTATGAGCAAAATTGTATTTTTACAATGAGTTTTTAGATTACAGCAAAGGAAATCTCTAAAAGTTGCATTTTCCTACTGCAAATAATCATTTGTGACACTTTAGCATCCTTTGATAGTCATATACAAAACCAGCATCCTGAATTACTCCAGGAGACAGCTTCATTCAAGTACAGATAATGAAAATAAAAGTTTTGCTTTGAGAAATTTTTAAGAATTCCAATAAATTTTGAGTATCTGCAATCTTGACCAAAAACTGTTTCATCAGCAAATCAGTTGATGGGAGGCTCCAAAAGTGACATCTTCATACTCCAAATTAGGGCTTTGCAATAGTTTAGCATTTTTTAAATTATTTTACCTGCCATATGTGGATTTGGGATAATTCCTCCTCATCTTCAAATCTTAGGTATGTCCAGACATCAGAGAAATAATAAAGAATAGCATAAAACAATGGGAGAAGTCCAAAAAGTATAAGTCCAAGCATGTAGCTTCTGAGTGGTGCAATTTTATTGCGTTTGATGGCATCTAATCCCAAAAATGACAAAAGTAGACTAATGCACCATATATATTCCCACCATAAGGGCTGAAATGAAATATAATACTTAACTATGATTATTTCAGACAGTTATAAAAGCGGTATATACATATACAGGGTCATTGAGAAAAATATTGCAGTTGTCCTAGAGCTGAAAATGTGTATCAAAAGTTAATTTGAAAAGTTCATTGAATATTTGTATTAAGAGGTTGACTGCCAACTATAAGATACATCATAGGTTGTTGACCTTCCCAAGACCCTAACTACAAGTAATCTCATAGCTTCTTTACACATCAATTTTGTACAGCTAAAACAACAATTGTAGAAGAACATGAATATTTGGCATCTGGGAAGAGACAGAAAAATCAGGGTTGGTATGAATGAACAGAAAATTTATCAAAAAATTAACTAAATAAATTTACTGTATATTCAAAAAACAAATTGTTCTATAATCAATGCTTTTAATAATATGCTTCTGGGACTGTAATTCTTGAAAGTGCCATGGCAGTCAACATGTTGAGCAAATATAAATATAATGCTGGTTATAATATGAATATTTTGAAGTCAGAGGACTTTATGTTTAGCATCTGTCAGTATGACAACTAGTCAGTGTTATTCAGGCTTCCAAAAAGATCTAATTATTATTGTTAATTTTTGACTACCTACCTTAGGAATGGCAAGTTCTTCGATTTCTAATATAAATATGTCTAATTTGTCTAGTATATCTGCAGAAAGTTTTGCTAGCATAGCAAAAAATAGGAGATAGTGGAAGAATATGCAGTATTTAAGTCTTGATTTATTTAAAGCACTGAAACAGGTTGGTTAAAATAAATAATCAATAATCCGGGCATTTGGCATTTTCTCAAAGGTATTGGCCAGGGTATCACCATACTTTAGGTTAAAATTTTACCTTGTTTGATAATGGCCTGCTACACGTTGTCTATAGGCATGATCTAACCCATCAGTTCCTGGAGGGGTATAATACAACCCCTTTGTAGCCATATTCACTTGAATTTCATAAATATTGAAGAACTGCCTAAAATAAAACTAGCTATAGCTACACAAAACATCTAGGGATTTGAGACTAGCTCCGGCCACGCCAGCTGACTAGTCTAGAGATATTTGACCGAACTTGACGTTTACTTGACAATAATGGAGACACGTGTAGTCACAAAACGTGTATGCACTGTCGTCCGCGTCATGCCAAAAATTTTGGACAGACATTTTCTGATTTGGCAGCATTGCCGCTTATTGTTTATGGGACAATCCATTGACAATTATTCATATTTGAAGACAAATAATTAAATCTGAACAATAATAAGGCAATAAACTATCATGCAATGGAAAAAAACGAAAACGAAGGAATATTTCAGCTTTATTCATCATTAAAAACAAAGTCAAGCGGGCAATCTGTAATTATCGTGTTTGTGATTAGCGTTTTGACTTTTCTACCACAGAACATAAAACAAAGAACAAAACTGGATCAAGGCCTGCAGCAGTTTTAACTATCAGGACAGGAGAATCTGTACCAGGAGACGTGGAGACAATTGATGTTGAGTTTTGAAATTATGACTGGTTATAACCATTATTCGGGGTCCCGAAGTGATCTAGGGTTCTGTTGCCTTTGATTTTTGTATCTTGTTATTTTATGCATTTGTCATTTCATGTTTTGGCCATCGCCTACCCTCATACGGCTGATATCCATCCATCACCACCCCCAAGACAATCGATTTTCTGCCTTCCCTAATTTTTAGGCAAATAACCCTCAGCCTACACCGCTGAGTAACAAGTCAGCTGAGCCTCGGCGTCATCATGCTGATTCAGGTGTTATCAGTAGCTGCAATAGCATAAGTGACTATTGTTGCATATGCAGAAGTTACAGAGCAGACTAGTACAGTACGTTAGTGGGTACTGGTAGGTTTGGTTCAAAGAGCGGGGAGATAGCTTTCTATCCGCGGAACGTATGATTTATAGCTTTTTAAAAACAAGTTAGTCGTAAAACCTGTAAGTTGTATTCTAGTTGATTAGATTTTTGGGCCTTACGTAGGGGAATTCATTCGCCATTTGAGATTGTAGAATCGCAGTGCCGAGAAGACCAGTCATCATCTAGTATACAGTTCTTTCTCATGAAACATGTATGAGACAAAAATAGCTAGATCAACTGGCCGATTTACATGCTACTATTCCGTATTTTACTGTTTTAAGACTATGGATACAGATCTACCAACTTACAATTGGTATTGTAGGTGTTTTATGGACATAAGTGCGAGTGCGACCATGAGAGAAGAAAAAGCTACAGAAAGATAACATTGTTATTCAAGAGTGTACAGTTTTGTGTATTTAAAAATGGAATAAAATACCTTAAAAATTTCCTGATATGGCAACCCTGTACGAGTTCTAATGCAGGTCACAAAACAGGCTCATACAGGCTAATAAGAAACGTCAATGAGGTGACATATGTCATAAAATCTTACTTTCTTGACAACTGCGGATGACGCTAGACTCCCGAATTTTCGATATATAACGAGCAAGTTGCTATGGTGTAATTCCTAAAATTTAAAGTATCAATTTGAAATAGTACGGAACTAATTTGCTAAAAATAAACCCTAGATTAAACTCATTAGAATATTCAGAACATCTACAACTTCCAAATATCAACTGTTAGAAAACTTTTATGGTAACAGATGTATCCATCTCACAAGCTGCAGTATATTCATCTACATGTAAACACCCAATCAATAAAATGTTTAGTTGTCTTATTTTGCTGCTTCATTATTATCTTTGATCTTCGTTATTTCCAATCGCGCAGACTGAAGCGTGAGAGTCCCGAAACGACTCGATGTTTACGTTGACCGGTAGCAGACGCGCAGAGTGGGAGCTGGAAATGGCGTGGTATGTACTACCCGGCCGTACCGTATCGCCGCAGCAAGGTACAGCACTCGCATGCTTCAGTCTCTCGGCAACCGTCGGCGCAGCAGAATGTCTACGCGTTCACAGCTCCGTACAGAGCTCTATTCGGTTTAGCTACTTCTTTTCAGTGGTGTTCACTATAGGGTTCTCGATTGTTTCTCACTATTGCTTTGGTGTTTTAGTGTTGTGACGTGGATGCCAAGTGTCGCCAAAATGGAAATTAGGTCTTCTTCCAACTCTTCTGAGGAAAACAGGATATCTGTGTAGGAAACTAGGTGAGCCTTGCATACTCATCTACTTGTGTGTAAGGGTTGACATCCCATGAAATTGCACTGAGAAATTAGTTATATACTGAGGTATTTGGGAAAAACTGAAATTTGGCCTAATCGTTTTTATTTTTGTCTGACTTTATTTTAAGAAATGTCAAGAAACTAATGGCACTATTCAGACACTACATGGTGGTGTTTTTAAAAAAGTGCTACACTGTATCTAATAGCAGCTTTTTCTACGACTTCAACGATGTATCGCGTTACATTTATTTTTTAGTTAAAAAGGAACGTATTTTTTCCTACTTTTCTTTATATTTGAGTAGGCGTTGCAAACAAATGTAAGATTATGTGATTACTGAGCTGATCCTTATCTTGGCCAGCCTGTAATACATTATTATAAAAAGAAATTTACAGAAACGTGCACTAATCCAACGTTCTTGTCAGTATTCTTGTGTACTTTCATTCATTTCTGAAAAATCTCAAAGCTATTAGCAAGGCCTCGAACAAAAGGTCCAAAGAATTTATGATAGCAGAGGTAGCAAAATCGTCCGATGAGCTGGCAATGCCGCAATGCAGATGACAAGATCAACTTTCAAATCGTATGTATATCCCGGGGTAACGACGGAGTCATTTAGAATGTTAAGGCGGCAGATTTCCAATCTTCATTCGCATATTTTTAAGTATTGTGCAACAATTTCGAGAACAATTTAGCTACGGATATTCTAGTAGAGTATATTTAGGCGGTTACCTATACCACGTGATTTTTTGACATTTGGATGATGTCACATCCGTCTTCCTCTAATCCCGATCTTCGCGAAAATTTGAGTATCGGTTCCCGGTACCTACTGCACTGTTTTACACCATGGACTCCCGAAAAAATGCTTATTGTTGTCGAGTATGGTATCGTAAAACTGGGAAAGTGCGACGAAAATAATGTTATTTTATAAGAACATACTGGTTAACAGATGATAGAAATATAAGATTTAGATCACAGATCAAAATAAATGGAAGAAAGAAGCAGTGTTCTGAATTAACTAAATTGTCATGATTTTTTTCATGTATGCATGTGGCAAATAAGGTTGATTTTTATCGAAGTTCTGATAGTTTTGTAGTCATTTGTCGTTCTGTGATTCATTAGTTAATTCCAGATCTGTTTATTTATTGACAGGTTTAACACATTATCAAAACTTTTCCATGGGAAATTTTCATCAGGTTTTAAAATTTTGGGTCGATTAAATCAAGAAAACATAAGTAACCTGTCATGTCAGTATTGTCAAATTACCACTTTTCACTTTAAGGATTTTTTCGTGAGTCCACGGTGTAGCACAGTGCACTACCGGGAACCGATACTCAAATTTTCGCGAAGAACGGGAATAGGGGAAGACGGATGTGACGTCGTCCGAATGTCAAAGAATCACGTGGTACGGGTACCCGCCTAACGTCTGTGAGTTACTAGCGGGTGACAGGTCTTATGTCAATTCATTTAAAAAATAGGCATCTCAATTGAAAATTTGTCTTCGCAGTGCCGAAAATTGAGTTAAAGTATTAAATAATAAATGGAGGAACACGTCCACCTGATTTTAAATGACGAGGGAGAAGGTCATCGAAGATATATGAACCGCACTTGTCATATCAAATGATTGATTTTATTGATATATATGTATATTGCACAAAAAACGATCGGTCTTTTTATTTCAGATTCAAACAAGGCAGCTGAGTTTATCAAGGAACTCAAAGCAAACATTTTGGGCAACATGCGCCATCTAACCACTCCCGGTGTAACTTGAAACTGTCAGAACTTCGAGAGGAAGGGGAAATTCCATCTGTTCCCGCTCCGGTTCACTACGGGATCTCGCGAATCTCTTGTGTTCATAAAAACTCTCTTTGTGCCAACGTAACGGAAGTCATAACGATTCGTCATTCTTGTTGCTCTAAAAACTCTAATACAATGAAAATTGCATAGCTGGTAGTTGAATGTATTCTATAACATACTTGATCTAATAATTGAAATATATTTATGGAGCGACTGACTCTGACTGTAACCACTTCATCGTTACGTAACGAGAATTCGATAGTCATGATATGTCACTGTCTCAACGAACTTCCGTTGTAATCAACGAGGACCGTAGGTTCCTAGGAACAAGTTGGTGGAAAAGTTCCTCCCATAGACTAGAGAGGTTGAAAATATTTGCAAAACTAGTAATTTTCTGCTACATCCATCGTATTAGTTCAATTTTGTGAAGCTGTGTTCGAAACGTCGCATTTTATGTTTAGCAAGGAGCAAGGGGCCGCATCTGTTTATAAGAAATGAAAATGGAGTGGACACCGCAAGAAGATGGTCTAAGAGAAATTTTAACATTATTAAGGGAATCGCAGTCTCCAGATACAGCTACTCAGAGGGCCGTTCAGCAAGTATCCTTTTGATGGAGAAGTGATGCATAGTAGTCTAATTATAGTGCATTTGTTTTGAGTGCGGGACATGATATTGTGTTAAGTAGTTGTGAAATCTATTCGTAAAAACCATTTTCACAGGTTACCTTGTGAAATTCTGATATAAAGCTAGTAATCTCAAAGCATTGCTCAAGTTTGATGCATATTGTTATTCTAAATTTGCTCAGTCTATAGTAGAAGTTAGCCTGTAAAGTATGGCAAGTGAAAATTGTAGTAAAACCCATTGCCTTGAAATCAGATTACTCTTCCTATTCTATTTGACAGTGTTGCTTATTTTCAAGTCTATGATCCACAAATAATGGTTTGACTGTTAAATAAGTTAAATTTTAGATGTCTATAATATCAATATTATGTGCTTAAATAATAGCAAAATTCCTTGAAGATATTTGTTCTACCAATTTGTAGAAAATTTAAGCCAGTTAGTCAGTTAAGTCAGACTAAAGATCTTAACAAGCTATTAGTCCATTATTCTTCACACATTTGTTTGAGTTTCTAGATGCTGTTCACATCTGGCTAAATCAATCTAATCCGATTTTAATGCACCTTAGTATGTTTTCCTTAATAACCACACTTAGAAATTAGAAGAGCTGAATAAGTATCCAGACTTCAACAATTACTTGATGTTTGTTTTGACAAAACTAACTACTGAAGATGAACCAACAAGATCTCTAAGTGGTTTGATCCTGAAGAATAATGTGAGGACACATTACAATAGCTTATTACCTAATGTTACCAATTTTATAAAGACTGAATGCTTACAAGCTGTTGGAGACCCTTCACCACTAATACGAGCGACTGTAGGGATTTTAATAACAACTGTAGCTAGTAAGGGTGACCTTTCATCATGGCCTGAGTTGCTACCTGCTCTGTGTAACATGCTGGATTCCACAGATTATAATATTTGTGAGGGTGCTTTTGGAGCCTTACAAAAGATTTGTGAAGATTCTGCTGAAGCTTTGGATGCAGATACTACCAATAGACCATTGAATATCCTTATCCCCAAATTTTTACAATTCTTCAACCATTCAAGTCCGAAAATTAGATCCTATGCAATAGGTTGTGTCAATCAGTTTATTATACAGCGTTCTGAAGCATTAATGTATCACATTGACTCGTTCATACAGGTAAGCATTTATATAATTTTCATTTGTCAGTCACTTTGTCAGTTACAATCAGTTGTGAATAATAAACAGAACACTATATTAAAGTGTTACAGTAACTTATTGGTATGATATGTATTCATAATGTATACAGGGTGATGGGAAAATAGATGGGGAGCCGGTGGTGAGATTGTACAAGCCAATCTGAGTTGATTTTACTATAGGAACTACTGTCTGAAAATTAGCCGTTTTCGAATTATATTAATCTTTAAGATTTTATAAAATTAACGTCCTTTATACGTTAACCAAGTCATAAAACTTGAGAATTGGGTGTTTCATTTGATTTTTTTTTGGTTTTACAATAAAAATATTCTAAAATACGAAAATTGATACTCAAATGTACATTATTGACGTTATCTCATGCAGTAAGCTTCAAAATAGTTCGATTTTTGTTAAAAAAAATTCATCTCAAAAACTATTTACTAGAAACAATCACCTACAAATTTTTCATGTAAAACAATTTTAAAATATGTTTCATTACCTTTCAAATGAGGTATCAAAGTCACAAACTGGTTTAGAAATGACAAAGATATGAGTGAAAGAAACAGATAGAGCCGCGAACATCGGACTTTTCCACTGGAATAGTGTGATAAGTAAGACTAGTCACCCCTCTCCCTCCCTCGCTTCAATCTGCTCTTGCGATTTGTTGCATTCGGATGTGTCTGTTTGCTCGCTGTTTTGGTATTTCTAACGACTTGGCTCTTGTTGGACTTCCATGTGTGATTCTTTTCCTGACGACTCAGACTGTATCCTGTTTTCTGTGATTCCTTACGACTTGGCTGCTGTGTGACTTGATTGTTCGTTGATCTACCTATCGATGAACAATGGCTGATGAACAGATCGGTAGAGACGGACCAATCCCATGGCCAGCATGCAGTCCAGATCTCAACCTATGGGCTTTTTTGTGTGGGATCGCATGAAAACTTACTAAAGTTTTGATCAGAGTATACTAATACTCTGATCAAAATCCTGTACCCACAATAGAAGACCTCAGAAACAGGATAATACATGCAGCACAAGAAATTCAAGCCTCTCTTAGGAATTCGGCAGTAGTAAAATCAGCTGTCATAAGAAGAGCACGTTTGTGCATTAGAAATAGATGGCGCCATATTGAAAATGTATTATAAAAGCAAAAAAATGTGTTTTCAAACAAATTATCCTGTATTAAGGTATGATTTTATAAGTGTAGTATTTTTATTACTTTTTCCTTCCTCCTTTTATAATAGTCATATTTTGCCAATTCTTAATCGATTTGTGATTTTTATACCTCATTTGAAAGGTAATGAAATGTAGATGTTTTCTAATTATTTTGTACGAAAAATTTGTATGCGACTTTTTCTAGTAAACTGAAGCTTTTTTTAACAAAAATCGAAGCTTACTGCATGAGATGACGTCAATAATGTACATTTGAGTATTAATTTTCGTATTTTAGAATATTTTTATTGTAAAACAAAAAAAAAATCAAATGAAACACCCAATTTTCAAGTTTTATGACTTGGTTAACGTATAAAGGACGTTAATTTTATAAAATCTTAAAACTTAGTGTAATTCTAAAACGGCTAATTTTCGGACAGTAGTTCCTCCAGTAAAATCGACTCAGATTGGATTGTACTATCTCCCCCCACCGGCTCCGCATCTATTTTCCCGTCACCCTGTATTTAATTTCTGAGTATCATATTCAGTAGAAGAAAATTGGTATGAACAAAATCAAAATGCTGACACCAGAAATAAGTAAGTTTAATATTTAGCAACATTATATTCCTCCTTTTTCTTATTTTGTAGAAACTTTTTTCTGTGGCAACTGATGAAGATTCTGAAGTTCGAAAGCATGTATGTAGAGCACTAGTTATGCTTTTGGAGGTACGAATGGATCGCTTAATACCTCATATAGATAATATCATAGAATACATGCTAGTAAGAACTCAAGATCCTGATGAATCAGTTGCATTGGAGGCCTGTGAATTTTGGTTATCATTAGCTGAACAGCCAATTTGCAGAAATGTACTTACCAACCACTTAGCTCGACTGATTCCTGTGTTGGTCAGAGGCATGAAATATTCAGAAATCGACATTATTTTATTGAAAGGTGAATATGAACTTTATTATTTGTCTTACAGGAACTGCAGATTATCAGTATCATTATATGGCTGGCAGTCAACAAACAACCAGTGGTGAATCAGAATACGAAAAGGTTTTCTCACTTGCAATAATCCTTATAACGCCTTTGGAGTATGAATATTAATTTCGCATGCTTCATTATTTCATCAAAATGTTTTTGTGTGTAGGTGATGTAGAAGAAGATGACAATGTGCCTGACAAAGAAGAAGACATCAGGCCGCGTTTTCACAAAGCCAAAACTCACAATCTGAGAGCATGCATCAATGGGGAGAATGGCGACAAAGAAGATGATGATGATTATAATGATGGGGATGATGATGGCTCACTTTCCGATTGGAATTTGAGAAAATGTAGTGCTGCTGCCGTGGATGTACTTGCTAATGTTTTCAGAGATGATTTGCTGGAAATCCTTATACCCATCCTTAAGGAGACTTTGTTCCATCAAGAATGGGATGTTAAAGAATCTGGGATCTTAGCCTTAGGTGAGATGTCTGCTCTTTTTTTATACTCCAACTACCAGGAAGGCCTAAGGCCTAAACACCCATGTGGTACCGTGGGGCTATAGGGGGATACAGGAGAAAGGTGGAACGCCACACGGACTCTGGCGAGGAAACATGTGTTCATGCAACATGCACACATTGTGGCCCTGCCTACGAGATCCGGCGGGTGGTACCTTCGCGTTCGACAGTCAGAGACCACCTACCACCTACGGACAATCACAGCATCCATCGCCAAGAGAAAAATTCTCTTTGGACAGGATTTGAACCCGCGCAGCGCTCGGCATCTGATTAGTAGACCCATAACGTCATTACCAAATCAAAGATAACTGGAATAATTTCTGAACTACAGTACTATTGTATGAACTTATGCTTAGTCCAGTCAAGTTTCTTATCCACATTACTATTAGAATTCATGTAGTAGTAGCAGAGGCACCTCTCACTTCTATGTGGAATTGCATATTGTCATATAGATCAGGATAATATTGAAATAACTACCGACTACCGTGAAGTCTATGAAAAAAAGATGAACCTCGCCAGATTTGCCATTGGTATGCATCTACCTCACCACCCTTGGAACATTCTCTTCATGGCTATGATTAATTTAAAAAGTACGAGGTCTTTTTTATTGTAAGAATTCAGATCATGTTGAAATAATCTCCAAATTTTCCGTGAAATACAAATATTATCTTAGCCAGATTTAGGCAATTTTGTATTTCGCCGCCCCCGCGGGAGTAAAATGAATATCAATCATTATACAGTAATATTATATTTCTTATCATTATAGGTCTTCAAAGCATGTTAAAATAATCACCAACATCTCCATTAAATCTGTGTAAACCATTTATATGTACAGGATGGCACAACTTTTATTTAGTCCATGATTGTTTTAAAAATATGCTATACTAATAGATAATCCGGCACGCATGATACCTGTTTCTTGTACCACAGTTTTTCCGCTAGGCTTCCAGCGTTATGACCGATTTAGTTGCGATTATTATCTTTCAAGTAAGCAAAGCTTCTTGGCTGATTCGTAAACACATATTCATTCAAATATCTCCAAAGAAAAAACTCAGGTGTAGTTAAATGCTGTGAATGGGAAGGCCAATTTGAGTTGGCTCTCTGCCAAATAACAATGATACTAATCTGAAGGATTGGTACGCCACTGACCAGATAAACAGAACGTGCAAAATTGCTCCGACATTTCAAAAATCTTGAACAATATTGAGATCGTGTCGAAGTAGTGCGAAAGTTTGGTGGAACCACCAGAGATTAGGCTCACTTATTGGTAATCTACACTCTAGCGTAGAAAATTCAATAAACAATTTTGAAAATAGGTAGGTTAACCTTCTCCGAATGGAGAAATAAGGGGAATTGAAACACTTTATACAGATAGACAATTGCATAAGAAAAGAAAACATGGTATCAAAACCTTTTAAAATAAAAGACTGTTTACGACAGGGAGGCATTCTAACTCCTACACTTTTGATATTTATTGTAGACGTGTGGTTTGTTCGTACAGTAGTCGGTAACTTGTCGGTGATTGTCAAAATCAGAATCAGAGAGATGTTATCTGTTCGTACAGTTTCTGACTGTTTGCCGATAGCTAATCGGCTGTTCGTACAGAACCTTCTGACAGATCAGAGGACACCAGTCAACCAGTGACAGTGACAGGTATCAGAGTGTGTCGGAACTATCTTGAGGGCTAAAATTGCTTCGCAAGAGGAATTTAATGAACTTTTCTCTAATGGACGATCTGAGGACACCTTCGTACCAACGGGCCGTTGGCGATCTAGCTACGCCAACGGGCTTTGCTCCTCAGAGCTCTCTTCCATGGTGTCGCCCAGGATATGTTTCTGCTTCGAGCAATGGCTCTGGTGCTTATAGAGTGATCTCTCTCGGCTGCTTCTATTATATCTTCTATTTCTTCTGGGCGTTTCCTCGGCGCTCCTAGCTGACGATGAGTGCCATATACGCATTATGGACGCGTAGAAAAACGCAGTAGCCGGGATATGCCGCCGGTTGTGGTCCACCTCTTCTAACCACATACACCCGATACATGCGAGCAGCTGCTCGAGCATTTCCTAGGGCAGCACCATAATAGTAATGCATTTCTGCATAATCTCGCGGAGAATATGAGATGATTCTACTCAGATGCCAAGCGTTAGATACAAATTCCGCGCTGGACCATTGCCTGACTTAGTAATTTCGGTCGGAGCGAAGATTGAACGATCCCGTAGCTGGAATGCCGAGTTGAACGCCCAAGCTCATTAATTCGGTAGGTTTTGAGGCCCCTCTATCATCTAACTTCCGTTGATCCACTACTAACTTTGCACTATATACACTAATCTGGAATTTCGGAATTTCTTGGCGAACCCTATGTAAACATTCGGTAGTTCACAAAAACCTACGTACATATCTATTAGAATTGATTCCCCGGCATTTTCTCAATTTGACCTTGAAATGACTTGATATGGACAAACTGATTTCAGGTTCGGTCGCAGGGACCAATAAAACCTACAAGCATGTCAGATAGGTGCTAGATAGTTAATTATATACTTTGAAATTTCACCTAAAACTGACCTTGTACTGACCTTTGCCTTGGCCATGGGAAGGTTCTTAAAGTGTCGTTTTTTGTCAAATCGTTCAGTTATTTTATATACATGGAAAAAAAATATTATTGAAATTTTATTAGGCTGAAGACCGGTCTTATAGACCCTTCTCCTTTGAAAGATGCACCTGTTGGGAATTATTCAAATCATACCTTTTATTTTGTGCCATCCTCTACATACGCAAAAACGTGTATGATCGTCGTTTTATGGTTGCTTGTTTTTTGTATGGGTACGCTTGTTACCATTTAAGAGCCCTGTCTGAGTGAAGTTGCCCATCTATCAAAACTACGTTTTTTAAGAAATTTGTCATATTAGAGGAAACGTATTAAAAACTAAAATGTATTTCTGATAACATACGATATTTTTATTTAATATTAGCCTAAAATACCACATTTTTTTGTAACAAAGAAAACATATCTTACAAATTCGAAAAAACTGCCGATTAATAGAAATCAACGAAACCAAATAGCAGCAAATCACCATCGCTTACATCGCCTTTTCGACTGATTACAGCTTCGATACGTCTTGACATAGTGTCAACTAATGTTTGGTAGTTATCTGGTGTAAAACTGTTCCAAATTTCTTGGAAACGGGTCCGCAATTTTAGAACGGTTCTTGCGGGATTCGATCGGAGCTTTTTTTTTCATTATATGCAATCGGCGATAGATCTGGACTACTGTACGTCCATTTTAAAACTGAAATATTGTTTTCTAACATCGAATCTTTTACTTTTTTAGCCAAGTAGCACCATTTTGTTGGGAGATACAATCAATATTGTTTAAACACATTTGTTCAATTTGGGGTAATATTTTGAAGTACATCAATGTACTTATCAGCATTCATAATACCTTCCACAAAGTCACACTCCACTTTGCTGACGTCTATCCTCAAATTATAACAGAAGCCGGAAACTTAACTTTTTTTAACACACTCATTCTGAAACACTTCTTCCTTAGTTCTTATTACACAACTCCTACTATCACCAACGCATACTTAAAATCTGGCTTTATCACTCCAAATAATGGAGTTGCGTTGGTTCCGAGACCATAACTCGTGTTCTTTGCTAGTCTGTTTTTCTTCTGAATCTTAAACATTTAAAGAAACAAAAAATATAATTGAAATAAGATTTTAATTAGCCCTCAAATTAATTCACAAATATCATGTTTTGGGGACGTTCGATCAACTTCAAGGAGACAGGGTTCGTAGAACTTATGGTAGAAAATTGTTTTTAGGTGCTATTGCAGAAGGTTGTATGACTGGTATGATTAGCCATTTACCAGAATTAATTCCTTACCTAATTAATTGTTTAAATGATAAGAAAGCCTTGGTTAGAGCAATAACTTGTTGGACATTGAGTAGGTACTCTCATTGGGTAGTTTCCCAACCTCACGACTCCTACTTAAAACCGTTGATGACAGAACTATTGAAGAGGATACTAGACGGAAATAAGAGAGTCCAGGAAGCAGCATGCTCAGCTTTTGCAACATTAGAAGAAGAGGCCTGTACAGAGCTGGTGCCATATTTAGGATTCATTTTGGAAACATTAGTATTCGCCTTTTCCAAATACCAACACAAAAACTTGCTCATTTTGTATGATGCTATAGGAACTTTAGCTGATTCAGTTGGTAGTCACTTGAATAAACCAGATTTCATCAACTTACTTATGCCGCCGTTGATACACAAATGGAATGTACTGAAGGACGAGGACAAAGATTTGTTCCCTCTGCTAGAGGTAATTATATCTTGAATTATTTGCGCAAGCATGTTGAATACTTGTACTTATTACCAGTAACATTTGTTGAAATTTTTCCTCAAAAGTATTTCCTAAGTTAGTACAAAATAGTCAGTGTCAGAAATGTGGTCAATAAGAAGCTAAGATCATATTCAAAACCATAATACTGCTACTTGTTAGCAATGTCGATTCAAAAGGACATTGTTTTGTTCAAGTTGTACCACTATTTATTCATATATTTTTTAAATTGTTTCAGTGTCTTTCAAGTGTCGCCACTGCCTTACAATCTGGATTCCTGCCTTACTGTGAACCTGTATATTGCAGATGTGTGTCTTTGATACATCATACTCTTTGCCTGCAAATGGTAAGTATTCAAATATTACACATTAAATAATATCTGGCCTTCCTGATGATGGTATCTACAGGGTGTTTTTCTAATAAGTGTTCAATATTTCATAGGTGTTTTCAAGAGAAAACGTTCATATTAACATCAGTCCCAGAATGCGCCCTTATCGAGCTTCAGGTTCAGAGTGTTGAGGTTATAATTTCAAAATCATGAAAATTTTATATCTCCCAGATGGAATAAGGTGTCAACTTTATTGTTGTACAGGGTGGACCTGAAAGACGTAAGAATTTCAAAACCTCATTGCTCGTGACAGGCACGCGGGAGCGGGACTCGGGTAGTGGCGATAAATAGCGCTCATCTAATTTCGATGAACGGCCGAGTTTTGACAAAGAGCCATTCTTTTCGGCTGGTCGGAGTCCAGATCACCGAGGACCTGATCTGGCACGTAGACATTTCGTCAATAGCTGCAGCTGCTGGGAAAACGCTAGGCTATTTGTTTAGGGCTAAGAAGTACTTTTCTCCGTATGACCTTCTCACTCTATACAAGACCCAGATAAGGCCTAGCCTCGAGTATTGCTCACACATTTGGGGTGCTGCCGCCCCGACTACATTATCCATGCTCGATGCTGTCCAGAGGAGGGCGGACCGACTGATCGATGACTCTTCTCTAACAGACAGTCTCGGGACTCTTTCGCACCGGCGGGCTGTTGGCGATCTAGCTCTTTTCTATCGCTACACCAACGGGCTTTGCTCCTCCGAGCTCTCTTCCATGATGCCGCCGCGCGATGTGCCTGTCAGACAGACCCGCCTGACTTTGGCGTCCCATCCTAACCGTGTCGTCGACTTCGTACATTCCGAACTGGCCGATACGACCGCTCCTTTGTCCGGAGGGTGTCGAGATTGTGGAACAATCTACAAGAGGAAGCTTTTCCCAGTTCTACTAACCTTAGACAGTTTCTTTGGGATCATCATAGCAGCCGCGGTGTTCCGGCATTTAAGCTTCTGCCTGCGCGGCTGCTATATATATATATAAATAGCTTGGTGCTCGGAAATTTAGTCGCCATGGAGCGTTTTACCGCTGAGCAGCGTGCGTTTTGTGTTAAGGCTTATTACAAAATTGGAGATTCGCGCACTATTGCACGGCGTCTGTCTGCGTTTAGTTTACATGATCTAAATCAAGGTCCTGATGAAAGTGTCATCAGGTCGTGGGTCAAAAAATTCCAGTCTACCGGTTCGACACTGAATCAGAAACCTGCAGGACGTCCAAGGTCAATACGAACAGAGGAAACTGTAAGCGAAGTTGCGACGTCCGTACGGCGCGGTCCACAGTAATCAGATATCAGCTGAGCTCGCCATATCAAAAACATCTGTAAGGCGTATTTTAGTCAACAACTAGTCCTGGAATTGAAACCGCAGGACCACCATCTACCGCGTGCGTTTGCCGAAACAATGTTAGAGCGCTTTCCAAGTTGGAACAGCATTCTCTTTTCTGATAAAGCTCATTTTCATTTGAGTGGATGGCTCACATCTCAATGATGTTATTTTAAACAAATTAAAAATCTAAATTATCTTCCTTACGCTTTGTAGTTTTTTCTATGATTTTTTTAAATCCGCTCAACTTGATGGCCCACCCTGTACAAAATGAATCCGTAGCGTACAAAAAACTATGTCTCTGTCTCCCTGGCGTTGACGGATCCTCAGAATTGTGGGTCATTTGTCGATATGGGGAATTTTGAAATACTACTAGATAGATAATCAGTTGTTATTATACCGTAATGGATACTAGTGGAAAGACAGTGTGCAAAAATGCTGCGAAAATAACCAAAAACATTTTTTTCCTATAGACGGTCGGTTACAAGATCATTTTATTTTCAGGCTAATTCGCAAAATCCCGACCAGTTTGAGGCACCCGATAAAGATTTCATGATTGTTGCATTAGACCTACTATCAGGTTTAGCAGAAGGCCTGGACGGTCATATAGAAAAGCTAGTAGAAAATAGCACTATAATGCAATTGTTACATTTGTGTATGCAAGATTCGATGCCTGAAGTTAGACAATCATCATTTGCTTTGTTAGGCGATTTGACGAAAGCTTGCTTTCAACACGTTCAGCCGCATATAGCAAATTTCTTACCTATTTTGGGACAGAATCTGAATCCGGAATATATTTCTGTTTGTAATAATGCCACTTGGGCGATAGGAGAAATTGCCATAAAATTAGGTAAGTCTTGTTAGAATAACCGTTTCGTCAAGTTTAGGGGAAGAAGTCCTCTGAACCAAAGTAAAGGTTTACCGCCAGTAATTTGTCTTGAACCTTAACTGAATCATTCATTTCAAAAACCAGTCCTGTTTCTTCCTTTTTTCTACTGGAAACGCTTCATTAAAGGTAGATGTGTGTTCTGGGTATACACCTAGTAAGTTACAACATGCCTTCCCCTTCCAATAATACCACATAATACTGGTTCAGTGTATAAACATCGTAAGTCCGGTAGTTACTTGATTTTTGCATGCGCTATTCAATGACGGATACTTTAATGGGCCATTTCAAAAACAGTACCAGTCTTCTTAATTTGTTTTATTTTTATGCTTATATATATATATATATATATATATATATATATATATATATACAGTGCCGAGCAAAAGTAGAGAAACAAACACATTGCAAGTAAAAATCCAGAAAGATTTACTTTAACCTAAAACTGTACACTAAAGTTTTTTATGTATGACTACCTCAAGATAATGAAATGCTTATCTTTGTATACATTCTTTTTTTTTTCAATATAACATGGTCGGTTCTTTGTTCAACGAGCAAAAATAAAGAAACATTTTTTAAATATTTAGTTTATATTTAGTCGTGGATTAGAATAGGTGTTATTTTTGAGTGTATTTGGTGATGTGTAGTTCAGAAACATGGCCAGAGGAATTACATTGAATTTAATTTAAGCCGATCGGTAATTTGCAAACCTATTAAGACTGGTAGGCCGCGAAAAACCACACCTAGGATTGATAGGAAAATTAAAACAATTGCTCTTAAACATCCATTTACTACTGCTGTCGACATAAAAGCCCAACTTGAAGAAGTAAATATTGGTGTCCACACTGTTCGAAGACGTTTAAGGGAGAGTGATTTACCAGCAGGGAGACTATCTAAAAAACCCTTTAAAATCGGACCGCCCGTCTTCAATTTGCTTACGATCATTTGAACTGGTCAGAAACAAGGCGGAATTTTGTATTATTTTCTGATGAAAGTAAATTTAATTTATTTTCATCGGTTGGCATTTTATGGGTAAGACGTCCTAAAAACAACCGATTTGATCCTAAGTTCACTTTGGGCACAATCAAACACGGAGGCGGGAAGGTTCAAGTATGGGGTTGCTTCTGTGGTCTTCAAATGGGACCTATCGTCAAAATTGAAGGAATTATGGACCGGTACAAATACTTGGAAATATTAACTGATACCATGCTACCTTACGCAGAAGAAAACATTTTTTGCAGATCACAATATTAATGTCATTAAGTGGCCAGCTTAGAGTCCAGACCTTAACCCCATAGAGAACCTATGGGATTTAGTTGATAAAAAAATTCGGACTGAACATCCAGAAAAGTTCAAAAATAGTGCCTAACTATTTGAAACAATCGAAGTCGCCTAGAATTCTATTTCAAAAGAAACAATACATAGCCTAATCGGTTCTATGAGAAAAAGATGTCTAGCAGTTATCAAAAATAAAGGTTATGCAACGAAGTATTCTTTGTATACGACAATTGCTTAGTATATCATGTTTCTCTATTTTTACTCGCTGTATTTTCTAATAATAATTGTTAGCATAGTTTTATTAAAGTAGAAATTTTATTTTCATGTTGGCTTTGAATTACATGTTACATTAAGTTATAATAAGTGTTTAGTTTGCTTTAATAGTTTAATAATATCTTTAAAAAATAAAATGTTTCTCTACTTTTGCTCGGTACTGTATATATCAATTTCAAATTCACTGACTCAATCCTCCTCATTGGTATGACTGGGAAATACCTTCAAATATACGCTAAATATTTTGAGTATCAATTTATATAGATAGTATAAATAACTACCTTAAAACTGCCAGCCAACCATGGACAGCTGTTTCATGCTTTTTGGAAACTCCTCAGCATGGTCTAGTCTTGGGCCTCTTGGACAATGAACGAAAACACTATTTAGAGTGTGTGATCTATCGAAATAAGACGGTGGTAGATGACGCTTTGCACTTAATTCGGTTCATTTCGGCTGGTCGGAGTCCAGATCACCGAGGACTTGATCTGCCACGAACACATTTCGTCAATAGCGGCAGCTGCTGTGAAAAAGCTAGCCTACTTGTTTAGGGCTAAGAAGTATTTTTCTCCGCATGACCTCACTCTATACAAGGCCCAGATAAGGCTTAGCCTCGAGTGTTGCTCACACGTTTGGGGTGCTGCCGCCTCGACTACATTATTTACGTTTGATACTGTCCAGAGGAGAGCTGTCTGACTGATCGATGACCCTTCCCTGACAGATAGGACCCTTTCGCACCGGCGGGCCGTCGGCGACCCAGCTCTCTTCTACCGCTACACCAACGGGCTTTGCTCTTCAGAGCTCTCCTCCATGATGCCGCCGCGCCATGTGGCTGCCTGAGAGACCCGCCTGACTTTGGCCTCCCATCCAAACCTTGTCGAACTTCGTACATCCAGAACTGACCGATACAACCGCTTCTTTGTCCCGGGGGTATCTAGATTTTGGAACAATCTACAAGAGGAAGCCTTTCCCATTTCTACCAACCTTAGGCAGTTCAAAAATCGGATTAACAAAATTTCTTAGGGATCCTAGTAACAGCCGCGGTGGCCTGGCATTTAGGCTTCTGCCCAAGCGGCTGCTTTGGTACATAAAAAACAGCGCCCCACTCAAGCTTTAGTGACTAAAGCATCGGTGGGGAAGATGTGCTTGTGCGGATTGGAAAGAAAATAATCAAAGACTCGAAAGTGAATTCTGTCAGCATACACGATTCTTGACGCAAAAATTCGAGAATTGGGACTTCCAAGAAAATTTCCGAATTGTTTAATCGAATATTCCGTGGCGCCCTCATTGCGGCACCGTGGCGGACACTGGTCTAACTGGTTAGCTTTTAGAACCCCTAGATTACACGGTTTAGTTTAGTGTCAAAAGAGAATTGTTAGTTTGAAAGTGTAATTTTCCCTAACCTAAATACCCTGCGAACTCCGTATTAATCAGAAGAACATACTATACAACATACTGCAAATTCAGCCAATTAATTTCACTATGTTTACTCCGTATTCATTACTGATACACAGTATTTTTTTTTCAGGAGAGGACACAAGACCTTATATTTCATTATTTTTAAATCATCTGATAGATATTATAAATCGACCGAATACACCAAAAACTCTTTTAGAAAATACAGGTGGGTTTCTTAGCTTAACTATTTGCACGATCCAGTTTTTAGACCAGAGTAGAGGGAGTTGAGGAAAATTAAAAAGTCTGTTAAATATACGAATGAGCGTTGTTTATTTTTGACTGAATGAATAACGTATATGGGGTGCAGTATGGTAAAATCCTGCTATAAATTAATTTATGAATTGCTTTAATCTTTAAATTTACAAGGATCGCGTATTATCATACTGAGTAATTTTTTAATGTTTCCTAGTCCAGAATCACCCTGTACATGTTGTTATTTTCACCAATGGGAAACAAATTTATAGAAAACCTAGAGTTGTCATATAAATGTAGAGGTAATTTCGAAGTCAAACCATTTCTGATACCATTGAATAAGGAACTTCTCAGAACAAGATACAAGGTTGACATCATTTAGATTTTATCATTTGGAAATATAAATTTGTTTTCTATTTTTATACGCAATTTGGAGTGTGTGTAGTTGAGTGGCTTTTAATAAATATTTTAACAGTGTTGATAAAATTGGAACTGTGTTGTTTCCTATTTATTTATTTATGATTATTTTGCTGCAGTTTGGTTCCTGCATACATTTGTGAATGTGAATTAGTGTAAATTCTTTATTTTTTCCTTGGCATTTTAGTTCTTGATCAATAGATAATTTGGTTTTAACTGGTTTGGAATTTGATAACTAACAAGAGAATGATGATAATTTTATGACAAAGTTTGATAGTTTAGGGCAGTTATTATTTTGAGAGAAATTATTGTATATAATATCTAACATTGTCATGAAATTCAATCACATTGGGTATACAGTTGCAGTTAGTTCAGATAATTTTGTTACCAACAAATTCTGCTTTGTCACCTAACCATACCCATAGAAACCCTACATATCTATAAGTAAGCAGCACAAACAAACAAAAAATGTTAAACAATAAGTTTATTTTCATTTGCGTGGTATTGTTTCCTGCTATTCATGTTTCCATCCTCCTGTATGTTGAGAAGATATCAACACAAACAAATTTCATTTATGACCCGAACCACTAACTTCTTTGACGATTTGTTTCCTAAAGCTTTTTATTTCCTGGAAAAACGATTATGTATGTTATGGAAAGGTACGTGTTACGATAGCAATAAGATACCCTGGACACGATTCGACCATATACTTTCGTTATATTTTGAGATTATTTTCAATTATAATTAGTTTCCTTCGATCATCTCATTGTGAACTGGTTTGAAAAAAATAGATGAAAATTGCGTTCTCTTCAAAATTGTCCTCTGTATTTGCCAAGGAAGAAAGTAAATTTACGAAATTTCGAGCTGGTTCATGAAATCAAAAGTTACAGTTCTTGGGTGATATGCGGTTTTTCTGTTCTACTTTTTCCCAATTTTGTATTTGCTGACGTATTGTCGGAGCACGTCATAAGAGAAATACTATATGTTAATTGTGTGTATCAATTATTATCAAGATTAGCCTAGTTTTACATTTTGGCGACTTGAATACTAATGAAATATTATTTATATTGAATTATTCTTTATACAGAAAAGCTGTTTATCTGTAAAGGGCTGCAAGTTTTTTGTTTGAGGGAGTTTATAATAAGCCAATAAGCAAATAGCAATGACTCTTGTTTCAATATAAAGCAGTATTTTGTGTAATGTAATGAGTCTCAGCATTCGTTATTTTTCATATTTTTGTAGAGTCTTTGAACATACATATTTTCTTTCAATACTATGATTTATTTTGAATAACGAAAAAATATTAACCCTTTGCGGCCTACTGGTCTTCTAGGATTACCACAAATTCATTCTCATTGTACACGGCTATTGATGCTATTCTGACATTACCACGATAGTAGTAACCAGTTGGTTCTCCATTATTTAGGTTTTTTATCAGCAGTGAAATTATACCCACATGCACCTTCATCTGTCATGGACCAAAAAAAAAAAAAAGAAAAAATGGACAAAGTGATAAATTGCAAGTATAATAAAATGGCTGATGTTGAGCGGTTCCTTATACCCACAATAACCATGTAAATTTCTGTCCAGACTGTTGTTGTGAACAAAAAAATAAAGGATCATGTTTATTGTTGCTAAATATTTTAAAATGGAAAACTATTGTTTTTTTACACATTTTTCTGTGTAGATCAAAGTGTAATTTTACAGGGTTATTGTAGGTATATTGAGCTGTAAAAGTCACGCTCAATATTAGCCATTTTGTTGATATTTGAAGATTAAGCTCTTGGTTTTCCAAAATCCATAAATAACCCATTTTTCCTGTTTCTTTTTCAGACCATATGGAGAATAAAAACATTTTTTTCCATAAATGATAATTGATCCATTCCATCTTTTGAAGCTACCCTTAAATTTTCTGTATGTTGATTGGTTCCTGAGATACCGATGATCAAATCCTAAACAGTCCTTTTTCATTGAAAATTCGATATTTTAGCAAAAAATGGTCGTATCGTGGTTCTGAGAAGAGCAAATGGAAGCTGAAGGAACAGGCTATTGATTCCGTGCTACGTTTTAGCGGAAAAATATTTTTCCAGATCCGTTGACCCAAATAGAGGAATAAAAATATTGAAATTTTTTTTCACACTATATCCTAGAATTGCGCGGAGCCTGCATTTACAAAAAATGTTTGGCTAACGGGTCCAAAAACTAGACATTTGAAGCTTTAAAGTGATTCTCCTAGAACCCCAGTACGACCATTTTCTATTGGGATGCAGCACATCAAAGAATCAATGAAAATTTACAGTTTTCATTTAATCCCTTCATTTTTCCATTAGTGTGTCTAGTGCAAGAACTATAAGAACTTTCATTTTTGACATATTGATATATCGTCAGTGCTCGCTAGTGTGTCTGTTAAATACCCGAACAACCCGAAAACCCTGCAACCATGCATTTTTTTGAAAAAAGTATTTTTTCGACAACAGATTCGTGTCGATCTCGAGATTCTAAATCAGAGTGTATTTTCAAACCTGAATTCAAGAGGTCTCTTATTTCCGCTTGACTTCGTGTATCTGAGGTAGAATCTCGAGCTCGAGAAGAATTTTTTTGTCAAAAATGGTGGTTGCTACTTGAATTTACAAACTTGACCTCCAAATGACCTCTGAGGTCATATTTGAAGTGATTGACAAATTGCTTTTAATATATCTTAAATTTTATATCTTGAAACTTTTCTTTGAACCCTTTTTCCTAAAAATGAGTGATTGCCATGTTTTCAGCGTGTTCATATACTTTTTAGACATTACTGTAGGTCATACCTATTGAACCACCTATGACCGCCTCACCTCATCTGTGGAAATGCACTCTCATGTAGAATCTCGAGCTCGACATGAATCTGTTGTCAACAATGATGGTTGCTATTTGAATTTACAAACTTGACCTACATATGACATCTGAGGTCATTGTATAGGTCATTTTGATGTCATCGACAAATTGCTTGTATGATATTCTGAATCTTTTCTTAGACACTTTTTTCCAAAAAAATGCATGGTTGCCGAGTGTTACGGGTGTTGGGGTATTTAATATATATATATGATATAAAATCAATGATGTCATGATAAAAAGGTAAATCTGGCCGCAAAGGGTTCAACAGAAACGTATTGATAACAACGCCAATACGGATGTGTTCCAGCAGATTTTAGCACAGCCCTGAGCTACCGTTGATAAATTGTTGTTGATAATATATTGCAGCATTTTTATTTGTTCGCACTGTATGTTTATAATTTTCATTCAAGTCTTATTGCTTGGTTATACACTCTCTCATTTACTTATCGAAAGTTCTTTTTTTATCAAGCACTGATTTTTTATCTTGTAAGTATGATTTTGGTGATTTATCAAATGATTATTTATTATTACTTGTGATTATTCGTAAATTGAGTTGGTTTTTTTGTTCTGTTTTTGTTCTCGGTATAGCCATAACAATTGGTCGCCTAGGTTATGTCTGCCCACATGATGTCGCGCCCATGTTACATCAGTTTGTACGACAGTGGTCTGTAACCCCTTTTTTATTATTTTTTCAGTGCGCAGATCATGGCAAAAATTCACGCTGGTTCAGTAGGGTAGATATGTGAAAAAGGAAAAAGTATGCAATTTTCAATACACTTTTTGGTTCGCCGAATCTCTGAATTCACAGTTGTTCATTGTATCATGGAAATTTGCTGGTTGTATTTTATTCTTATTTAATATGTAAATGTGTAGTTGAGTTTTACCAAACCTCATAATGCAAAATTTGATTGCCTGCACGCTAAACGTTCCTGCTCGTTTGAGTTGATTTTTTGTGTGTTATAAATTTGAAATATCTAGCAGTGGAGTCTATGCATTTTTGCCATGAGCTACGCACCACTCATTTTTTAATACTTGGTTATTCTCTTGAAAAATAGCTTATTAGCAAGCCCTACTAAAAACAGTGTGTTAGTATACCACAATGTCCTAACACTTTTCTAAAATTTATTTCATTATAACACACCTTAAGTTGCATGTGATACTTTTAATAAAGTAACATTATGTTGTGGTGTGCTACACTATAGGACTTCGTGACTTTGATGTTAATCAAATTTGGAAACAAACCGAAAATATGGTGGATATCGTTATGATAAATTTTTGATTGTACATGATTTCATATCTATAAAAGCATAATTTTGAATTTCTTAAAGTTATCGAATATTATTTCTAATTTCTAACGAAATCATTTCACAAGTTTGATCAGTTTTTTATTTCCGTTGATCTTATTTGCAATGTGTTTGCTTTATTGGATTTAATCACAGTTTTTACCCCCCAACAAAGTAAACCCAATATTCACAATTGCTTTACCAAAATATTAATTTGTACATATGTTATTAAAATTTTAATCAGTCTTTCTTAATTATTTAACAAATCATACATTGAATTATCAAAACCAAAAATTCGATGGTGTCATTGCAGGTGCATATCATTACGAAACATCAGGGATAATGAAGAGAAAGACAGTGCATTTCGTGGAATGTGTCAAATGATTCAAGTGAACCCTGCTGGTGTAGTATCAGATTTTATATTCTTTTGTGATGCTGTAGCTTCCTGGATAACGCCTAAAGCTGATCTTAAGGAAGTATTCGCAAAGGTATGTACCAAAATAATCATATCTGGTGATTTCAATTTTAAATTTAACACTCACGACAGGCATGCCAAGGTGATGTGTGATATTTGTGTTTCTTTTGGACTGTATCAGACTGTGAATGTGAATACTAGGCACAATGCTTGTCAAGATAATATTTTCACCAATATAAACATGTCAAGCATAGTTGTAGAAGCCTTTGATACATATTTTTCTGACCATTTAGGTATTGCATTTCATTTTAATTTGAAAACTTTAAAACTTGTTAGGAAGAGAATAAACACAGGCCTGTCACTGATAAAGGTCTTTTCAAATTATACAGTAAAATTGAAACAGTCGACTGGATCTTTTTGTCTGATACTAGTTTATCGCTGACCACTAAACTCGAACGATTCATAAACATCTTAACAAATAATGTCGCTGAGTGTTTGCCAATCAAATCTAGGTTAGTATTAGAGGGTTGTCGCAACAAAATCAACTCGTTTGATCACGAATTGGCTCAGATGAGAGAGAATTTGAAACAAATAACACAAATTAATAAAGATAATCCCCAGGTAGTATCAAAGAAAGAGATTCAAATCTAAGTACCGATCAGAAATCAGAATTAAGAAAAAAAATGCTCAGATAAATATATACGTAGAGCGTCAAATAAACAAGCAGCTATGTGGAATGTGATTAAAGCCAATGGTGTGCAATCATCAAAATCACATTCGTCTACTCTCAACGCGAATGATTTAAACTATTTCTTCGTTAGCATTGCTGAAACCATTATTTCTGAAATTCCAGCTACCCACTCGAACTTCAAAGATTTTATACAGACTAGTGATACACTACATTTCAACTTTCGAACATTTTCATTCAATGATGTTCGAGACGCAATCAAAAGCTTAAAGAATTCTAAAATAACTTGATAGTACATCCTATAACCAAATTTATGAACATGTGTATAGAAAATAATGTCTTTCCTGCCTTATTAAAACTTGCAAAGATTCTGCCACTCTTCATGAAAGGATGTGAAAATGATCCATGTAATTTCAGACCCATTTCTATAATACCAATTATAGCAAAAATTTTCGAAATACTTATGAAGAATCAGATATGTGAATACTTCGAAGGTAACAATTTATTCTGTAACACCCAATTTAGTTACCGACCAACAGATCAACGAAAGCAGCAATAAACGATTTTATCAGTTTCATCAACAAATGTATGGAAGATAACATGTTTGCACTCGCTAACTTCTATGATCTTACGAAAGCATTTGATTGTGTCCAACATCACATTTTGATTCAAAAGTTGTCGCTATATGGTTTTAGTAATAACAGCCTGTCCTTAATTGCGTCTTATTTATCAGACAGAAGACAGTATGTTAGTTTTCAAAATTGTTTATCTAACAATGTACATATTAAGCACGGATTTCCCCAAGGAAGTGTCTTGGGACCGATACTTTTTTTGATTTACATCAATGATCTGCCAAACTGTAGCATCAATCAATATATATTATTTGCGGATGACACGACATCAATATCCTCCAATAGTAACTTTGACTATGTATTATTCGATTCTCAGCAGCATTTTAACAACATTCAAAACTGGTTTAATGCAACAGTTTGCCAATCAACATAGCGAAAACTCAATCTCTTCTACTCAGTACTAGTCCACATAGAAGTAATTTAGTAGAATCCGTGAAATTTCTTGGAGTGATTATTGATGCAAGCTTAACTTGGGAATCACACATCATCTCTTTATCAAAGAAGTTATCTAAAATAACATATATGATACGTAGTTTAAATACCTACGTAACAAAATCGACTTTAATGACAGCCTATTATGCTTACTTCCAATCTAACATGCAATACTGCATACTGATTTAAGGTCATTCATGTCATGTATCGAAGGTGTTTGCTGTTCAGAGACGATACTTGAGAATAATAGCAAAACTTACATTTCAGACAGTGTTGCAAGACGACATTTATCGACCTAAAAATATTAACTGTGCCATGCATATATATACTGGAATGTATGATCCACGTTAAAAATAATTATGATGATTACAGAACTCCGAAAGAGATTCACAAATATAACACAAGGTTCAATAATGAATTAATACCAGAGTACACAAGACTATCAAAAACTAGACACGGAAGTAATTATTTCGGCGTGAAATTTTTTAATTTGCTGTCCAGGTTTTGTCAAACACTCAACTCAACCATTTTTAAAGCAACTGTGAAAATATATCTAGTGACGAAAGCTTTTTACAGCATAGATGAGTTTTTAAATAATGATTTTACGGACTTTGTTCCATAATTGTTGATTATTTGTTTTATTACTTTGTTTTCGTTTGTGTTTTTTGTGTATATGATATTTTTGTATTACATTTTATTGTTCTCCAAACGTGTGTAAGGACTTTTGAGTACAAACTACTATTTCATAATTTTTTAACCATCTTATTTTATTGTTCATCTAAATTTTAAACTAGGTTTTATCAAGTTTTTTTTTACCTTTTATTGCCATTTTGTGTTTTACGTTTATCTTATTTTCGTAATGTTTGTTGTTTTTACTTACTCTTTTATCTTCTACTCAAACTGACCTGTGCAAACCCTTTTTTGTGTAATAGTACCAATAAATTATTATTATTAAATAAAAGCTACAGGCTATATGTCTCGACATCAGAATCGTATAACAGGGTACCGGTCCTACTTGTTATCTGCCCTATATGGAAGGTTAATTTCCCTACTTTTTTATGTTATGCGTCTAGGCGTTCTGAATAAATTCCTTAATGGTCACAAGAATGCCAGTATAATGGGGTATCGGTTTTACTCGAATATCTGCTTCAAGGGGAATAGTGGTTTCGGTTAGATTCGCTAAATTTTAGATAAATAAAACATTGTTAAAAAAGGGGCCATGTACTGAAAAAGGTCACCACTGTGACCGAAACGTATACATTTAAGAATAAATTTAAATACATGTGGTTTCATTGGCCAGGCAAACATGGAGAATTATACTTTCTTTGGATCAGACAGTAAGGAAATTCCGTACAAAAGTTGACTCGAAAAAAAGTTGTAAGCATATACTTGAACACGCATAATTTCTTCAAAATTGATTACATCTGATCATTTGGAGAGTAATCACAGAAATGATACCAAAAATCACGCAAAGTGTTTGCTTTCCTTGATAAACTTAGCTGCCTTGTTTGAATCTGAAATAATAAGACCGATCGTTTTTTGTGCAATGTACATATATATCAATAAAATCAATCATTTGATATGGCAAGTGCGGTTCATATATCTTAGATGAGCTTCTCCCTCGTCATTTAAAATCAGGTGAACGTGTTCCTCAATTTATGATTTAATAATTTAACTCAATTTTCAGCACTGTGAAGACAACTTTTCAATTGAGATGCTTGTTTCTTAAATGACATTGACATAAGGCCTGTCACCCGCTAGTACCTCACAGACGTTAGGCGGGTACCCGTACCACGTGATTTTTTGACATTCGGACGACGTCACATCCGTCTTCCCCTATTCCCGTTCTTCGCGGAAATTTGAGCATCGATTCCCGGTAGTGCTGTGCTGTGCTACACCGTGGACTCGCGAAAAAATCCTTAATGTGACTTTATTTGGTGCTTTGCATTCCGGATCATAGTAATATTTCCCAAAAGTTACATAAAGGTTACAGTACATTTTTGAATTCACTCACTTTCTACTAGTTCAGACGCTGTCAGTGTGGTGGCGAATAAGTTCTTGCCCCCTGCCGATTGAATTCACTTGAGCTTATTAATTTGACAACAAGTTACACTACATATTTCAAAGTATTTTGTAAAATGAGTATGGTTTTTTTTATACTCCAACTACCACGAAGGCCTAAGGCCTAAGCACGCATGTGGTACCGTGGGGCTATAGGGGGATAGATGGGAAAGGGGGGGACGCCACACGGACTCTGGCGAGGGAACACGTGTGCATGCAACATGCACACATTCTGGCTCCGCCTACGAGATCCGCCGGGTGGTACCTCCGCGTTCGACAGTCAGAGACCGTCTACCACCTACGGACAATCACAACATCCATAGCCAAGAGAAAAATTTCTCCTGGGACGGGACTCGAACCCGCACAGCGCACGGCGACTGATCAGGAGACCGAAGAGTCTACTACTGCGGCCACCGCTGCTGCCTAAAACATCATCATCTTCATCATCTTTGAATTCCCCGTTCAATTTAAAACAAATGATCTCTCTTGAATTGCTTTCCTTCGATGCGCCTTTTGTGAGTAAAAAAATAAAAAGCCTTCTATTGTCCGAGAAAATTAATGTTATAATTGAATAATGCAATTTAGCGATAAATATCTAGTTGATTTACATACAGGGTGATTCACAAGTCGTGACCAAAAATGAAACATCGTACACAAGACCGCATTTTAAGGGGGTGTCTTATCTACATTTCTTCCTCGAGGGCTTCATTAAAAAGATACGGGGTGTTAAAGTTTAAAAATAAAAAACAATTTTTTTAATATCTTCAAAATCGTGTACTAAAATGAACTGAAATTTGGTATGTGGATTTACCTAAGTATTGTCCACATTCGGAAGTCTTTACTTGAAATTACCGTGCACCAGTGGCGGATATATAGGGGATTACGAGGGTGGTCCCAGAAGTACCCGTCCCAACGAAGAAAACACAAAAAATTTCTAAAAAAATGTATTTATTTTTCAACATAATCTCCTTTGAGCTCTATACACCTTTCCCAGCGATGTTCAATAAGTTCGATACCCTTATTATAATAAGAACTGTCCTCAAAATAGCCATTAAATGCCGACATCACTTCTTCATCGTTGGAAAACCTTTGACCACTGAGCCATTTTTTCAAGTTTGGAAACAGAAAATAATCCGAGGGGGCTAAATCTGGTGAACAGGGTGCATGAGGTAGCAATTCAAACTTTAGTTCGTTAATTTTGGCCATTGCAATAACGGATTTGTGAGCTGGTGCATTGCCTTGATGAAACAACACTTTCTTCTTAACCAAATGCGGCCGTTTTTGCTTGATTTCATCGCTCAAACGTTGCAATAAGTTCGCATAATGCTCGCCGTTGATAGTTTTACCTTTTTCAAGATAGTCAATGAAAATTATCCCACGCGCATTCCAAAAAACCGACGCCTGCAGATCAAGCGGTCTTCGCCTTCTTTGGAACCCTTTGAGACCATTGTTTTGATTGGTCTTTTGTCTCGGGTGTGAAGTGATGGACCTATGTCTCATCCATGGTTATGAAACGACGCAAAAATTCTGCTTTGTTGCTGTGAAACTTCGCTAAACACTCAATTGAAACATCTTCACGACACTGTTTTTGCTCGATTGTGAGCAATCGTGGCATCCATCTTGCACACAGCTTTCTCATGTCCAAATTTTCAGATAATATGCAATAAACCGCACTTTTTGAAATACCTACTATGTCTGCTGGCTCGCGCACTTTCAGTACTGCTTTGTGAATCTTCTTCACCATTTCTGGAGTCGTCACCTCATCTGGTCGACCACATGCTCGTCTTGGCAGCTCATAGGGCCTCGTTTAAACTCTGCTACCCAGTATTTTACTATTGTAAACGAAGGAGCAGACTCACTTAGAGTAGAATCCAGTTCAGCTTTTATATTGGTTGGGCTGAGGCCTTTGAAATAAAAGTATTGTACCACATAACGATGACCAATTTTCTCCATTTTCACAAATTCACTGAAAACGTTCAGTATTGATGACTTCCAAACAAATACTAAATAAACAACGTGGCGTCTTCAAACCTGACATATATAAAGCATATGTTGCATACTTTCTAATACAATGATATTTTTCAAACAACTATCGCCATCTCTAGGTCAGGCCGAGTACTTCTGGGACCACCCTCGTAGTGGAATTATTTTTCCAAATAAAAATAGTACGCTACTGTTTCTTTTCAAAACGCGCAATTTTTCTAATTTTACCTTCAATGTACTACAAATAATTACTCTTGTTTTTTCCTAGAGTGCATTGCTTGTGTAAACATAAAAATAACAAATTAGATTCAAAGCTTTATTTCAATAAATGTTCATTCTGGCGGATACGGATAATAAAGAAAAACGTATTTCGGCAAAATTTGTTGTGGCTTGATTTTGATGAAACACATCTATTCTTTCTTGTAATTGATCAACTGTATTAATTTGTTCAGCATACACTAGTTGTTTAAAAGCGCCCCATAAAAAGAAATCCAGGGCTTCAAATCGGGAGACCTCGCAGGCCAGTGTACGGGTCCGTTTCTGCCAATCTATCGTTGTCTAAAAGGATTATTTAACCATGTGGTTATGTCACGACGAACATGCGGTGGGGCACCGTCGTGCTGATACCACATTCGTACTCTGTAATTCTCTAGAAAAGCTAAGTATGAATTTGCATTCAAACGTTGTGGCAATACGTGCATAAAATCTGTGTTGAAACGAGTGGATTTTTACAGAACGGGGATTTTCTAACTAAGAATTAAAGGTGCCACTCCTCGTAAAAAGCGATTCATCTGACCACAAAACCAAATCAATAAAATTGACGTTGGATGATCCTAGTGCAAGTACTAGGCGGATTGCAGCCCAGTTACCATGTTCCCAGTCTTGCGTGGAGAATTTTAAACCGGGAAGTTTTACGTCCTTACTATCGGCAAAATGTGCAATGTCTGCAACCCGTACACAAAAATAATATCGGAGTATTTAACAATTAACATCAAAAATCTAAGAAAAGCTATCTCAAAATTGAAATCTAATAAAAATCCAAGTGAGAATCTCTCAAAAAATATTCTAAATGATTGTTTCAATATAATTGGAGAGAAATTATTATTATTGGTGAATCATTGTTTAGTACATGGTGAATTCCCATCAAAATTAAAGTGTTCCACCATTACTCCTGTGCCAAAAGTTCAAAATTCTCAGCTATATACAAATATGCGGCCGATTAATGTCTTGCCCGATGTCGAGAAGCTGTTCGAAGGGATAATATACGAACAAATCATAGAATTCATTGAAGAAAACAAAATTTTGATGAAAAATCAAGCTGGATTTAGAAAAAAATGTTCCACAGAAACGGCACTCCAAATGGTGGTGGAATACTGGAAAAGTATAGATGAGAAAGAATATGTTGTAACAATATTTTTAGACTTCAAAAGGGCATTTGAGACTATAGATAGGGAAAAATTGTTAATGAAATTGCGTCACTATGGCTTTGAAGGATCAGTATTACACATTTTACAAAATTATTTAGTAAATAGAAGTCAAAACACTAAAGTTGGAAATATTATGTCAAGTGTTCAAAATATATCAGTAGGGGTACCAAAGAGGAGTAAATTAGGGCCGTTACTATTTATTATTTATATAAATGATATCTCTGACATTTTAGAACCCTGCAAAATTCAAATATTTGCGGACGATACACTTATATATATATATATAATATATCACAAGCATTTGGACACTGCTTTGGAACTGTTAAATAGTGATATTGAAAAAATTATGAATTGGTTAAATGTCAATAAACTTAAATTAAGCACTAATAAAACAAAATGTATGTCAATAGGGAAATATTTAGGTGACAATACAATTAGGCTCATGATTAATGATGAAAAAATTGAAGTAGTCGAGTCATTTAAATATCTTGGTATATATGTGGATAGTAAGCTACTGTTTCACGAACATTATGAATACATTTCAAAAATTTCGAGAGTTTCCCATAATCTTAGTATGTATTCCAAAAAAATTGTGTATAACACTATCATTCTTCTCCATTTTTTATATTGTTCAACCATCCTGTTTATAGCTAATGAAAACATATTTTCAAAACTACAAATTCTACAAAATAAAGCTATGAGAATCATATTGAATAAAAACAAATATGCTAGGATTAAGTCTATGTTAGAAGAACTGCAGTGGTTGGATGTGAAAAATATCATATATTATTTAGTTCTCGTTTTCCTATTCAAATTAAAAAATAATTTATTACCACCACTTTTAGAGAACTTCACAAAATTAGAGGCAGTATAGATTTTCATCTGCAAAATTGTAATAGTAGCATAACTAGTAGATCTATATTTCAAAAGGAAGTATTTGAATTTAATAAATTGAATTCTGATATTAAACAGAGTTCGAATTTAAAAATGTTTAAGGTGAAATTAAAGAATCACTTTATGAATAATCAAAATGCATCGTGACGTAATTTTAACTTTAATAGACAAGAATGTAAAATTACAGAAAATGGATTGTAGAAAAATATGTAACCGAATCATTATACAAAATTGACATTGTAGCATTAATGATAAATAAATCTTCAACAACAATAACTCATCCATAACTTCCATTTCACAATGCTCAACAATGGAAAAAAGAAAATTTTGACTTGGTGGTAGTAACGATAACAACTGTATAAAAACTAACTGACAAACTTTGTCTCAAGAAACGTCAAGTTGATATCACGGCCTCCTATTTTATTTTTATGAAATCAGTGCACTCTAGGAAAAAAACATAAGTAATTTGTAATTTGTAGCAAATTGAAGGTAAAATTGCCGTATTATTTTATTTAGAAAAATAATGCCACTAATCCCCTGTATCTCCGCCACTGGTGCGCGTTAATTTTAAGCAAAGACTTCTGAATATGGGCAATACCTAGGTAAGTCCACATACCAAATTTTAGTTCGTTCCAGTTGACGGTTTTGAAGATATTGAAAAAAATTGTTTTTCAAACTTCAACAAGCCGTATTTTTAATGACGCCCTCGAGGAAAAAATGTTACATACATGTTAAAATGCGGCCCATATTTAGTAATATATAGTGTTGGTGGTGAACCAACTTTACGCTTGAAAAGGTCATTATTGATGAATAAAAGCTCACTTCTCAACCTAGATATGTAATGTACTATAAATTGCTTTCCAGATCTTGCACAGTTTCAAAGCACAAGTAGGAGAAGAAAATTGGAGGCGTTTTAGTGATCAATTTCCACCACAGCTCGACGAAAGGTTATCACAGCTATATGGAGTATGAGTGCAGATATCACTTTCATTAATAGATACATCCACAAATAATATTCTGGGTATTAAGAAAAAGATGTGGGGAAACCGCTTTACAGCGCTCAGACATGAAATGAGATATAGTAGGATCTAAAGAACATACACTAAGCATACTGTGTATTACTTCAATCTGTAATCAACACATTTGAATTATATTGTGTCCATCAGTTGAATAAGGAGTGAATTGAGTTAACTGAAAGTTTGTTTAGAATTTCTGGTAAAATGTGTTGTATAATATTTAATACCATTGTTAATTTGTTTTTACTTGTTTGTATGTGATATCACAAAAGGTATTCACCTACCCTGTAATGATTTTTGAAAAGGGCCATTTGAACTACAAATACTCATCTAAAACAGGTAGGTTTGTTTTATACTTCCCATTGCAAAATGTTATAACTTAATTTATACTTATTCAGAGTATAACAGAGTGATATTATCTAATATCGACCATCAGTGAAGACTATGGGAATTGTAAGATTATAAAGATGTACAATTTCTTTATAGACAAAAAAGACATAGTGTCTAATCGTTATTTGAATAACAAAGTATAAGAAATTGGTCAAACCAGGACATCCGTTTTATTATTGATTCAGGTCCGCTATGTTGCTTAAAAAGTTAATCTTACTTTTCTCATATGAATAAATTTGGTCTCTGCTTGAATTTCTAAGATTTCAACACTGTTAACACTGACTTCAGGCAAATTCGTCTAGGTTCGGGATGCTTGAATACTTTTTGAGATATTTTATGTAATCCCTCAAAATTTGCAGATTAATTTTCATTCGTAATTGAATGTTTTGAGATCCGTTGGATTTATTTGCGATATCAGGATTCTTTAATCATACATATACGAGCCCCTTCCCACTTCATTTGGACCACTTCAAGATTTGTACCAAAATAAACTAAACATGACGAAACTATTTACTTCTAAAACAATTTATTTTCTGAAAAACATTTTAGACCACTCTAGTCGTAAAAAATACATATTTGAAATCACTTAGACCTATAACTAATAGAACATCTGAACAAATAAACAGTGTGCGAATAAATGCGCGAAGTTAACAAAGCAACAATTGAAAGATTACCATTGGGTAAAATCACCTTTATTTTTTATTATGGCTGAAATTCTTTGGGGTATAGTGTTAACCAAGTTTTGGCAAAAATTTGGTGTAAAACAATCCCATATTTCTTGAAGCTTTTGTTTCAGTTCGGTGATTGTACGAACAGGATGTTGTCGTAGAACCTTTTTCATCTCATGCCACAAAGTTTCAATAGGTGACAGATCTGGACTGCTAGAAACCCATTTTAAAAGTGGTACATTATTTTCTTCCATCCATTTTATAGCCTTTTTTGAGGTATGGCACGCTCAACATTCTTCCATCACTGGTAAAAGCGATTCTTCTAAAATTGCCAAATATTTGTTTGTATCCACATTTCCATCAATAAAATGAAGTTTTCCTACTCCTTTTGATGACATACTGCCCCAGACCATAATGGATGCTGGAAATTTCACTTTTCTCTTCAGACAGTCAACATGGAATGCTTCATTTTTTTGCGAATAACTCTACTGCGACTGTCACCAACACAAACTTCGAATCGGGCCTCATCACTCCATTGTATTGCACACCATTGTTGAGGTGTCCATTGTCTATGTGCTTTAGCCCAGATAAGCCGATTTTTCTTTTGCAGTGGAGTTAATAGTGGCTTTTCTTTGGCCTATAAACAAGTTGTGCAATTTTAGGGTTTTTACTTCACTTTTTTTTATAAGAAAACTTACCTTGCAAGTGATAAATCCCAGTTTGTGGGCCTCTCTAAGAGTTGTGGACCTCGAAATTCTGCTTGCAACAGCGTCACTCCACAGAGCACTTAATTGTAAATAATTGGCACGCCTGTTTTTCACGATTATTCTTCTTAATGCTCTTCGGTCGGCATTTGTGATATTACTTTTTTTCACATATCGTGGCTTAATATTGGCTGAACCAGTTACGTTATGTCTTCTAACAATATTCCTCACACTGTACCGCGATAAGTCTAACAAAGTTGCGATTTCTGACACCCTGCTACATTTTTATTATTTGTGTTTGATAAGAAAAAAACTAAGATTTCAATAGTTGGGCCCACTGAAGTGGGAAGGGGCTCGTATAGGGTGGCCTATCCATGTGTGGAGGGAATATTACTCATAAACAAATACATTTTGGGGAGATCTATTTATGGCATGCTATTTTGAAAATTGGAGTGCTGAATTTTGTATAAAAAAAACTTGCACACCTCAGCTTTTATCTTATTTGTTACTTTTTCGAATTTACATTTTTGCTCATACAGGGTGGGCAAAATCGCGAATTGTACTTTTTCTCAGAAATGTCAAATGCATCATCCTGTATATTTGTTCAAGTTTGGATTCAATTTTTTATAAGCTTTTTTTAATATAAAGTTTGATTCAGATAAAATCACTAGATTTTGAGTTATTAAGCTTTTAATAGAACAATACACCAAAATTAAGGAAAAAATCATCCATGGAAACAAAAGACAAACAGTGGGCTAGTTCCATAAGAGTACAAATTTGACGTAAACACTAATAACAATCAGAACAGTATAAATCAGCTTCAAGTGTAATAGACAAAAAACTATAACAACATAAATAAACAACTATCACTACTCAAGACCTAATCTACAAAAACTGCTCGAAAATATCTCCACCATGTTGAATACACACCCGTAGTCTTTGGATAAATGACCGTTGCACATCACTCAGCATGTGTTCCCTTATGTTCAGAGAAGCATCCTTAATCCTTCCCTTCATATTTTCCGTAATAGTAGTAATAGTGATATTTATTTGTCTCTAATATACACAACCATTACACATAGAATTTTATAGAGGACAAATAAATGAAGCCCGCAGAAGGTTGGCCCTTGTGCGCGGGTAAAGGAAAACAGAAAATACTTATATACTAACGATGACGTAACACAATAAAATCTTTTTTTTATTCTAATTAACAAATGAGTGATGTATATGGATTTGAGTGAAATTCCATATATGTAAGTGAAGTATGGATTGTACTCATAGAATATGGTGGATATCTATAAACCTCTTACTTAACGTAGCTCCATAGGTGTTATATATGGTGATCTAGGAGGTCAAGATATATGCCCATCACGACCGATCCCACGATTGTTACTCCAGGTGAGCAAATAGTTACGCACACGATTATGATAATTCGCAGGTGCGCCGTCATGTTGGAAGTATATATGCATCCGAGTTTGCAGGTTGACATCCTCCAAAAGCAAAGGCAAATGCTCGATCAAAAAATTCTGTACCTGTTAATCTTTTGTCGAAAAAGAAACGCCCGATAACGTGTCTGCCAATAACTCCTCCCCAAACATTCAAGCTATTTGCCTAACCCAGTAAGGGTTTTCCGTCGCATAATAGCAATAAAGTTGCCTCATCACTAAAAAGAACCTTATCCAGGAAAGTAGTGTCTTCACTCACTTTATCTAGCACTATTCTACTCAACTCCATTCGAGCTGCGAGGACGAAGGCCTTGATGCAAGCATGAGTGATATGGATGGTACCTATGCTTGTGAATAATCCTTTAGACAGAAGTTCTGCATATATCAGTTTCTGCTCCTAAATGGGGATTTTTCTGCAATTTTAATAGAACCTCTAACTGATTCGCCTCATTGGTGAACTTGGATTATTTATACATTTTTTACTATATTCCACGCTCCGCTTGATTCAAAACGTTCTCGTAATGTGGAAAATATTTCCGGCCTTGAATGTCGCATATTAGTGTACCGTTGATTATAAATGCGAGATGCTAGGAAACTATTTCTTTGGGCTCCGCCCAAAACGGTACACCATATTCACCATTTCTTCTTTAGAAAAATTCATTTTCAAACACGTTTTTATTTTGATGCTCTCAAATCTAATTTTGACAGTTTGTAACTAATCAACAATTTATTTGTTTCCAAGGATGTTGCGATATTTTAGGAAATTAAGTTGTTCCATAAAAGACGTGCTAATAACCAAAAAAATAGCCGTAAAAACCCTTGTGTCTTGTATCAAAACAAAGCTTATAAAAAATTGAATCCAAACTTGCACAAATATACAGGGTGATGCTTTTGGAATTTTTGAGAAAAACTACAATTAGCGTTTTTGACCACCCTGTATGAGCAAAAATTAAAAATCGAAAAAGTAACAAATAAGAAAAAAGCTGATATGTGTAAGTTTTTTTTGATACAAAATTCAGTACTCCAAATTTCAAAATGGCGGGCTGAGGGGTTGCCGAAGTGGGGGGTTTTTCTAGAGAAAACACCTTATATCTCAATTAGCTAATTACGAAAACCCCATAGTATGTTATATCAATTTTCTTCTTTTTAATTGGTTTATCCAAATATGCAATAAAATTTGAGGCATTCCATTTGAAAAATCACAACTTTGATATGTAGGTCGACATTGGGACACCCTGTATAATGGAAACTGTGTTAGAAATTTTCACCTCAAATGATGTATAACATCCCATAAATAGATTTTCCCTAAATGTATTTGTTTATGAGTAATATTCCGTCCATACATGGATGAGCCACCCTGTATATGTTTTATCTGAGGTCGTACCCGCTACCTCTGACTTTTTGGAATCAGCTTTACGTTTTCTTTCGGCTAGAATCTAGATGATTCTCAAGCTAAAGTCTGTGCGTAACTTCGTCCTCAAATGGGTTGCTCCACCTGATATATTTGTCTTACTCACTTGCCTGGTAGTTAAAGATGACTGAACTTGAACGTTTAGTTCTCATTTCAAAATTGATTCCAGTCAAACGAATCGTCTTTTGTTCTTAGCATTTTCCAAATCATGCAAAATCGATCTGAACATCTTGAGGGGTGTTGTTAGAATTGTCTGTTCATAAGCTCATGAAACATGATATCCAGTCAACTATATATAACTTGAGACGTGGTCATTGTCGTCTAGATCAGTTAGGTGAAAAATTAAAGCTTCCGCCTTTTGTTGGGTACTTCGACAAAATTTAAGCAAGGAGGACTCTTTATACTTTTTTTATTCTCTCTAGCTTCCAATGGTCTTTGCCATCATCATCAGGAGAGTAGTATGTGAGGATGTTGCTAATTGTTGTTTACGTTCAGGATGAGGGAAACACCCAGTAACATGGTGAAAGCTGGATAAATGGTACAATGGTCAAAATTATATAAAATACACACAGCTGTATGACAAGAACAAGTTAAAAACAGATTAAAAATTTTTAGCAAATGAAAGCATTACATCGTGAAGCCACTTGATCAGGACATCTCCTGGTACTCCTAGCGTCAGCACCTCCTGGTTGTGGTTGCTGCTGTTATTGACGTTCAATGATAGCCTCCCCTACCAGCAACGGCGAAGGTTGGCAATTCTAGATCCATAAGGTACAGTTCCTTGCCTGTTTTATCCTTCACATTTTCAATCGCCTTTATAAATAGGTAGATTGGTTGAGGTAAATTTATTTCCTGCTCACTCATGAGCTTTACAAACTGTCTTTCGGATTCATTAAGCATATCGCTTAGCTTTTATCTCTAAGAGCCTGGCCCAAAGGACCGTAGCCGATAGATAATAAAGCATCTCCTTTGTCATTGCTTTATCCAGAGATTTATCGTCTGCTCTGAGGTTAGCAAGAACCTCTGTGATAATTTCGGGAAGTCTGGAGTAGTTGGGCGAAACTTCTTCCTCGACGATCAGCTCACGGACTGCGACATCAATACCGAAAATTGAATCAGCCCACATTGGAGCGTTCTGTTGCGGCGTCGGTGTCTTTGCAGCGTCTAAGCTGTCTGGTCTAGGTGTCTCACGTTTCTCCTTCTTCTTGAAATCATCTTTTTTGACAGGTTTGTTTGACTTAAAGTGCGGGTCGAAATCTTTTGGGTCACCTCTGTACTTAGGGGCGATCTTCCTTATTTCAGCCTTAGTATAAACCTTTTTGTCATCTGCCATTGCGTATCAAATTAATGATTTTGCGTATCTAATTAAAGATTTAATGATTTTGTTTGTTTTAGTAATTCCGCCTATAGCATCAGCGTACAGAAAAACTGGACTGATCAAGTGGCTTCACGATGTAATGCTTTCATTTTCTAAAAATTTTTAATCTGTTTTTAACTTGTTTTTGTCATACACCTGTGTGTATTTTATATAATTTTGACCATTGTACCATTTATCCAGCTTTCTCCATGGGGGGGGGGGGTGTTTCCCTCATCCTGAACGTAAACAACAATTAACAACATCCTCACATACTACTCTCCTGATGATGATGGCAAAGGCCATTGAAAGCTAGAGAGAATAAAAAAAGTATAAAGAGTCCTCCTTGCTTAAATTTTGTCGAAGTACCCAACAAAAGGTGGAAGCTTTAATTTTTCACTTATATATATTATGAATATACGAGTATATATTTTTAATAGAGAATGACATTCATACTATTCACAACTACGTTTGTTTTTGTATTATATTGTTAAACTTTATTTTATATTTATATAAAGTTTTTCAAAAATCTATCATGTTTTATCAGCTTATTATTAAATATTATACGCTTAATATATGGTATTTAGTTTTAGGCACAGTGTATGTGGTTTGGTAAAGTTAGATTTAGTGTTAATTTTTTAATTTGCGGATTTTTAATTTGGCTCAGGTGCCGGATATATCGAAAGATAAAAAGTCAAAAATGAATATGCAATATTTTGAAATGAAAAGCACCATACAAAATGAGATTAACAAGATGTTCCACATGTTGAAATATTGATAGTATTGAATTTTCAAGATCAAAAAATCTATATTATGGCTCTGAAGCGATTTCTGTTGCAGCAAAAAAAATCATGCTTATCAGAAAGAATCCATGGCCGAATATTTGTAATTACTAATGTCAAAATCATAATCATTCACATTTCATCGTGTAGCATCCGTGCAAATGATTCCATGTTTTTCACTTGTCGCCTATTAATTTTATTATTCACTTTATATTATCTATACAGGTTTTCCCAGAAATAACACGCCAGAGTGACACGGGCGGTAGGTTGGATTCGGATCAAATCAACATGACCTTGGTAAAAGTTTTTTAGTTTTCGAGATATTGCTACTTTTAGGTTTTTTCAAAAAATCGCTACTTTTTGCTCCTTTTTGCCTGTTATGGCTATTAAAAACTTTTAACACATGAGTTTTTCCTGGGCTACCATTAATAGTTGGTTGAGGCCACCGTGTATTCATTTCATTGAAAACTAGCACGGTATGCTAAAAAAAAAATAATACATTTTGTTTCAATGTGAAAACCTTTACTATAGTTTGACTAATTACCCACTGAACAAAAATTTACCAGACTGAATCAGCAAATGATCTTAAAAACCTGTCTATTTAATGCTCTTTCAAAAATAGTGTAACATTTGTAGGTTCTTACTAGTAAAAATTAAATAATTCCAAGTTTTGTCATTGATGTCGTAATACTTGCGAAATACTACAAATAACAAAATAAGTGCAGCCGTCTTTTGTATCCAAATCACTAAGTAATGAATCGACCTAAACATGTCATTCGACTATCTCGCTCTCACATTCATTGTTCGGTCGGTAGCATTATGTCACCTCGAAGAACAGAGGGAGTACCTGCGGACCACACGCGCAGGGTTAATTTCGTACTGATCCTTGTGTTAGTGTCACACACGTGTTATTTAGCTCTTTCGCTGTTTAGGTCGTTTCATTCCTTAGTGATTTGGATACAAAACACTGCTGCTCTTATTTTTTATTTGTAGTATTTCGCAAGATTACAACTTCAATGACAAAACTTGGGTTATTCAATTTTTAGTAGAAAGAACCTACAAATGTTATACTATTAAAAGAGCATTAAATAGTCTGGTTTTTAAAATCATTCAGTCTGGTACATTTTTTCACAGTAATTAGTCAAACTAGTGAAGTTTTTTTTATGCTCCAACCACCACGAAGGCCTAAACTCCCACGGGGTACCGTGGAGCTATAGGGGGATACACGGGAAAGGGGGGACGCCACATGGACTCTGGCGAGGAAACACGTGTGCATGCAATATGCACACATTCTGGCCCCGCCTACGAGATCCGTCGGGTGGTACCTCCGCGTTCGACAGTCAGAGACCATCTACTACCTACGGACAATCACAACAGCCATAGCCAAGAGAAAAATTTCTCGTATGACGGGGTTCGAACCCGTGCAGCGCACGGCAACTGATCAGGACACCGAAGAGTCTACCACTGCGAACACCGCCAAATGTATTAATTCTCAACCAACATAACAGGCAAAAAGGAGCAAAAAGTAGTGATTTTTTGGAAACACCTAAAAGTGGCAATATCTTAGAAACTATAAAACTTTTACTGAGGTCACGTTGATTTTATCTGATTGATCTGAAGTCAATCTACCTCCTGTGTCACACTGGCGTGTTATTTCTGGGACGCCCTGTATATTGTAAAAGTATTTCAGACTCTTTACCTTTCGATATTGTTCAATCGCGTCACGTATTAAAAAATTGTTACCTTTCTTTTTAGAGACGTTTATATGTATTTATAAAATACTAGTTAATAGTTTAAGTAAAGCTGCTGCTATAGGATCTATGTCAATCTATAAACAACGCTACGGATGATATATATTTTCTATTTTAACTGATTTGGAACGTCATATTTAAAGATTTATAAGAGGTTCGAAATAAATATCCATTACTCTACAAAACATCCATCAACTCTTCGACATAGTTATTCTTTAGCAATAGTTTTACTTCAAGTTTTCAAAAGGAATCAATATGTAGTGAAGACATGTTTTTTGTAAATATTTATGTCTCTTATTACATGTACACGATGACACAGTCCTCTTACGTATAAAGCAATTTAATGTTCACTAATATTTTTCTCATATAGTGTGTGTGATACGTGGTAGATAGCATTTACAGGCCGATACTTCATGATAGTCATTTTCTGTGATTAGGTTGAATAATCTCAAGATACGGATTATTGTTATATATATATATATAGTGTTTAGTTACAGTTTCACACGGCAGAATTATAAGGCAGATTATAAACAACTAAATCAACAGGCGGGCGGCTACTATGCACTCATGGACATGTCTCAACATGCAGCCTCCTGCGTCCGTTTGTTAAGTCATATTGCAAAACTTCTATAGCACCCTTTCTATAAGTCAAAATTCATCATTTCTTGTGCATTGTGGAATAATTTTGACGATACAGCAGCATGTGAGCAGTTCTGCTTGTATCTTGGTATCATATAGTACTTTGAAAAAGGCCACTGTGGTGGCCAAAACGTCAGTAAAAGGTAATTAATACACATGTGGTTTCATTTAGGCGGAAGTTATATCAACATGAAAGCCACAAGATACGCCTTATGTGTTACATTAACCATCTATTGCTTTATATGATTCCTTTTGAAAACATTGATTAACGATGGTCTCTATGAATCCTTGATCCCCTATGAGGACTTCTGGATATATCCTACCTAGTACTGCCAATGATTCTGAAATATGTATATATATTTAATTGTTGAGTTGTTGAGATTTGATAAAACTTGTTTTACTTATATTTTTAAAACTAAAGTTTATTTTAAAGGAAACTAATATTTCAGAATTGAACGGCTGTTCCTATTTCCCTCATTTCCAACATAACCAAGGGTTTTCCTTTTGAGTGTTAGCACCAAACCCATACTTTCGTTCAGGTTCAATCTACACTCTCGCGCGTAATACTCAACAGGTAGCCACATACTAACTAGAACATAAGATCTTGGAGCTTTTCAAGTATATCTAAAACAGCGAATTACCAAAAACATAGTTTTAATTATAGAATCTAACAATACAAAATAAGTAGTTGTTGATAATCCTATTAAATGTTGTTACTAGCAACCCTTAGATTTTGACGTATACCATCTTTATTTTTATGAGTTAATTTTTTGTATTTTCTAAAGAGCTTATTCATAAAAAAATGTACAACAAACAACAGTCCAGTGGGAAAGTTCACCTTTTGATTCAAGAAAAAAATACAAACTTAATGAAAAGAAAATATTTAATACTATCAACATATTCGTAAATTCGACGGGTTTTATTTCTTAAATAAATGTTTGCCATCCCTTCGGACACACTCTTCTAATCACGCGCGCAAATTCTGAAACACTCTCTTGCAGAGTTCCGGAGTGATGTTGTTTATTTCTCGTCGAATGTTGTCTTTAAGCTCCTCCAATGTTCGTGGATTATTGGAATACACTTTTGACTTTAGATAACCCCACAAAGAATAAACGCATGGCGTGAGGTCGGGTGACCTAGGAGGCCAGTGAATGTCTCCAAACTTCGATATCACTTATGTGGAAGTACCGGCAGTGGCCCCATCCTGTTGAAACCATGTTTTTTAAAAAAAAGTGTCGATCATGTCCTTGTATCGCTCGGAATTGACTGTCAATGCATGACCGTTTTCATCTCGAAGAAATACGGCCCAATATTACCGCTAGAGGATATGGCACCAAACAGTCACCTTTGGACTATGTAGCTGATGTTGACGTTTCTCTTTTGTGTTCATTGGTGCCCAACATCTGCAATTTTGCTTGTTCACATAACCGGTTAAGTGAAAATGGGCCTCGTCACTGAAAACAATGTTCTCGAGTCTGCGCTGCGTAGGAAAAAGATTTATCATCTGTTCAGCACAAGATCTCCGTAATACGTAATCACTTTTCTTCAAAGCATGGACTGATTGAATTTTTTAAGGATGAAAACCCATTTTTTCTTCATTATGCCATGCAGTGTTGACCTAGGGATTTGCAATGACCGAATCGCTTACTCGACGCAGAATTGTAGTATTGTTCCTTTCCTTTTTATATTTTAAATGTTTTTTTGTTAAAACTGCCTAAAATGATTTGACCTTTTTCGTTAAATTATATCTTTATATAATTTCTTTATATACATTTTTTACGCTTGTATTTATTATTTATTAATTATTAATATTAACTTATACATATAATTTGGTTAAGAACTCCTCTGTTGTAATTTTGTTTGTTGGGCTAGTACTTTGATCAGCTTGTCTGTTTACTAGTCCCTTTTGCAGGAAATTCATGTTGATTCTTCATTTTTAATTTTTTCTCTGTATTTTTTGCTCTAAAAACGCTGTAATTATTATTATTATTTTCTTCGGTTGATACAGTAGGGTGGGGCAAGGAATGGATTGACTAAGCGTAGAGCGTGTTTCACGGAAAATCTTAATCCACTTTTTCAATAGGTTCTTACTTTTGGCATCTCTTTGTCGGCGAATGTTGTATCGTGTACAAAATTTCGGAAAGTCAGCCGCGTATGAATCACCAATCTTAAAGTAAGCCTCGATAGCAAAAACACGTTGCGCTCCGGTCCAACGTTCCATTGTGATTTTTTAAACCGCACGCCGAACGCGTCGATTAAGATCTCTCCCCACTTCGCGTATTCGGTTGCCGCGTAATTAAAATTTGAACATGTGAACTTTCCCACTGGATTTGTCACATTCTTTATTAGATTTTTTTTATATATTTCTTATTTATATTATAGCGTTGACTATTTGTTTATTCCACGGCATAATTAATTGATTTTAATGCACAGTGGTAGTTGGTTATGGCTACCTTTTGCAGTGCACAGTTAACAAATGTAATGCAGTCTATTACGCTCTCTTTTCAGTAAGTGTTGTTAATGATGAACTTTTTCAAGATGTGATAATAATTTAGTGATTTATGAAACTTGAAATGTTTTTGTTTTGTGATACTTTTTACTATGATATAAGACTTTTCGATTTTTTATAGATATATAGTTTATACACAACACAATATTATATTTGATAATTTTGCGTCACAACGTCCCGGCTCAAACTATATTTTTTTCATAGTTTCTTTTTTCATATGCAGTATTGAAGTGTTGAGAATCGTTAAGGTCATATTACATTTGTTTGTTACAAAACTGATAACCTCTTTGCTGTTAATTTACTGAGTGACTTATTTTATAGTGATCCGGAATTTTTTTTTTTAAACGTCGCGTTTCACACAAATTTTCTCTATTTGGTGTTCAGGCTGTCATTTACTTAAAAAATACCGGATTACGTTAAATAAGATACTCTGTATATAGAAGGTATTTCAGAATATGTGGTTAATCTCTCGGACGCATATATCTGTACAAAAGATATCCGTGTGGCTCTTGGGTCTGTACTCATACAACATACAACTAAAGGACGCCAGTGGGCACAGATCATTAGAGACCTACATGTTCTGAAATTTGTATTTGAGCAATGTCTACAAAAACCCTTCGGCACGGGTATCACGTATCTTCAAAAGTGACATTATGCCGATTTTTTTTGACATTATGCTGGGTTTTTCTACAAGATATTAACTCAGCACTTAGTTGTACGTGTTGCCTAAACGTCATGAGGCTTGTTATCAATCTTTGGCTCTGATGTGATCTAAAATCTGATTCTGAGATGGCATTACTGGAGGTCTAAGCTGTAAGTTGTATGTGTTGATGATGATTACATTGGGTTCTTGTCTCAAATACACTTAATTGAGATTCAAAGCTAGAAATTAGTTGCGCACCCACTTTTTCTCATTCATTCTGGAAATTACGTATACAAATTTGCTGACTTTAAAACATGAGAGAGATAAGAAATAATTTTATTCACTGTACACTGTCGAATTACATGCTAACAGTAATTACACACAACGCGGGCGTGGTGATGATTACCCGTAATTCTCCTCAGTTTTTCGTAATTTATAACTTTGAACATAACCTCTCTTCAGAAAGCACTACATAAAAATAACCAGTAGGGCACAGCCAATAGATACACTTCATTGGCAGAATATTCAGTAATGATTTTCTCACAGCAAATATCACTGATTTTATACACATGCAGACCAATACACATAATCATCCAGATGCGATCTTGCTATTCAACCAACTTTCTTCTCAGAGATTAAAACTACAGACAAGGACCATTTGGCCTCACAAAACATATGCAACCAATAATGCGTTTAGTTTAGTTGAGTGATTCCTCCTTAGATGGACGTTCACAACGATCCTAGTGAGCAAACGTGGAATGACTATTTGCGCCCTAAAAACTACCTAGTTTGCAAGATCTTGTCTTCTGATCTTATAGGTTTTTTACATGATACACATGCCGGGGTATGTGTGTAATGGTGCCCATAGGAACGTGTCACATATTCTATATGAATTTGGGAGATCAGCCACATATTTTGGGACATTGTGTTATAATTGGCATGAATATGTATGTAATGGTAGAATGAGATACTGCATTAATGAAAAAAAAAAATAGCTTTGTGGTGTATGCATTGTTTCCGTGTGAATGAGTTATTCCTTGTACTACAGAAGTCTTCTTTCCTTGTACACTCCATCCATTCCTCTTGCGTTCTACTCACGCAAATCCTTCAATGAAACTAGTGTATAATTATTTGTTCCTTCCTTTTGCGAGATATGAATAGTACGTGAATGTCTTTAATACATCCCCGATTCAACCTTATGTTGGGTTACACCGACACACCGTATGTTATTTTGTCAAGTTAACAAAAATCAATAAAGGTTAGAAAATAATTTTGTGTGTTTTTATCCATACCCCCATGGGCCATTGCAATGCATCTTCAAAGATCAAGAAACCTAATTTCCGTGGAGGGGTTAAAAATCCCCCATTTTTTGGTGAAAATATTGTTTAGATTAGTTTATTATATTTTGACTTTGTTGAAAAACAAGCATCCTCCTCCTTGTATGCATTGAGGTTTACTGAACGGATTTCAGCAGCTCAAGGTAGTCATTCAAAACGGTGGACCTTGTGGTGGTACCGATATGCAGCGCCATCTATTGTAGAGTAGCCGCCACCAAAAAATTCGTTCAGTTGAGCTACCATCCCATAGATAGCGCCTCTTTGTAAATTGTTATCACACGCCACACAAAATTTAACTAGTCAAAAAGAACCTTTAGGGGTGGTCGGTCGGGGTTTGGGTGGTTTTCTATGGCGACGAATACTTCAATGATCAAGAATCTTAAATTTCCGTGAGGGGGGTTAAAATCCCCCCATTCTTTGATTGGATTAGTTTATTGTATTCTAATATTACGTATTAGGATTATGGCTTTGTTGAAAAACAAAGCGTCCTCCTCCTTGGTTGCTTTGGGGATTACTGAACGGATTTCAGCAGCTCAAGGTAGTCATTCAAAACGGTGGACCTTGTGGTAGCTACCGATATGCAGCGCCATCTATTGGAGAGTAGCCGCCACAAAAAAAAAATCGTTCAGTTGGGCTACCATCCCATAGATGGCGCTTCTTTGTTAAAGTGCTATTACATACCTCACAAAATTTAACTAGTCTAAAAGAACCTTTAGGGGCGGTCGGTCGGGGTTTGGGCGGCTTTCAATGGCAACGCATCCTCCAAGATCAACAAACTTAAATTTCCGTGAGGGGGGTTAAAAATCCCCCATTTTTGATGAAAAGATTGTTTAACATTTGTTTATTATATTCTATTACGTATTAGATTTGGCTTTGTTGAAAAACAAAGCGTCCTCCTCCTTGCTTGCTTTGGGGATTACTGAACGGATTTCAGCAGTTCAAGGTAGTCATTCAAAACGGTGGACCTTGTGGTAGCTACCGATATGCAGCGCCATCTATTGGAGAGTAGCTGAATAAAAAATATATTCATCCATATACCTTTCTTAATGATTTTAAGCTAATACTGTGCATTTTCAACTAGACAAAAAATTCGTTGGGCTACCATCCCATAGATGTCGGTTCTTTGTGAAGTCACAAAAAAATTTAACTAGTCAAAAGAATCCTTTAAGGGGAGGCTGGTCTGTTATATAGTAAACTGCTTTAAATAAGGGAATATTATTTTTTTAACAAAAGTTGGGGATTATTAGCCTGCTCATAATAATTGAAGCTACTTGATCTTTGCGATTGTTCCTCCCAAGCCCTGACCAACCACCCTTCCTAGATTACCTAAGCCTAGTTAAATTTTGCGAGGGCAATATTAAATGAAACAAAGAATACACATCATAACGAAACTTTTATTTTCAATGTACTCCAAAATATTTACTTACATGACTATTATAGTTATACTAATACTCTGAAAGTGTACTACTGGTTTCTAAAAATAAAAATCACAGGTATGTTAAAACAAAGACTACCACGCGAATTGTAAAAAAATAAGTTAAATCAACTCGAACTCCAATACAAAAATAGTAACGCATTAAAAATGATTGATCCTTTCTGACACGTTCTGAGACAGTTCAGTCTATTGCTTATTTGACCTGAATAAGTGGGGCCAGGCGGATCTCAATGAGAATCAACATGCTAAATAGGTATAGAACAGGTTCAGGGAATTACCCATTGAATTTTTACCGTACAGTTTGGTACAAAAACCATTTGAGCCCATACGATTGCACTTCACACACAGCGTTTTCCAGAAAGGTTCCTCCCTAGTTAATTTTTGAAAGAGTCAAGGGAGCTGAAAGTCGGGATGATGAAACTTGCGCATGAATACATTTCAACGTAAAAATAACAGTTGAGAAAATGAGATACCTTATTTTGAAGCATCTAATCCTGGAATATCAAATCGCTATATTTCGAAATGGCGGACTGGCAGGCTGTCAAAGTTGAGCGTTTTTATAGTAATCATGAACACGTTATAGCATGTTATATTACTCTGATTTTTTGAAAGAATCTATCAGAATGTGGACATCCTATTTAAAAAAAATTCCAGGCTATTGACAGTTTTCTTTTGAAGGAACGTATTTTATTATATATTCGAAAAGAGTCTGAAGGCTCTATACAATAGACCTTTCCACGAGAAGCAGATTGATATAACATACTGTAGCGTTTTGATAACTAGAGAGGCATTTTTGAAAAGCACTGAACGTAATTAAATCCTAGTCTTTTACAGTTTTTAATGTTGAATATCATGTTTTCAGCGTTGTTGTGAAAATTCTAATAGTCTGTATGACTGTGCATCACCAGGTACATCAGAAATAATAAAATATATATTTTTTCAAATAAATAACTTAACATTAAAAAATCATTTGTATTTTTAAAATCATCATTGCAGTAGCAATTCTGCTTGATTGCCATTGATTTAAGCTCAAGATCATGAAATTCGGATGACTGCATAATATATCAATGAAAGTGCAAATTTCTTTTATGTTGGAATATTATTTTCAAGGTTTCAAAATGCCATGATGATTGGCACAGATTGCCCAATTAGGTATGGCATTTGAAAAAAAGCTTGCCTCTGGTTTCACGATCTTTAACGTATAGGAGCATCATTTAGGGCACATACTGGGTTGCACATGGCTTTCTAACGCTGCTCTCAAAGATACCAAATTCATCATAATAACTAATTAACGAAATCTACCTGAAGAACGTAACGTAAATTATCTCAAGGAAAATGAGATTCTCCTTGCCTATAGCAATTAAAAACAGTGCACTCTAAAAAAAAAAACGAGTTATTATTTGTAGCAAATTGTTAGGTGGAATACTATTTTTTTTTTTTGAAAAATAATGCCACTATTCCCCTGTACCTCCACCACTGGTGCACATTAATTTCAAGTACAGACATAGCTGTGAAAAATTCATAGTATCATGGTATCTCATTTTATCTGGTATAATTTTTGACCATTTTTCGGTAGAATATGCTAATGAATGATACACAATATAGAGCTCACTTCTTGTTAAAGGGGAGGTCCTATATTACATTCATTTAAATAAGAAGTTTGGAAAACGTATCTACACTGGGATTAAGAGAGCCTTCTTGTTAATACCCAGTATGGGCATTCATGTTAAATACATTTTTACAATAGTACAAATTTGTCATGTTATACATGCATAATGACTGTTACCTCAGTCGGCATAATAATACTTATCCCACTTTTTTTAATTCTGAGATGCATCACATATTCTGGAAAGACTGTAACAGTTTTATAAAATTTTATTAGCAACAAGTACAATAACAAAAGTAACCTTGCTAGAGTCAATTCAAAGTGTCAAATCAAAAGCTAAACAAAGATAGAATATTAAGGAAGGAGCTCTAGTCCCCGCAGTTTTAATACATAATATTTGTTGCAAAAAAGAACCTCTTTGGTCTTCCTAGAAGAGGTACATCGTGTGTATCAAGTGATCATTTTTAACACCATGATGTTGAATCTCGAAACGTGGATAAAGTGGAGTAATATTTCTGAGAAGTTTCAGCTCAAATGCGGTAGTGGCTAGTAGCTACTTAAATAACACAGACAATTTTTTGTGTTTTTGGTATTATCCGTTTACTATAAATATGTATTAGTCAAAAGCATTTAAGCTTTTGCAGGAGTTATTGTAATGCAGGAGATATTTCATTGCATGGACATATTTTTTAGTAAATATCAGCTTTGTGACAGACAATGTATTTTAAAGAAGCAAAACGTAAATGAATCAAATGGTACACGATACATGACAGCATTGACATTTAGCACTCAATATACAATAATACTGCTGTGTATAAATAATATTGAGTGTAAAATCTAGTTCTGCATCCGTACCGTAAAACAACATCAAAAGAATTAATATTAGTCATATCATATATGGAAAATGTCGGAAAAGATCGCCAAGCTGATGGGTATACAGTTTCCTTCAACAATAATATCAAAACGAGTAAGAATTCGATGGAAAATATCAGTTGAAAAGAGTTTTGATATCCTAAAATAGAAGCAATCTGTTAGGCAAGATTCGGCTGGTTTCCATACTCACAAACCGTGACTATGCCATATACCATAAATGAACCCTCGGAACAATGAAAAGCAAAAACGTTGAACTTGACCAGGCAAGAACCTCGTATTCGTGAAAGAAATTATATAATTGTTTTTTTTTCAGATTTATTGAAGGCCCCTTAACATGGATCAAGAGGTCCGGTGCAAATACGTTTAGCATTTTTTTAAAATTATAAAAAATGTTTTCCCTCCCTTTTTTTAAAAAAAAGATCCTCGAAGTTTCTGTAAAATTGACGGTTTTTAAGTTATAAACGATTGGAACTCTGAAAAAGACCTATAAATTACCATTTTCATTCTTCAAAAACTGTTAGGAATTGGTATGTTTGGCTTAGGGTATCTTGAAGCATTGTTATTCAACTCTTAAGAAGATGCTAGGATGGCACACAGCGCGTTGTTGATAATTAAATGACAATCATTTAAAAAAAACTAAGCTTAACATACTCTTCGAGGTCTTGTAAGAAAAGGTTTGAACTTTAGGCACTCAGCAACCTCAATAAACTTCAACCAAGTTTTCCTTATAACTCGAAAGCGGGCAACTTTAGACAACAATTTCTGATGACCCGATCCGAAAAATCTAAAGAAAAGCTTCATCCGGGGCGAAAACATTTTTTTTTAATTTACTTGAGAATTGTTAAAGCTTGTACCGAGTTATTAGTATTAGCTCACGTTAAGAGGCATTCAAAAAAGGTGTGTATGAAGAAAAAATCGTGTCGGAAAATTTCTCCCACGAATGAGGTTTTTTCCACGTCTAACCAACATGGACTGACTCTAGCAACTGGTCAATACATCTCATTATGGCGTAACAGAAAGTGGAAAAACCTGAGTCACCTCTCCAATACCTTTCGCGGCGCCTTCTCTAAACAGCAGCCTTTGACCGACAGTGACATACTCTGGATGCACCTTGAACTTGAACAGTATCGAATCTCTCTCATTGGTATGGATGCACCTCGAAGCGCAAATGCCGATTACAACTGCCGTCTGACGTATGTTACCGATGTGTACCGTCGTCTGGAAGCCTGGGTATATGGCTGTCGCGTGGAAGAGGACAGACACGCTGGCTTGGAAGTAGAGGCAACTGGAAGCGGCTTGCTCGTTGGAGAGGAGCACCATGCCATTGCGAAGGCCAGGGATGTTGGTGTCCAGGCATATTGCGGCACTTTGACCTAAACAAAAACTTGAAAATAACGGCTCGATTTCAATTCCCACGCTAATTGGTGAGAAAATATTGTAATGTCAAATCAATCATATTTATGTTCCGATGGTAGAAGTAGGGAAACATGTGTGATTCATTATGACACTGACACCAAACATGCAACAATCTACAACTATTTACCGCCTACAGTTTGCAATCTAAAATATTCAAACCCTCCAAACATTTCTGGACATTAAATAATATAATTGATTCTCTCGAGCTACTGGGAAGGATACATTTTTTAGTTTACACCAAAAGATGTCACAGTGCAAAACCAGCGAACCCCAGGCTGCAGACTGGCATTAACGCTTCCAAAGAGTTATTTGTGCTAATGCAGATATTAAATTAGGATTCCATAATACGAGGGTGGTCTGAAAAGTTTCCGAGATATGATTTTTTTTATTTTTCAGCATAGTTTCCTTGTAACTCTACACTTCTCCCAGCGATGCTCCCATCACTGTAACCCCTCCAAATAGCAATCGGCGGTTTTCTCTACAAAAGAAAAGTTCACGAAGGTGATTTCCTCTTCATATGACAAAAATCTCTGCACTCCGAGCGCAATTTTTAGACGAGGGAACAGAAAGAAGTCGCTTGGGGCTAGATCTCGTGGTTGAGGCAGATGGTCAAGCAGTTAAAACCGTAATTCGCGGATTTTCGCGATAAACACGTTCATTTGACATGTTCCTAACCTCTGCTATATCTCTCACTTTAATTTCGCGGTCGTCTAGCACCATTTGGCGATGTTTTCGTCGGTAGTTGCAGTTTTTGGACGTCCCGAACGTTCATCGTCTTCAAAGCTCTTAGGGCCACGTTTAAATTCAGCTGCCCAAAATTTCACTCTGATAAATGATGGTGCAGAGTTCCCATACACAGAATCCAACTCATATTTGATTTGCGTAGCCGTATTGCCTTTCAAAAACAAATATTAAATGACAGTTCGATACTTGATGTTGTGCATGTTCATAAAAACGCTCACATCAACTCACTCAAACGTCTGTTACATAACAACTGCGCGTCCAAAGTGGCTGAAACTTTGGTGAGTAACTGTCAACAGATGAACAACAAAATCACTAGCTTTTATTTACGAGTGTTCCCATCTTCACGTTGAGGTTGGAAACTATTCAGACGATCCTCGTATACAACATGCTACACATTCAGCAAATTCCATTATACCCCCTTTCCCATATATTTTATGCCACATTGCCTGGAAAAAAAATGGCGTCAAGTTGGTTGACTCTGCACTGCCCATGCAACGCCGTTATCCGTTCATAAAGGATTATGTTCAGCACAAAACTAGACTATCTGAGAAAAAAAACAGTCAAACAGGTCCATACAATTAGTTCATAGACATTCAGACGCGGCCGGTAAGTACGTGATCCGTCGGCTAACATCAAAAAATTGAGATATACCTTCAAAAAATGTTTTCAAAAATGAACAGGATTATAGGATTAGCGGCCAGACAGACTGACAAACAAAAAAACATCATTTAACACCCAAAAACATATTTTTTTTTTCGAAAATTTTCACGATTACAATATTGCCCCGTCAGTAGGCGTGTGAAGCAAAAGACGTATATGAATGCATCTTTTTGACACTCCTTTTGAATGAAAATCCATCCATCTTTCCAATTACGTATCAGAGTAACAGTTTATATGGATTGATGAATACCTGTATCAAAACTCCTAGGGTTTGCAAAGTTTCTTTTTTTTTTTGACGAACAAGGTAGAATTGTCAACAAACCTGCACGCACCATCCTGCAAGGAACACGGTTTCGATGTATAGACTTTATAGCAACCGTTTGAAACGTTCCGTCCTTCATTGGTCCTACTTTCATCTTTGTGCCTTCAGTTATAACACCTTTTATCAATAACCCACCGAGTATTTGTCCAACATCGCCAGTTTTGAAGTTTTCATCAATGTGGAACTCCGGCATTTCCTGGAATATTGAAAAAACATCAAGTTTTGAGAAAAGTAAAGAGCGAAAAAATTAATAGATCTAGAATACAACTGAATCTGTCATTTCAAAAACCTCACACAATTTGATTTTATTGGGATCAATAAAAATTGTGTCATTCACAAGTAGATGGGTTTAAAGGACTTCTTTGGGTTGAATACTCATAGCATGTGAGTTATAAAAGTGTCGAAAAACCTTTACAGTTTCTTAAGTTTACATTATAATTATTGCTAAATAATTTTTAAAGCTGATGACTCTTTTGCCAAATTGACATTGAATTATGATCCTAAGCACAGGATTTATTCAGAAAACTATCTATAATCACAGACACACAAACATTTTCTTTTAAATTTCTCGTAGTACATCACTTTGCCACAAAGAAACCTTTTTGGTGCTTAGTTTCTGCTCCAATTTGCCGTGCACTTAAATGGGGATTTTCCTGCAACTTTAATAGAACCTCCAACTGATTCGCCTCATTGGTGACACTTGGATTATTTATATGTTTTTTACTATATTCCACTGCTCCACTTGATTCAAAACGTTCTCGTAGTGCGGAAAATATTTCCGGCCTTGGATGTCGCATATTAGGGTACCGTTGCTTATAAATGCGAGATGCTAGGAAACTATTTCTTTGGGCTTCGCCCAAAACGAACACCATGTTCATCATTTCTTCTTTAGAAAAATTCATTTTCAAACACGTTTTTATTATAGTGCTCACAAAGCTAATTTTGACAGCTTGTGACTAATAACAATTTATTTGTTTCCGAGGATGATGCGATATTTTACGGAATTAAGCCGTTCCATAAAAGACGTGCTAATAACTGAAAAAATAGCCGTAAAAACCCTTATGTGTCTGGCATCAAAAAAAGCTTATAAAAAACTGAATCCAAACTTGCACAAATATACAGGGTGATGCATTTGAAATTTTTGAGAAAAAATAACAATCCGCATTTTTCACCACCCTGTATGAGCAAAAATTAAAATTCGAAAAAGTAACAAATAAGATAAAAGCTGAGGTGTGTAAGTTTTTTTTTGATACAAAATTCAGCACTCCAAATTTCAAAATGGCGGATTGAGGGGTTGCCGAAGTGGACGGTTTTTCTGGACAAAAGCCAAAATCACAACTTTGATATGTAGGTCAAAATTGGGACACCCTGTATAATTGCCAATATTTTAGAAATGTGCCTTCAAACATCATGTATAACATGCCATAAATAAATTTTCCCAAAATGTATTTGTTTATGAGTAATATTCCGTCTACACATGGATGGGCCACCCTATATATATATATATATACCTTGAAAACATTCAAAATTAAAAAATGTGGTATTTTAAGAAGTCAATATTTAATAAGCAATAAAAAAATATGATTTATATGGTTCTTCTGCTCAATTTATATAGGGTGATTCACAAATCGTGACCAAAAATGAAACATCACACATTACCGTATTTCAAGAGGGGTCTTCTATGTAACATTTTTTCCTCCAGGGCTTCATCAAAAAGATACGGGGTGTTTAAGTTAAATAATGGACAATATTTAGGTAAATACACATACCAAATTTTAGTTTATTCCAGTCGACGGTTTTGAAGATAGTCGAACAATTGCTTTTTATTTTTGAACTCAAAACCCTGTATCTATTTTTGGTCACGACTAACCCTATTTCCCACTAAAAGAACGCAAGTCCATAATAGTTGTTCAGGTTTTCTCCATTATTATTAATGAACTGTGAATGTTATTCGAAATTTCAATATTTTTGAGCAGAAATACCAACACTTATTGTCTCCTGGAAAATTCAAATTATGGGATTTACGAGGTTTTTGCAATGACCGATTCAATTCCATCTGCCTCGTATTTTGCAGCCTAAGGGCCAAGATATTAGGAACCAAGGAGTTTTATAGTCAGGTTGCATATTCAATGGAGTAGTGGGACATCCTGACCTTCATTAGGAGATAATTCCGACAAATTACTGGATAGGAATATATAGTAGAGCGTTGGTACACCCAGGGTCAGCAAAAGAACCAAAGGTGACTTACAACCTGCCAGGCTTCCCCTTCCCATCTCTACTACGTCACAGAAACGAACCTGTTCGAGTCTTTCTTTCTCCTTGGCACTAATGCCTGGTGGTAGTACATGAAGAAACCTGAAGAGCAGATCCAATCCTTCGCCATTAACGCTGGAAACACAGAAGATAGGCACGACGTTTTCGGTTAACTGATTTGCTCCAGCGGTGATGACGTCATCCAGATTTTTTATGACTAGAGGCACTCTGCAGCTACCAACTTGCTTCAGGAAGGATTCCAAGCTCTGTAAGGTACTGGCCGGCTCAACTAGATCTGTTTTTGTTATAACTATGAAGAAAGGTACATTCAGTGCTACAGCAATCGTGAGATGCTCGTGTGCCATTCCGACTGCGCCAGCTGTGCTTGAGATCTGGAAATAACAAAATTAAAGTCATTATGAGACCAAATGGAACATTCAGACATTTTCAATGGGCCAGTGACGATTTCTATTTTAGCTACAACTTGTGCAATAAAAAATCTAATTATATATTTATTATCAAGCAAAATAATGAAAGAGGGGGATCTTATGCTAAATAAAGGAACAAAACTGAATAAAAGTGCCTTAAATCCAAATCTAAGGTAGGTAAGTTGATACCATCAATGTGATTTCTGTCATTGCCTCTGTAGTAATTTTTTTGTTAGGCGTCAAATAAGGATCTTGACAGTACATCACAAATGATGTCCATTATTTATACCTTTGTTGATCCGAAACTACTTAAGAACTGTAACGCTAAGTCAGTTATCTTCTATCATCTACAAAACTCCCTGAAGAATTTTCTGGTTGCGAAGACACTTTTTTGTCAGTTAATATTGGCATGATAACTAATCATTGCTGTCAAACATTATGAAATGTTTTATAAAAAACTGAAGCCTTGGTCTACATGAGCACACACAGTCATTGTTTATATTGGGTTTCTTCATTAGCATTATCTACCTGAGAAATGTAACTTCTCTTTTTGTAAAGTTTGGACGTGAAATGAACTTGATCTAAAGCATATAATTTGTATAAAGGTAAACTACATACAACAAGCATAGCATGATGAGGAGAATATCCAGAAAGGCCCTGAATTGTTGTTCTGATGTACTTCTTATGACCCGCCAGATCTAAGAATGTAACCAATTTGGTTGAAGTATCACATATTTCTTCCGCTGTTATCAGTTCACTGGAGCTGTAGTTTACTGGCTGTCCCTGTCAATGTAAAATAAATAATATAAAACCAACTTATCCAAGATACACATCTTTGTCTATGTCTCAGACATACAAATGTTTTGAACAATTTTTTCATTGGAAACCTCAAAAATTATAGGGCTTTGTAGAGTAAAATCTCCATTTTCGTATCCTGTAAATTTGATAATGACAAAAAAAATACTGGAGTCAAATTCAAGGGACTAAATGGGCCATTCAACACACCCCATAAAACCTAGCATGATGATGTCAGATGCTTAAGCTACATACCGGATTTACCCAAGAAATGAGATTTCATTAATATCACAGATACAAGTTTTTGTATATTTTTTCATAGGAATCTTCAAAATGTATGGTAAAGTTTCCATATGTGCCCTTTTTAACAAGCAGTACAACTTGCTGCAGGGGGTAATTTGGGGCAGTAAATTTTATTATGACCATAAAAATATAATGTAAATTTTCACTTAAAAAGGGCCACTTGGCTCTTCATTAGATAGTATGTATGCATAGTCAATAATGCTAGCTCAGTTTTTAATATTATAGATATCAGTGAAAGCATATTTATAAACACATGTGAATCTACAAGATAATAATAATAATGTTTATTGGAATATCAGAGATGTACAAAATTGTTATCTTACAATAAACATGCAATACCCAAAGAAGTTTGAACCTGTGCTTGGGTTTACATGAGAATGAAAAACAAAACAAATGGGCAACTACACAAACGTTAAATAATGTAGGTATAATGTAGTTAAGTGTAAAAAATTTATATTTTTCTAGGTGTAAGATTCAGCTAAATTATTAAGACAATTTTTGATATAAAATTAATTGTTCTTAGTTTTTGTTTATATGTGTTCAAACATAAATACATCTGTGATGTACATAAGTTGTTTCAAGTTTAATAATGATTTTTAGTGTCTATAAGTTTATGGATCGAGTTCCTTAGTTCCTGTATAATCCATGACTTGATGTGTTTTTTTACAAGTTTTTGATGTTTTAATAATCTTTATTGATGCCAAAATATGAATGAAAATTTTTGGGCCAAAAAGAGAAGAGACCTTTGATCGTGATTGATGGGCTTTAGATGCATCTTATTTTTAATGTGGTACATCAATCCATTGTAAAATTAAATTTGTCTAACATCTGGGAGCTGAGCTTCTAAGTAAAGATTATTTATTTATCAACGAGCGACTGACCAATTAAAGTACAGCATAGAAAATCTAATGTAAACCTAACTCTACTTTGACTTAGATATTTAACACTTAAAACAATCGCAAACACTTTACAATCCTGATCATTTCTAAATTGAAACGAATTTAATTGAAATTTAAATATATGGGGAAATCAAATATTAAATATTACAAGCAGGAATCTAATTGAATTTTGAATGTTTTCTGGCTTCTGAACAAATCCAATTTATTAGAATAATGATTTGCTAACCTTGAAGATCTAGACAGGAATGAATTACTAGCATAATTAGTACGAAATGATCTCGCATGGAATGGTTAATTTATTCTTGTTTGATGAGAAGGCACATGGAGATTAATATTTTTCAAAAGTTCTGGAGCAAAACTAAGAGAGTGCAGCATATTATAAAACAGAGACAGGTCTCCCTGATTCCGTCTTACCTGAAGGGTTGGGATATTGAGAGAGCTTTCAATGACGGAATAGATAATATCTTCAACCATGATGTGTTGTTTGAATGAAATGAATCCTAAGAATTTATGTTGAACTCTCTCAATTGCCTGAATATGAACATTATAGTTGGGTGACCAAACACAAGAACAATACTCCAAATGGGGCCTCACCAAAGAACAAAACAACATTTTAAATGACTGAATATTATGAAAATCCTTAGCACATCGTTTTATAAATCCCAACAGTTGAAGAGATTTAGAAAAAATCATTTATATGGGCAATAAAGGATAATTTTGGGCCAAGAATTACCCCTAAATCTCTAACTTGGGATACACTCTTTCATGGTATAAGTATGATTTATGGGGTCCCTGTTAGGGCTGAAGACCATTAAATGACATTTTTCCACATTAAGTTCCAATCTATTCATTTGACACCAGAGACTTAATGAATTCAAATCATTTTGGAAATTTGAACAATCATTATTATATTTGATTTTTAAGAATAATTTCAAATCATCTGCAAACATTAGAAAACTAACAACTTAAAACAGTATATATCACGTATATGTTGAAAAGAAGAGGACCCAGATGGGAACCTTGAGGTACTCCAGATGGCACATTAATCTGATTTGATTGAAAGCTTTGTATACGCACTATTTGTTTTCGGTCAGTGAGGTAAGACTTCAGCCATGATAAAAGATCCCCGCAAATTCCTAGAGAATGTAACTTATTAATCAAGATCTCATGGTTGACCTTATCGAATGCTTTAGAAAAATCTGTATAAACTACGTGAACAGAATAACCTTAATCCAAGGATTCCAAAACATAGTTTGTGAACGTTAAAAGATTTAACTCTGTGGAGCGTTTTGAAAGAAATCCAAACTGTTGGCTTATAAAACTACTTTGCAAATTTGCGGATAAAAATTCACACACTAGGCTCTCAAATATCATTCCAATGCAACTCAGTTTACACTGATAGGTCTATAATTTTTGACTTGTGAAGGATCTCCAGATTTCAGTATTGGAGTAATGAAGCTTGGTTTCCAGCATTCCGGAAAAGTTCCACTTTTCAACGAAAGATTAAAAATATAAAATAGATGTCTAGAAATCAGAAAGCTACAATGTTTAATCAACAACAGAGGTACACCATCAGGTCCAGGTCCTTTACTAGCGTCTAATTTGTACAGTTTTTCATAGATGGCTGAGATTGGAATTTCATAGGTGAACAAATTGATGACTCCATAAGAAAGATTACTATTCTGAACAGTACTATTCTCTACACTGTAAGTTTTAGAGAAGTAATCTACAAACAAATTGGTAATTTGTAAACCAGAAGAACTACTGGCATTATTATAATGTAGTTCTGAAGGTATGTAATGATAATCCTTACGGCTATTAACAAATTTCCAAAAAAAATTCACGTTTTCTCTAAGAGAAGATTCAGTTGTATTGACATAATCCAGATAACACTGTTTTTTTAGATTTTTACACTGAGCTCTGAGAATAGAAAACTCATGATGATCATTTAGCAAGTGAGATTTGATGTACTTCTTGTGTAGTTTTTTTTTTCAACTACCATTTGTTTAAGTTCTGGAGAAATTCAAATGGGAAATTTCTTTGCAGAGAACTTCTTCAAAGGAACAAAAATATCAATTGTTAAATATATTACATCATAAAACATATTAAGCATATCACCAAGTGATTTATTCATAAGCAGTATGTCCCACTGGACAGAAATGCTATCACTTCCTGCACATTTGTGGATTTAAAATATCTGTAAAACCCACTACTAGTAAGCCCAGAGTTATTAAGGCAAGTTTCACAATTTAGCTCAAAATACAGTGGTGGATGATGAGTGTCTACTGGTAAAAGTGCTTCCTCCGCTGCATGTACCGTAGTTGTTTCATCTTGCATAAAAATCAGATCCAGTAAGTTGTTATTTTCATTTCTAATAAAATTCACTTGGTAAAGGTTATGATATGAACACAACCAAGAAAAGACCTGTATTGATTCAGCTTCAGATGACGAAACTCCTGTCAGAGGAACAGCAATAGAGGCCATATTTTCCTTAGACCATTGACAATGTGGAAGATTAAAACCACCAAGAATACATAGCCTATACTCAGGATACAACCCAGTTACATTCTCTAATTTCTACGAAAATTCAACATATTTGTCTGGAGAACTACCAGGAGGAAAATATGCTGTAGCAAGGATAATTTTAGTCCGATCAATATGATTTTTTATGACAATTGTTCAATGTTTTTAGTGGATGGTACAATACCACTAATTAAAGCTTTCTGGACAGCTATAAGCACTCCTCCTCCTCGAGAGAAGGTACTCGACTGTGAAGTTCTGTCTTGCCTGTAAATATTGTAATCAAATAATTGTAGCTCAGTACCATTTATGTTTTCGGTTAACCAGGTTTCATTTAAAACAAGAATATCATATTGAGAATAGGACATGTGTTCATATAGAAGATGCAGCTTTGTTCGTAAGCCTCTAACATTCTAGACGAAAATAAGTACGGTTGAAAATATGTCAGGTCTTGATTGGGCAGGCACCCTCAGTTTTTTGTAATTAGTTTGGGCACACCATTAACATATTTCATTATGAGATTAGCTTCTCCATTGCGTTTTCTAACATGGAGTTCATTTTTCAAGGAATTTACCTCAGCTCTCTGTTCATTGGTTAAATCTGCATCAAGAAAAGTCTTTAAACTTTTATCAAGTTCACCCTTAATCCTCAATATTGAACGAACTAGTTCAAAAGACTCCAAAATTAAACGTAGTGATTGATGCCCATTCTTATTCCGTCTTCCAATAAGAGCTGAAGACACAATATTAACTACAGATCCTACGAGGGGAGAGAGTATATCCTTAACTTTATCCAAATCTTGTTCCTCATTGATTTGTGGAAAATTAAAAAGCATTAAATTACAAGCTCGTTTTTGCGTCTCAGATACCTCCTGCATCACATTACCATGAATCACTGCTGCACTGTACCTGGATTGAGTTTGGTTAGCTGGTATAGACATGGAACTTTTTATTATAGCAAGATCTTTTTTGATGTCTTCAAAAGATTATAAAAATCCAGTTCTCATACTTTTAACTTCAATCAGATATCTCACGAATCTGAGTTTCAGATTCTTCAATTTTGTGTGAATTAGCAATTTTAACTTCGCTTAGGGAGTCCTCTACTGCTTGGACTCTCTTATTCAAGGTAAAGGCTGTTTTGATTGCTGGAGCACAGTCCTCGCACAAATATGGAATAACATGGTTGGATAACATAAGATACCGGATCTCAGTAGAACTTATGCCGGCACAGTTTCTACATGAAATTTTTTTGCAAAAGTCACATGGGTAGCCAAAAACTTCACCACTTATTTTCGGTTCCTTAAAAATACACTTAACAACACACTTGTTGCACACGCCAGCCATTCTGAGGTTATCTATACTGAGATTTTGTGATATTATTCCTGCACTTAGCACATTCAGATCTGGATTTTCCATTGCCTATTATGACCCTGATTGACTAGACTATAACACCAGCTCCTTATTATTTTGTAATAGCCACTTTTTATACATGGAACCTTTTTGTTTCCTGGTACGCTTTTTGTGAAATGAAAAGGAATGTATTTCTATTTGCTGCGCTTATGCGCGCACAAAAAATACTTGCACTACCAATATTCCACGGGAAATTACCTTCTCGCACCACTATCAAACCCGTGCAAAAATCAGATTTTTTTTGCTGAAGTTAAACCATCGATTTTCAACAAAATAAGGAGAGCACTTTACACACGTCTATCACTGTCTCAGGGATATTTCAAAAAAAAAACGGTTGGATATGTAATCCTTATGAACATGAAGGAATAATTTTTATTCTAATGACTAATCAAAATACAGCTTTACCTGAGAGTTAAATCCAAGAATCTCATGTGAGATGGAAGAAGTTCTCCCACTTTGAATCTCATGTAGATGTCGAAACATATTTAGCCTAGCTCTTCCTCTGCCATTATCAAGACTCCCTTGTGTCAGAACTCCTAGAAGAGTAGATTTCCCGGCGTCTGCATTTCCCAGGACAGCAACTCTAATTTCAATGTTGTTCTGATCATCAGGTACCTTCCTAACAAGTACTTCAGCAACACTGCAGCCGTTGTCTAGCATTCTTTCTCTTAAAATTGTCGTTGTAGCTCCAAGTTTGATTGCCATCTGTTGAAGAGTTTGAAGGCTGGCATTCATGTCACGTTTTGTTAAGCCTGTCAGAATTCCACTGTCTTCCACACCAATTTCATAGATAGCTTCTCCGTTGCCCTCTCTTAGACGCCATTTCAACTGAGAAAAATGTTTTTTTGACTTACACTTTGTAAAACCTTGAGAGAATGAAATACAACCTCCCATTACTACCCAAATACCATTAACAGAAGGAGTAGGGATTTATCGAATTTTTATTACTGGGAGAAAAATTAGAAAAGTCAATGAAACATACTTTGTGGTATATGTAAAAAAGATTTAGGCATCAATGATTACAAAATTCATAATTTTTGACTTTTTAAGTTATGTTCATCTGTTAATGAAAGCAGTCACTGTTTTGAATTACCTATTGCTTTTTTCAGGAGTTTCCATGTTGACAAATGACACATGATTCTGAGGGAGACAGAACAGTATATTTTGATTTTTTTGTACACTAAAGATTGATTTTGTATTTGCTAGCAACTTTTTTATTTAGAAAAGTTTATTTGCATACAAAAACAAGATGCTGCAAGCAAGTTTTACTAGTTTTATACCATATTCAGTTATTGCCAACAACAGTTACAGACTAATACAAAAAGATGTCACTTGTTGATCAGCTGTTAACCTAAACCACATATTGGATATTCATTATGAATTCTTCAATTACAGGAATGAGCTCCTACATGCCCCAAGCAAATCTGGGCTGTTCTGCTTTTATGTGGTGGCATTTTAAAATTTTAATGACAGCTTGTGCAATTTCAACATACTACAGGACCATTCAATCGATTATTCCAACACACTGTATATGTAGGATGAGAAGAGAAAATAACTGTCTCCTGGAAGACAGCTAAACATACTGACTAAAACAATATATACTATCATTAATGTACTTAAAGGCTACTGTAGCTGTCAAAACATCATAACAAAAATTTAAGCTAATGTTTGAATCAGAAAATCACAGGATAAGTTTCAGGAGTTACATTAAGTAGTAGCTATTGTTTCCATACCTGGGTAACTAGATGTTCGAACCTTTGCTTTGTAGGGTTGACAATTTTCAATTTGTATTCAACATTTCCAAGTTGTGGTTCAGGGGGTAAGGAGTTTTGATTATTTACATTATCCAGTGAGAATCCCTCACTGCTGCAGTCGCTGCAGGAACTGGGGTCGAATAAACTGAATAGTGAGTCCATCTTTTGCTGTCAGTGTATCTGGAAACAAAATATTGCACAATAATGAAATCGATTGCCTCATCACCTAAAGCGTAATTATTACTTATTAATGTTGCTTATAATTTATACGAGGCTTACTTTTTAGCTAAAAAGGAATACAAATACAGACAACAGACACAACTCCAATATTTTAGAGTTCAACTTACAATATGTGTTGATAAACAATCATTTACTAAGGTTTCATTGCTTCTGGCATAATTTGTGAAATGTATCGCCCAATATTTGATTATTGCCTCACTCCAACATTATTTTGATGTTTTTTCTGGGATGATTTCAAAATAAAATTTTTATTCTCCTTGGGAACATATCACAATATTACAAAACATACACAACACAAAAAGATTACAAAAATAGATTCTAAGTGCGATTCTGTAAGTCGAAGCTTCCAACTCCAAGAGTCTACTGTCTCAGCAGTGTAGAACTAGCATTACATTCTACAGCAACTGCCTCACATGCATCTGCGTTCTTCTTCCATGTTCATGACGGCCCGAGTAAAGATAACATGGCAACGCAAGACAACTATTGAAATATACTCTACTAGACTCTAGAAGACTATCCGTAGCGAAATGTTTCTCGAAAACGTTGCACACAGCTTGAAAAATGCAAATGAAAATTGCAAAACTGCTGCTTTAACGTACTAAATGACTCCGTCTGTCATTACCCCGGGATAGACATGTTTTGACAGTTGACTTTGTCATGCTGCGTTGCCAGCTCATCGGACAATTTTGCCACCTCTGCTATTTTGCTAGAATGTTATATAAAAAAAGAAGCTTTGGATAAAACATTGAGGGATATCAAAGGAGATTTATAAAATTTGAGGCGTAGCAATGTTTGCCAAAAAAACTAAACAAAAGCTGTTATTTACATTTTGCGTCGCCTGGTGTCTATACGGCGGAACGTTAATGTCTCTGAATAAATGCCCTGTTTTTTTAGGATAAAATACTTTTTGAATACACTTCTTCCAACAATTGAATTTAAACTAGTCTGATCCTTATCTTGGCCACCTTGTAATACATTATTTTAAAAATAAATTTACAGAAGCGTGCACTAATCTAAGTTCTTGTAAGTATTCTTATGTACTTACATTCATTTCTGAAAAATCTCAAAACTATTAGCAAAGCCTCGAACAAAAGACTATTTTTAGTCCAAGGAATAGGTGAGAGTCAATAATTGACAGTATTTCACATAGTGCCTTGACACTAAGCCCTTGGCACTATGTTTACTAAATATGGTGCAAAAAATCAAGCGTTGATGTTTTGGCGTTTTTAAACCTGGAATCTTAGCCCCGCGTTTATGAAACTACAATATCTTACCTTGGTTGTTGGAGGATACGTGGGCACCAAATGTCCAACAAGAGTAGGGATGTGATGCGTCTGCCTGTATTTTATCCTATAAAACTTTGCATTTAAATAATGTTTATAGACATTAACATTGCTACGCTTCAAATTTTATATATCTCCATTGGTATTCCTCAATATTTTATTCAAAAGTTTTTTTTTTATAACATTCAAAATAGCAGAGGTAGCAAAGCCGTTCGATGAGCTGGCAACGCCGCAATCCAAGTAGCAAGAATGACAAGGTTATCTGTCAAGACGGATGTCTATCCCGGGGTACCGACGAAGTCATTTAGAACGTCGAAGCGGCCATTTTAATTTTTTTATGTGTTGTGCAAAAATTTAGCTACAAATACTCTTCTAGAGTCTAGTAGAATACATTTCAACAGTTGTCTTGCGTGGTCTTTACTCGGACCTTAATGCCTCTTGGTTCTCAATAATGCTTTTATATTTCTGGATAATGCAAAATCATTTTCAGTAAAGTCTGAAATTTTTATTCGGATTATTCAATGAACAAAAAGTTGGTGGGTCACGTGGTACTACTAAGACTCGTTGTTGATTGGTCAGTTCTACGAAAAAATGACAGAGGATCTTTTAAATTCATAAAATTTTGATATACAGAATCGCAACCATTGACGTAGGAACGTTATCTTATATGTTGAAACCTATCCTTATGTCGCAACGTTGCCAGATCATGTAGGATATACTCATTTTTTTGCCGTGGTTCATCCGACAGGGCGGGACTGGCCATTTGAACAACATAGCAAATGTCTAGCATTCGCCCTGTAGATCAGAAGCGCAATCAGGTAAATAAAACCATGTTTACAGTATAAAATATTTTATTTGAGATACAGAAAAACTTACTTGATATATCAACATAAGTAAAAAGGTATTCTAGAAAAATTGAAAACATTCAAAATTACAAAAAAACATAACAAGAATTTAGTGTTTTTACTGAATACTGATATAATAATCAAACCAAAATAAGCACAATGGAAAATGTTAAGATGACATGAACCAGAAGTTTAAAACCACAAAAATGATGTTTTTTGGTTTAGTTGCATCTACCTACAACTAGGTGTTACTATAACCATGCGGTCGACTGGATTATCGTCCTTAGAGGTTATAAATTGTAGTATATATTGTCTCGTTTTAGCAAAATTTCAATGAAAAGCTAGAATGATAGTTCACCCAGAAAAAATGTTGAAAATGATACATCCTAACACTTTTTTATCATTTGAATGAACAAAATTACAACTCGTTTGTAAAAATAGATACAAACAGTACACACATCTACGATTCAAAAAAGTCATATTCACATAATCAGTGTCACAGTATGCTACCTATGTATAAAAAATGCGAAAAAATTTTGATTTGAATTTGAATGAAAGTTTGGGACAATATCTATAATTATGAAAGACCAATATATATGTTATTAACTCGTATTGGACGTACAATGAAAATGGCATTTTCATTATTAATATTGAGAAATACAACTGAACGTCTTATCAGATCGCGAACTACATAGAAATCTAAAAGATCTTTGGAATCAATTTGTTTATTAGACCGGTTCTACCATTGAATCCGTTACTTGAAATACCAAGCATCACAGAACAATATAATAGACACAAATTACATACGATGTATTATAAAAAAAGTTTTATTTAGGCTTTATTAAAGTTTTGCCTTTTACGTCAATATCAAACGGTAATAGGTACGAAGTGGGTGCAAGTTCCGCATTTAAGTACCTAGAAAATGGCACATATGTAGAAATTTTACGAAATAAATTGTACATTTTTTGCCACCTTTATTCTCTACAAGGTCACACAATTAGAATTTCAATATGACGTTTCGTCCTTCATCATAAAATTTATTTTTTCTTATCGACACCATATAGGATTCGTGCATTTGTGCAAATAAGAATTTTTTATTCTGTTTCAAAAAAGTATAATAGGTCATACATTCACATTGTAAACCTTAATTATATCAAGAAAAATAAAATTTTCATAGCTGGTCATGAAAATGAAAGCTTATTACATGTTTATTTAATTACGTCACCAATTAAACACCGATTTTGAGAAGCTTATTTGATGGAAATTCAGATATTTGTCCATTTATAGACTATTTTAGCGCAAAGAAGCATCTCTATACGATTAGATTAATATTTAGATGCAAGATATGTGCATCGGTAGAAATCTGTGGTTTTACAATATCAATCCATGTCATGACATATGTAGCTTATTAAAATCGGACCTAGGGACTGTTTACTTACGCCCAGTTGATGAAAAATGAACGAATCCTCAGCTGATATAATATTATGAAACAAATAACTATCTGATAATTTATAAATTATTTAAAGGCCTTTTTAGGAAATTCTGATTTAGTAGTAGTTGCACAATAGTAATGTATGTCAGCTAAGTACTGGAACAAGGTTTTGTTTAGTGACGAGTCCAAGTTTGATATTTTTGGAAGTGACGGAGTACAGTACGTACATCGTCCAGCAAATAAAAGACTTGATCCAGAATATGTTTCTGGTACCGTTAAGCACGGAGGCGGCAATATAATGGTTTGGGGTTGTTTTTCGGGTTTACGGAATGGGTCCAATCCACAAAATTGAGGACACCATTTATCGATTCATGTATCGAACTACATTGGAAAGTGTAATGTTGTCTTACGTCGAATGGGAAATGCCGCTAAAGTTTAAGTTCCAATGTGATAATGACCCCAAACATACTGCCAAACCTGTGAAGGAATGGTTTGTGGGAAATAAAATTCAAGTTTTAAAATGGCCACCGCAATCACCGGACTTAAACCCCAATGAAAATATTTGGGCGATAATTGAGAAAAAGATTCGACCTAAAAATATCAGCAATCGGGCTCTGTTATTTGAAGAGATTGAAAATGCTTGGAAATTAATGGATCCAACTGAAATTTATAATCTCATTGGGCCGAAAGGGTACTGGACGAAGTATATTTTAGTTTCATTAATATAAGATACAAATGTATTCTAAGGATAAGTCTATGTAATTCTGTCGCATAGAATTTTTTATATTTTTTTATTTTCTCTAATAAATCTTTGGAGATTTACGTTTATGAATTTATTTTAGTATCATTTGACACTACTTAATGACATAAATCTTTAGCTAAATTACAAAAATTCACTATATTTCTGTATTCCATAAAAGTCATAACTAGTCTAGTCGCTCTAATTTTGCCCGATACTGTAACAGTACTTATTTCACACATCAGAGGTTATCTCGTACATTTGCCCTTATAACATAGAGAAACATGGCTGACTTAAACCATTTAATTTTTTTGTTATTAATGTTTGTAGCTAGCTCAAATGGATTAACTTGAGACGAACATAATTCTTTATGAACTGATGACAGCTTTGCCTAGGAAGGGCAGAGTCAACCTACTTGACCCCATTTTTTGGTCTACAGGGTTTGTCCGGAAAGTAATAGGACTCATTTTCTTCCGCCATGACTATACTTCGGAGCGTGCGCGCACCTACTGGATTCGGTAGAGGGCGTTCCTAGCTAACGAATGAGCGGCTGGTCAGTTGTCTCCGAGCACTTGGAGAGTCAGGACAGGCATTTTCGCGCGACGTGTTTCTGTGAGCGGTGCAAGCCGAACATGCAGCGTTCGTTAGAGCAGAGGTACGCGATTAAATTCTGTGTGAAACTCGGTAAATCTGCGACAGAGACGTTTGATATGATCAAGAAGGCTTACCCAGGTGTTGCTTTAGCAGTGTGTTTTGGTGGCACCAGGCCTTTTTGGAGGGCCGGGAAGAGGTCGCTGATGAAGACCGTGCTGGAAGACCTTCGACTTCGACAAACACCGATAATGTGACTCGTGTGCGCAAAGTTTTGAACTCAGACCGTCGACCAAGTATTCGTTTAATTGCCCAGATGTTAAATTTACCAAAATCTGTGGTTCATGACATTGTGACACAGCATTTGAACGTGCTCAAGGTGTGCGCGAAGATGGTCCCAAAAGTGCTCACTGACGACCAGAAATTGCGGCGAGTGGAAGTGTGCCAAGAAAATTTGAACATGTGTGAAAGTGACCCCCAATTTTTGAATAACGTAATCACAGGTGACGAGTCGTGGATCTTTGAGTATGATCCCGAGACAAAGAGGCAATCTTCCGAGTGGCACACGACGGCGTCTACTCGCCCAAAAAAGGGAAGAATGAGCAAATCCAAAGTGAAAACGATGCTCATTGTCTTTATTGACATCAAAGGCATCGTCCACCATGAATTTGTTCCTCCTGGACAAACCGTCAACGCCAAGTTTTACGTGGAAGTGCTCAAGAGACTCAAACGAAGGGTCAGTCGGGTCCGACAAGACATTGCAGCCGACTGGAAGTTGCACCACGACAACGCCCCGGCTCACGCCGCCTTTCTTGTGAACAGCTACTTGACCAAGGCCGGCATCCCAACGCTTCCACAGCCGCCCTACAGTCCAGATGTGCCCCCAGACTTTTTTTTGTTTCCTCGCCTGAAAAGGCCGATGAAAGGCAAGCATTTTGAGACGACAGAGGGGATCCAAGCGGCATGCACCGCGGCTCTCAAGGCTATTCCGGAGAATGCCTTCCGTGACGCCTTCAATGCTTGGAAATCGCGTTGGCAGCGCTGCATCGACGCAGAAGGAGCCTATTTTGAAAGTTTTTAAAGAATTGTAACGATTGTCTCAATAAATTTTTTTAAATCGGCTCAGTTCTATTACTTTCCGGACAAACCCTGTATATGGAAATACTCTAAATTGTAAAACTATTTAAGTGTCATTTTCTCTGTTACTTAAATGTGCAACTTTGCTTTCACTTAACACGACTTCGTATCTTTTACTGTTTCCGAGATTCGAATGATGAGGTCGAATTTGAAAGACATCCGGTACTGAAACAGTGGCATTTTCTGTAGTGAAGACACAAAATATGCTAGAAACATGCAACAAAATTTGTGTAATATGAAACTTCTTTCAGTCTGTGAAAATAGCTGATTGTGGTAATGAAATACCGGGTTTTCCAATAGGGACTTGACAACTTTGAACTTTCACTGTGAACGCACCTTTAAATCAATTTTCAAACTGTCAACGTCAAAACATTCAGTAAAGAAAACATTTTCATCATGATGAAGTACACGAACGAACAACGCTTACAAATAATTAAAATTTATTACCGAAATTCCGATTCGGTGACTGCAACTTAAGAGCGTTAACGCCAATTTTTGGTCGTAATTCTTGTTCCAGTAGACAAGCAATACATAGTCTAGTAGAACAATTTGAGTCCACATATTCGCTGCTGGATTGTTGCCGTTCAAGCTTCCGTCGCAAATGAACAGAACACGACAATTCCACGGCATTCTCAAGAATTGGGTATCGCTCAAACCAAATCGCAAATTTTGCGAAAAGATCTTGGCCTGCACTCTTATAAGATAAAGTTAACTCAAGAAATAAATCCGTTCGATCACATGAAACGACGTACGTTCTCGAATTGGGCTCTAGAAATGTTGCAAGAAAATGACCAATTTCATCGCAAAATCATCAGTGATGAGGCGCATTTTTTTGCTAAACGGCTTCGTCAACACCACTTCATCCACGAAAGATAACTGTATAGTGTGGTTTTCATGCAGGCGGTGTCAATGGGCTGTTTTTTTCGTTGATGAAAATGAGCGTCACATTATAGTTAACGGAGATCGCTACAGAGACATCTTGCAGCGTTATGTTTTTGGTCAATTGGACGGGTTAGACATTGATGATATGTGGTTTCAACAAGACCACAAGCCACACAGCGGGTGAAACAATCAACATATGGAAGTCAAAATTTGGTGAACGTGTTATATCGAGAAATGGTCCTGTCGAATGGCCGCCTAGATCGTGTGATTTAACACCTCTAGACTTTTTTATGAGGCTACATTAAATCATTGATCTATTCCAGAAAGACGGCGTCGCTAGAGGAGCTCAGATCCAATACTGAACGAGAGATAGCGGCCGTTTCTGTCGAAATGTGTGGCCGAGTCATTGAAAATTGGGTTCAACGAATCGATCGCTGCGAACGTGCCCGTGGTCGACATATGAACGAGGTATAATTCCATACATAAATATTTTACTTCAATCCTTAATAAAATTTTCGAGATAACTGGTTTGCGTTTTATTCAAACAGAAAGTTGTTAAGTCCTTAATGGAAAACCTTTTATGTCCTATTTTTTGTCTAAGTGCAACAGAGAAGTTCGTGGAATTCACCATAACATCCTATTTTTGCACAATACAATGAAAATTTAACAAGAATTGTCATAAGGTTAACCGATCAAAATTGATTGTACAGGGTAACACAAACATATGGAACACCTAGAACACCACACACATTCAAACACATAGCCAAAATTTACACAGTTATTGCATTTTGGCAGTCCTTGAAATACCCGAATAATGTTGCAAGAGACGTTTTACTGTCGGGACACATGGACGTTGAACTGATACAGCGTCTAGCATTACGACGCACGTTTTGCAGGTGGTGGATACAGAGTTTATGTTGGTTACAGCATGCATCCCAGGAAGAACATATATACTCTGCCAGCGATTGCTCTTTGTAACAACTGAGGAGCGGGAGGTATCGGTGAAGTGGTGATTGAAAATTGGGGGGCTGCATCAGTCGTTTCCTAGAGCAAAAAATATTGGTGATCGATCCAACGCCCGTGTCCTGGCAGCTAACATTGCTCTCTGTCTCTTATTGCTTCTTTCATACTAATTGAATTATCACTAACACGCATTATGTGTATAAAAAAACAAATTTTAAAACACCATTTTCATTCTTCTTCGAATAAGCGCATCCGCAATAGCGGATATATTTCTTTGAAAAAAAAATAACTTGAAAGATCGGAATAATCTGCTATGGCGGGATTTGAATCCGCATCTTCCCCATTTTGTGGCATATGACCTAACCAATTAGCCCACAGCCCCCGCTGACAACTAACTTTTAGGAAAGCTAATTAGTCTAATCATATTAGCCAATTTCTCTGAAATAAATCTGGTTTTATTGGTGCAGTGGGGTATTTAAAACATGGACGCATAAAATGGGTACACCAATTTTTGTGGAAAAACTTTTTATTTGACAACAAAGAATGAGAAAACGTGTTTTTTGGGATTCAATCGAAAGTGTTGACAGGAACGAAACACTTTTCACATAAGATTTTTAGGTATCTATGAGACCTCAAAATGAAACCACACGTGAAAAGTTCCGACTATTAGCAAAAATGTTATGGCCTAAAAACGAGGCAAAATGCAGGTTTCGGTACTTTTTTTTAATGTGGCGATAATTTCACGCAACTACTTGAAATTCTTCAAATCCGTTCATACTTCTAAATAAAAACAACAAAACTGGAGTCGATTGGCCAAGTAGTTTTTCAGAATTTATAATTGTTTATCCCAAAACACCTGTTTTCCGGCCACTACTAGTTTATTGAGCAATATACAGGGTTCGTTCAAAGAGCATTTAATAGCAAAATACACGTGTTTACCCTGCCGATATGAGTAACAAACCATTCCGAAAGATGAATGTTATTTTTATGCAAAAAATAAAGGTTACGTTTTTTCTTCTAAACAAAAACACACGTTACTATACGCATTTTAAAACAAAGCGGATGTGTCTATCATCTTTTGTTACGAATTACTCACAAATACGACGTGTTTGAATTTGTTTAGAAGAAAAAACGTAACCCATTCTTTTTTGCATAAAAATATTTATCTTCCGGAATGGTTTGCGATTCATATCGGCAAGGTAAACTAGTCTATTTTTGCTATAAAATACCTTTTGGACTAACCCTGTATATTGCTCAATAAACTAGTAGTGATGGCCGGAAAACATGGATAAACAATTAGAGATTCTCAAAAACTACTTGACCAATTTGGGTGTGGTTATTTAGAAGTATGAATCCTACGCATTCGAAGAATTTCAAGTATTTGCGAGAAACTCTATCGTGCCAAAACTTTCATTTTGCCTCGGTTTTTGGTCATAACTTTTTTGCTATTAGTCGGCTCTTTTTACGTGTGGTCTCATTTTGTAGGTCTCATAAATACTTAAAAATCTTATACGAAGAGTTTTTCGTTCCTGCCAACAATTTCGATTGAATTGAAAAAAAAACGCGATTTCTCATTCTTTTTTTGTCTAACAAAAAACTTTCCCACAAAAATTGGTGCACCCATTTTATGCGTCCATGTTTTAAATAGCCCCTTGAACAACTTGCCACAATAAAACCAGACGTTACAATTATTTCGCAAACCATGGGTATTTTCGTCTAATATGATTAGACTAAATTGGTTAGGTAGTCTCGCACAGAATGAAGGAAATGCGGGTTCAAACCCCGCCAGCGGCCATTTTTCCTATCTTATTTATTTAAAAAAAAAAACATTTCCATTATGTGAAACCACATAGCAATGTCAAGCAAATATTTTACAGCATTGTCGTGTTTTTTGATTTATACAGCAAAAACTTTCATTCCCAAAGTGTCTGCACCGTTGCAGTCTATATGTACATACCATAGAAAAGTGTCTGACTCAAATTTCGAATACAAAATTACCAAATTTATTTGTCTCTCTATTATGTACATGCACATAAGTAGAAAGAAAGAAAACATGCAGGCATTACATATACGAAAATATTTACAACAAAACCTGTTCATACGATATTTTGATGATTTTGCAAAATATATTACAGTATACAAATCACATCTGTAGAAAATGCAGCATTAGATGAAGTGTTATTATAATAGCTCTCAATCGAGAGCAGACCATAAAGTCAGAATGTATTGTACAAAATCGATTTTCAAAAAACATGTACACAATTTGCATTTCATCATATCATCCTTATGACTGTGATTAAAATATTTGGGGCCAAAATGTAGAAAATCCTGCTTTTACTAAAAGCACTATAAAAATTTGTACTATTTGTTAAGTATGGTGCCCTCTTTTGACCGAAGTGTAGTTTCAATAGGCGTAAAACTTAAATTTTCTATAACAAAGAATAATGCACATCTTCAGTGTTTTCATATTATAGTAAAAAGTCAGATTCAAAATGTTTCACGTCAGAGTGTACACTAAGAAATTAATAAATCGGACAAAGTTATACGAATGACATAACTAAATACAGTCATGGACAAAATTATGGACAGATTTTTATTCCAAACATTTTTCGCTCGCTTCGTATGCAATAATAAATTGTGCCGTTCATTTTATAGGCCTGCTTAGGTATCACATATTTTCACATGTTTACTTTTTGTGCCATAGACATTCCTATCTTATTTGCGTTTTCTTTGTTTATGCCTTGGATAAACGTATGGAAAGTTTTTTCATATCACTGCTATAACCATCACCCTATTAAGAATGCGCAAAAATAAGTACATATTTGCCGGAAGAGTTGCGACTTAAAGTTGTCGAGTTGAAAAGCAATGTACTATAGCAAGACATGTTGACTTAGAATTCTAAAAAAGTTTCGGTCACTAGGAAACGTTACTAATCGGCCAAAGTCAGGTCGTCCTAGAAAAACTACCCCTAAGCTGATAAGGGCATTAAAAGAATTTCGATAGCTGATCCGCATAAGTCATCCGCCCAAATTGATGCAGAAATTCGTCAATATTTCAACACAGACATAACGGCCTATACTGTGAGAAGACGTCTACGTGATGTTGGGGTGTTTGGAAGAGTTGCCGTCAAAAAAACGTGACTGTTTAAAAGAAATCAAAAGGCCAGACGTCAGTTTGCTCAGAGATATTTAAATTGGGGTGACTGGCCTACAGTGCTTTGGAATGACAAAAGCAAATTTAAAATATTTGGTGCTGATGGAAGATCGTTTTTAAGAAGACCTGTCGGGAAAAAAATTGATATTAAGTATCAAAAGCTTACAGTAAAGCATGGTGGTGGCAGTGTTATGATCTGGTGGTGTTTTTCTTCTTTTTTCTTAATGAAAATATTCTTTCTATACTTTTGTCCAAGGGTTTTTTATTTATCATATCATAGACTTGGTTTTATTTTGTCTTTTCATTTATTTTTAAAATGTTACTGAGTTGTTTATTTTATAGTATGTAATTAATTATTAACAAATATTAAGAGTATAACCAGAAAACAAATCTTTCCATACTTTTGTCCATGACTGTATGTATACCCGTGGCATAATGTACACTCAGGATGAAATAAAAAGTATGTAGTAGTATAAAGAATACGCTAGACAATACATAGGTTTTAAGAAACCTTTCATAAACGCCGTGAACAAAATATATGATCGATTACCTAAATATGTAATAATATTATGCCTTTTTGGTTTTTTCTTTTCTTTCTTTTGGCATTTTGAAGCATGGACGCCCATATAGCAAAATTCAAGGGGGGCACATTGGTGGACCCAGCAGGATTTCCATCTAGGTGCCGGCGATTGAAAATTCGGTGCTCTTTTACTTAATAAAGAAACCTTGAATTCCTATAGCATAAACGGGTCGATGGATTTGGACATATGATGTGTCTATAGATTGATTTGTCTTGGCAGTGCGAGTGAGCCTGGGTATAATAAAGTTTTATGAAATCAAAATGGCAGATTTCATTAAAATATTGTAACCATGAAATTCCTATTTTACAGCTACAGCTTAAACAGCTTTATGGATTATGACATACAAGGTGTTTCTAGATATGTCTTAGTAGTGCGACTACTGTGTATTCAGTAGCGGGCAAAACTTTGGAAACAAATATTAACATTATTACTATTTACTATTACTAATACAAGGTTTATCGTGTCAGTATTCAAATTCCCTGAAAATAAAAACACGCGTTTTTTTAAATACCTCAGTTTTGCTGTATTTATTCGTTCTGCGATACTCTGATGTTGCGTGGGGTAAATATTAACATCAGTGAGAAAGGAAAAAGTAAAAGAATTTTCAAAAGATTTAAGAGACAAAGTAATTGAATTATTTAGAAGTGGTGTCAGAAATTTTGACATTTCTCAAAGGTTAAAAATGAACAAAGGGACGATTTAGAAAATTATTAGTGAATATCAAGAGTACGGATCAACAGCAACACGGCCCAGGTGCGGAAGACAGGAAAAAAATGATTATGTTTTGGATCGCTACATTAAACGTTTATCCCATGAAGATCCTCGAATGCCAGTCACACAGATTTTCAAAAGAATCGTAGAAGAGGGTGCCGAGAATCTTTGTCAGAATAGTGCAGAGACGCTTGGTAGATTTTGGGCTTTTTGGATAAAAAAAATCGTATTGCTCGGCTTGAATTTGCTAAAACTCATCTAACTTGGACATAACAACAATGGAATACAGTTTTATGGAGCGATGAAAGCAAAATTAACTTGTTTGGATCTGACGGTACGGCATATGTGAGACGTCCAATACAAAAAAGATTCGACAAAAAGTATCAGTCGCCAAAATTTAAGCGCGGTGGAGGCAATATCATGGTCTGGGGCTGCTCTGGCACGGGTCTGATTGTTAAAATTGTTGGGAAAATGGATAAAAAATATACAAACATATTCTTAGTGAAGAAGAAATGCCTTTACGATGGACATTCCAGCAAGATAATGATCCCAAGCAAACCCTAAAATTCGTAAACGACTGGTTAGGACTAAAAAATGTTAATGTTCTTACATGGCCTTCGCAATCCCCGGACCTAAACCCTATAGAACATCTCTGCGAGTATGCTAAAAGACAACCGACAAAAAACATTTAAAGACAGGAGCGATTTATTTGATTATGTAAAAATATTTGGCAAAATATCCCAACAGACGTCTCTCGAAAATTAGTCTCTTCTATAAGCAGCAGATGTCAGGCAGTGTTGAATGCTAAAGGCTACCAAATATTAGCTAAACAGTATTTTTTAAATATTTTTGTAGAGTCATTGTATTTAGATTTATAATGAAAAATATGTTTCCATACTTTTGTCGTCTCATTTTCGGTCATAAAATAATATGAAGGTATTTTAATGCTAGTCTGTAGTACCACAGCAAACGCAAATTGTTATTTGTATCGTCAAGACTGTAAGCAAACTATATGAGAAAAAAAGTCCTCAATAATAAAGAATAAAATAATAGCACACTTTTTAAAAATTACTAGGAATGTTTCCAAACTTTTGTCCGCTACTGTACTAAAATTTTGTCAATTCTTCTATTTCTGCTCCTGTTCCTTTATTGCCGACATGCCTATGATTGTTCTTTGTTTTTCATCTTTAGAAGTTTGCGCAAAACTACATGTCTTTCTTTATAGAACATAAATGGCTGGTTTCAAACAAAAACTTCAACTTTCTATTTTGCGGACTACAGCCCAAACAGCTTGACGGATCTTAACATTTCAGGTGTCCTTAGATTCGTCTTGATACCAAAATTAATTCATCATTATTTTCAGTTACTGCAGTTGGATTGTTTGAAAAAAAACACACCGTCGCTTAAGAATGGGTACCCTGCTAGGTATATTTTACTTCGCAAGGAGGGGGCATAGGCCGCCTCTGATAGGCGCCCATGTTTTAAAGATAAATTATAAAGTTATACCATAATGAAGTCCTTAGTACATAAAGCTCGCTGTGGTTTGAATAAAAAATTGTGGCTACGCTTCAGGCATCAGGCAGCACTATGGATACTTCAATCAGTGGAGATATATAATGAGCCATTCGTTGTTTAACTTAAAAAATATGAGCATCACATTAAAGGTAACAGTGAACACGAATCAAAAAGCTGGGCTCAATCAACCTGCGGATATTGTCAAAGCCTATATCTCCATTTGTGTTTGAAATTATATACAAAACATATTGCACAACACCTCCACAATTCCACGGATATAAAATATTTTTGGAGGCAACTTTTACGACAAACACAAATGATTATCAATAGCTAAGTCTTATAAATTCAATATACAATTATTTGCAAATACATACAAATATAAAGCAAAATGAGATAAATTACTTAAAAATAACCAACAAAACAAAAATAAGGCTCATTATATGTCAATCCGCGGTCGATATTGCAAGGTTAGCGGTGGATTCTGAAATCTCCATCTTGTCACATAAACGAATTTTAGTGTATGGTCCTTTCCTAGCAACTCTTCATTACACAGTATATCAATCTATGAAAAAAGAGAATGAAGAATTACGCAATAGTCGAAGATACATTTTTGCAAATCGTCGGGCATACAGTGATGAAATTGGATTGTATCTCGAACGGATTTAAATATTTCGATAAATTTGTGACAGGGCAGCAGATGATTTAACTGGAACTTTACAACAACAACCTGTGATAATACAATACTTTCAATACATAAAAGATTTAATTAGGATACTCACATCTCTATACTTCTCCATTCCATTCAAAACCTTTTTGGCTACAAACTTCTTCAAATGGAGTATAGTCGCTTGTGCAGAGCATCTAATAAATCTCCTCTTCAGTGTTTTCAAATTTGAACTAATACACTCCAAACATACATTCACTTGCTCATCTTGTCTATGGTAATCACTTTCAACATGGGAATTATCAACATGATTATCGTCCCCGTTCAGATCACCATTCGTCAACGGAATATCCTTGGGGTTTAGCAAACCTCTTTGGTGGTAGAATTGCCTTTCTCTATTCAGTTCGTCTACAAAAGCCAAGAGTTCTCATGTTTTTATACTTATACAAATAGGTCCGGAAATTCATGATATCTAAATATAAATTCTAGCGAGGATAGCGTTTTAGGATCAAAATGAATGAGTGTGTGGTTTGACTTATTATAAAGGGTAAATCAAAATTATATTTCATTACTCCTACTTTGAGTCAATGTGGTGTGAATCCAGTTGCCAATCAGAGTGCAATGCTTTTTATTATCAAGAACCACGTTTTTTGTATAATCTGTTTTTTATGCACATCAATATATACAGTGGTACAGAAGTTTTAGAGGTAAATGGACATTTTCACTACTTTTTTTAATTCCCGTACGAATTCAAAAAGGTTTTCACTAAATTGAGCAGAATTCTATGCCTTTTTGCGTTAGGTTCACAATTTTTAAATCCTCATTGATTCCGTTTATCTACAGTGGCGAAGAAAATTAAAACTTTTGACTTAATTGAAGAACCCGCTGTATAATAATTTCACGCTCTACCATTTTGAAATACAGTGTCAAAGCAAACAACCATATCTCCCTAATCCTTTAATTTTGTGTTTCTGAAAATTCTAGCGAGCGATTCAGATGCAAAAATACATGGAAAAATATAATGAGACTCCCAGCACATTTTTTGTGGACCTGTGCATAGTGAAACTTGTTCGACGACCCCCAATTTTTACTTCAGATTCGTGATCAGTGTTGTGGGCCTCTGTGATTAACCATTAAATCAGTCTGTCTATCGTCACTAAAAAATATAAACCGGGCTTGTTCTTAAAAAATATCAGCATTGAGAAAACGACATATATTTTGAAAAAGCCAGAGGCGTGAAATTTTTCGCTAAGCATAAAGCTTAAACAGCGCATGTTATGAAAATAGAAAATTTCCCGAACAATGTTTATATAAACTTTTTTAGAATATAAATTATATTTTCACAAAAACATTATAGAACACTCTGTATGAAAATTGTCATAGACAAATATAGCTTTTGCAACACATCCTCTGTTTCTTGTCACAATCTTTTTTGGGGGTGAACTACAAATCAAGCTCTCTCATTTCTACCAGTCACAATTGTAAAATCAGGTAAGTTAATCTTCCAATAAATCAAAATGATATGACATCAGATGTACAGTAATGGACAAAAGTATATAGACAAATATGAATATTTGATAGCAAGTGGCTATAACCGGCCGCGTGGTTGTGGTTAGATGCCGCCTTGAAAATTCGAGGTCTTCTAGCCATTTTATACTACAATGTGAACGTTGACCCTTGTTGACAGGTTACACCCGTATCCGGATGTGTGGGCATGTGTATCTACTTTTGTAGTTTCATATGAGCACTTATTTCGGGCCTGATGAAGCCAACTAGCAGAAATACGTATCGCTCGGTTTACCTATCCTATTTTCTGCTTGAATCCACTTTCCTCCTTTGCTTTTTCGGGATTTGGCCGATTGTTTTTCTACTTTTTGTTATATACCTTTCTCCGCATGATCATTTTCTCTTTGTAGATCCTTTGGGCTTGAAGTATCACAGCAAGTGCCTATATCCGGCCGCGTGGTTGTGGTTAGATGTCTCCTTGAAAATTCGAGGTCTTCTAGCCATTTTATTCTACAATGTGAAGGTTGGCTCTTGTTGTGGACTTCGTGTGTGAATTTTTTCCCTTTCCATCTTCGTTTCCTCAGGTTACACCCGTATCCGGATGTATGGGCATGTGTGTCTACTTTTGTAGTTACATATGTGCATTCATTTCGGGTCCGATGAAGCCAACCAGCAGAAATACGTATCGCTCGGGTTACCTATCCTATTTTCTGCTCGAATACACTTTCCTTCTTTTAGCGGATTTTACCCATTATTTTCCAATTTTTTGTTATATACCTTTCTCCGCATGATCATTTTCTCTTTATATATATTCCTCGTACCCCAATGGAAAAGATATGCGATTCCAATTGTTTGTGCAGGATGTCGAGATACATCAGATATCAAAAATTTAGTCATTAACAGAAATCACTCTTCTAGATAGAACAGATAGCTGAGTAAATCCGACACTCCATTACAACGACTTGGACAGCCTATATCTTGGGATACGTTGAGTTTTGGGGCCTGTGCTCATTGAGGCATTTGTTCAGGTTGCCGAGATACATAACATATGAAAAAAGTCAGCGAAATTGACCGAAACCATCCTTCAACTTAAATTAGATAATGAGTAGAACTGTAACGTCATTACACAGACTTGGATGGCCTATATCTTGAGGCAATTGTATTTTGGGGCCTCCGCCTATTTGTGAAGGACATCGAGACACATAACATAAAAAATTCAGCGAAATTAACAGAAGCGACTTCGTAGGCGTGTTTCCGGGTCCTTTAGTTAGGAATACGTCCCTGTAATTTCGGCCTATAATTAAGTAACACCTATATATGTTACTGATTGCTTTAAAACTTACTTGACATTTTCTTTACTTTGAACTGAAACGAATTAATATGTGTTTACCGATTATCAATATTAAGCATGACTACTACTTGCGGAGATAAGACAGCTAAAATGCACCAATGCGCTGACGTGACAAAAAATGGCTACATTGACTGCCTATAGGGGTCTCAATAATTGCAAATTACAGATACCATCTGTAAGATAGCTGCAAATAAAAGCTACAGCTGATTTTGACAGTTGGCGTGACGTTATATATTTATGCAGTTCAAGAGTATGAAGTGCAATAGAAATAAACCCAAGAAAAGTTCTAATATGAGCTGTAGCTCTGCACAAAGTACCATGCACCTTTCAACAGAAGATCTGTGGAAGATGAAAGTACGCATGAAGTTTTGGAAACTGTCTCCTGTGGCTAAAAGTGAACGAAACTCGGTACTCTTTAATTTACTATGCTGTGTTCAAACATGGTCATAAAATAATTCCGAGTTATTAGAAATAGAAAAATGGATCTTATAGTGCCACCCATCAGTCACAGCGAAAGGCAACATATTTATGATCCAAAGAAACGGGTTTTTATCATAATTGCAGGTAAACCAGTGTGAAATCTAATTCAGACCTTCAACTTCACATTACGAAATACCATTTTCTTTCCCAGTACCTGCAAAGGAAGAAACACGAAACACTAGGATCATTTGGGGCGCAATTTCGAATTTGATTCTTTTTGGGTCTATCCATAAATCTCACCCAGAAACTCACATCAGTTTAGTGATCTACGCACACGATTTACTTTTTACGAGAGCTGCAGGAAATTTTTGAAATCAAAAAATTTCCATTTTTGGCACCCAAGTGAAGGAAACGGCTGACACTAAGATAATGTGGGACGCTTATTTCGAATATGGTATCCTAAAGGGTCGCAAAGCCCTATTTAGAGTAGAGAAATGGGCCTCCATGGGTCCATTTAAAAATCTCAACCAGAAACTGACATCGGTTCAGAGATCTACGCCCACGATTTACCCAAAAATAATGGTTTCTAAGAGATTGTAGATCTGACATATTTTTGACTTTCTGTGACACATTGCTAATAACTTTTCCTTTGTCAAAAACAATTTTTTTAAATCTCTGATAATCAGTATTTTGGAAATGATGCTTTCAAGGAAACCTATTTACATGTAACTTTTCCACATGAATGTGATTCAGGAATACACCTTTATAATTACAGTAATGGACAAAAGTATATAGACAAATTAATATTGTGCTGTATTTCTTTTTTAACTTGTATTATTGATACACCAACCTGTATACATAATTCGTTATAGCATAATACTCACTTATACATAAATAAATTTATTAGACTCCCTTCAATAAAAAATTAATTGAAAAAAACTGGAACTATGAAGGACAAAAATATATAGACCAATGCTTTTCAACATTAGTTTAGTACAGTTTCGTGTCAGAAGAGGATTAGTTTGTGTTTTTCAAGTATTGTGGAATAAGTTGAGTGATTTTAAGACCATGCCGCGTGGTCCAGAAATTTCTTTCAATGTGAAAACTACGATCACTGAGTCAACGACAAGTCGACATCGCCAAAAATTTGAAGCTGAAGCGTAAAGCAGTTTGGGTACTGTCAATATTTTGAACAAATATAAAAAAATTGATTTTGGAAGACTCTAAGAGAAGAGGTCGGCCTAGAAAACTAAATGCTAGATCAGTTAGATTAATAAAAGTAATTTCGTCCAAAGATCCGTTTAAAATCCCAAGACAAATAAAAGCCGAAATCGAGACAAAAGGAATTGTCAGTGTTTTTACAAAAACTATAAGTAGAAGATTAAATGATTTGAAGTTATTTGCACGTCGTCCGAGTAAGAAGCCGCTAATCTCGAGGTAAAACCGTAAGGACCAATTACAATTTGCACGGTTGCATCTTGATTGGAGCATCTGTGACTGGAAGAGGGTATGTTTCAGTGACGAATCCAATATGTTTGGATCAGATGGTGTTCATTATGTTAGACCTCCTAGTGGACAAAGATTGAACCACAAGTACACTTTGCCCACTGTCAAACATGGAGGCGGGTCTGTAATGGTTTGGGGGTGCTTTTCGGGGTTTGGGATGGGACCTTTACATAGAATAGATGGCATTATGGATAAGTTTGTATACACAGACATACTAAAGCACGTCATGTTACCCTATATGGAAGATAATATGCCCTTATGATCAATCTTCCAGCAAGATAATGACCCGAAGCACACTTCAAATCTCACAAAGAAATTCTTTCTGGATGAAAAAATACCAGTTCTCAAATGGCCTTCACAGTCTTCCCCCCATTGAAAATCTATGGGAATACTTAGATAAGCAAATACGAGATAAAAATTATTCAAACAAGGATGAACTTTTTGCCACTTTAGAGCATAAGTGGAGACAGATTGATGAATCTTATATCAAGAAACTTCTACAATCTATGCGGAGACGATGCCAGGTGGTGATTGATAATAATGGTTATGCTACAAAAAATTAACACAACATGGTTGGTTTTCTATAATTGAATGAACTTTGCTTCTTTTTTCTATAATTGTTTTGCTTTGTCAATATATCTTTGTCCTTCATAGTTCCAGTTTTTTCAATTAATTTTTTATTGAAGGGAGTCTAATGAATTTATTTATGTATAACTGAGTATTACACTATAATGAATTATGTGTACAGGCTGGTGTATTAATAAAACAAGTTAGAAAAGAAATACAGCACAATATTAATTTGTCTATATACTTTTGTCCATTACTGTACATCCTATAATAGAGTAGCACCCTGTATTTGGAGTAGGGCTGATGGGTCTTTAGCCTCCCATTGTTTCAGCCCAAAGAATGATATCTGCAACCAAGAATTTTCTGAAGATTTTATTTAACATAACAGCCATGAGGCACTAATTTTGATGAGCAGAATGTATCAGGCATTCTAGCATTTGAAAAAAGTCAAGCTTCTAAATTAAAGCAAGGAGGGTGATGAAAAGAACCACAAGATGCATCTCAGGTATGTTTTAAATAATTTTCATAAATATGCTTAGTACATGAAAAAACTGCATTCTGAAATCATAGCTGCACCTTTCAAGCAATACCACACCATTGAATAAACGCCAGTGTATATCTTAATTATGTGTCCTCTAAGCGAAACGCCTAGGGTTCTTAGAATCAAGATCAACTAATGGCTTGAGCTATGGCCTATTAAAATGTGATTTTATATATGCCTGCAAGCTTTTTTCCACCTTGATATATAGATCTGGAACAAAGTGGTTCATTTTAAAGCAAAACTTACTTTTCTGCAAGTCAGGCACTAGCTTGTACACAATATCTTGCATAGTTCTATCAAAACTGATGTATTGCAAGGGATGAGACTGATGTATCACAATATTACATGTTGGACAGGTATTGTTCTCTTCTAAATGCTTCACCAGACAGCTTTTACAAACTAAAAACATAATAAAATGTTAGGGCTCCTTGTATAAACAAAGATTATCTCATTTTAGCTGGTCTCTGTACTTACAAGTGTGTAAGCATTCTGTAACAGTCGTCGCATCGATTAGATACCCTTTACATATTTTACAAGTTATATGGTTATTTAAAGTTTTTAACTTGATTTTCCTTTCCATTATCATAATTCAAAAGAAACCATAACTTTTTAAAATTTAATTCTAACCCTAATTGACACACAAACAAAAAAGTTTCGGCTGAAAAACGACATAAAACAGCATAATTGGCACGCGACCACGAAACACCAACAGAGAAAATACGGAATGACATATGTCAAAAATTCTAGAAAGGTTTCTAATGTCCTTTAGCCAAGTTTGTGTAGCAGAGTACTTAAAAATATCTATACACTCTGTAATTTGAAGCACAACAGGTTAAAAAAATATTGTACTATTTTTGTATTTCTGCGACTCATTTTGGTCTAAGAATCATTAACAAAATTAAACTTTGACGGTTAATTGGTATATAAAATCGATTCTATCAAAACTCTTTTATTACTTGTCACAATGCGTCTTTTCGCTGTAGTTTGTCATAGTGATTCTATAATGGACTCTTGCTAACCGCATCAATCGCTAAACATAAATAAATCATTGGCATTTTAAAAAAATATATTTATAAAAATACATATAATAAAAAGAAAATTAATGAGCCGGCAATCAGTTACTCAAGACACAGCTTGACTGGTTGCCTGGACTCTTGCATCAGTACTTACCTTCAAGCTAGGTAGGTGGACATCCATCTTTGGTGTCTAAACGATGGCCAATGAGTAATAATATCGTATTTAGACTTTAGACTTTCGTAATTTTGGTATAATATTTGTATGCTGTGGCTCCAACATACTCAAGGTGTTTCATCTTAGCAGGTCAGTAGTTCAAAAAACCATGAAGGTATTTCAAAATGTAAAATACTTCTTAGCGGCAGTAGGAAAACGTGAATCGATATTTTACCATTTTCATTATATTGTACGTGAGGTCACAAATATCTTACTGATAATTGCATACTGGTGGAAATATATATTCCATCAAATCAGTTTAGTAAATTCTGATGGCGCCTAGTCGTCATAAATACAGAAAAATCCAAATATAACAGACGAGGTAGATAATGGGTACGACAGAGAAGAGGCGAGAAGCGTGCAATACGTATGTTAGAGAGACTGCGCCGTGGCCTCGTCACTCGAGTTGCTGGGCAACGTGGTGCTTCTATCTCCTTCTAACATACCTATTGCACTCTTCTCGCGCTTCTCTGTCATACATATTATGACGTCAGTGGTATACGGATTTCTCTGTATATGATCCGAAATAATATTTTTAACAATACCACGAGAATTTCAATACAGTTAGAAACAGGTGAAATTATCCTGGCGCAGCATTATGTATGATGGCAAATTGACATGAGAATGAATTTCAAAGATTGAGAGTCAGCTAGAATGGCTTGCTGGTGATGTTTTTCAATATAACCATGATACACAGTTATTCAAATCTATTTTTTCGATAAACTGGACTTCTACCTACTTGATTCAATGGGCAAAGGAGGTAACATATTTGAAATTGTTTTCTTCATTTTAAAAGGAAAAACTCTACACAAATAACTTCCAAAAAAGTAAATTTCCGATATACATTTTGTGACAAATACTAGATTTACTATTTCGTAATAAGTATACACATCGCAAGTTTAAGTGAAAAATTAGAGGTGAGAGATGTTAAAAATAATATTCTACAATTATAATACAGAAAAAAGTATAACATTTTTTTAAATAATCGTTGATCAATATTACAGCGTCTGGCTAGTTTTTTAGAAATTTGTAAAAACGCCTAAGTTAAAATACAAAATTAGAGATCCTCCAAACTGAAGGTGGTCTGTACGTATATATTTATAAGGAAAATATTCGCGTAAGAGAAACTGATTAAATGTAGGTACCTGACTTTGAAATTTTTTATTAAATATAAAAGATAAAAATATTACATAAAGTAGGTATTTTTTTTGGGACTAGGACATTGTCCCATTAGCCAGATCTAGTCTGTATATATACATAAATATTCGTATTATAGTATAAAATGGCTAGAAGACCTCGATGTGTAGGTTGGCTCTTGTTGTGGACTTCGTGTGTGTGTTTTTTTCCTCTACATATTCGTTTCCTCAGGTTACACCCGTATCCGGATGTATGGGCAATGTGTATCTACTTTTGTAGTTGCATATGTGCATTCATTTCGGGCCTGATGAAGCCAACCAGCAGAAATACGTATCGCTCGGGTTACCTATCCTATTTTCTGCTTGAATCCACTTTCCTCCTTTTTGCGGAGTTTGCCCATTATATTCCTACTTTATATATATATATGTATATTTGCCCTTAAAACTTGGTAGAGAAATATTTTCAACAGACGCTTCTCTGGATACACGTGCGTCGCGGTCTGGCCGATGGATAGGATATGTCTTGTAGTCCGTAGTGGTTGCCGTACTGCCGTGGAAGGCTAGTGGCGAGGTAAGTCACAGCAAGGTTCATGGGCGCCCACATGGGGGGAAGCATTTACTGACAAGAGATAAGCTTTTTTGAGAATATGCCTGCTTGCAGAACATTTTGAAAGGAGGGAGAAGATAGCAAATGTTCTCCTGAAGTTATGTAAATTTTAATTGTTTGAGTTGTTGAGCTTTCCATTTAATATTTTGTTATATACGTGTATGTCCATAGCCAGCCAGCCTTTCTTCTCAGAGGGGCTGACTAAACATGTATTTCCATCATCGGTAGCTACGTGCGAGCCAAACTCTGTACATTCGGGTAATTTGAGGCCCAGCATTTGAATATCATCGTGATAAGATTCTGGTGTTGAGGGCCGAATTTCAGGTAAAAGAAATGGTAAAAACCTAGTTGCCCGAAGCTGCGAATGCTATTACTAAGTTGATATTGGACAAACGACAATTTTTAAAATTTATTAATTGGTTTTGTTTTAATAAATAGTATCACTGCCGGTATCTAGGAAACGCGGCATTTCTGGATTGAATGGATTTGGTCTACGCGACCCAAAAAATGTATTATACACAGAGCCATTTTTGACCCTTTTTGTAACGCACCAACACGGCCACTAAAAATTGAAATGCTTTAAATGCGGTTCAAATAGTCGCTATCGTACGTATTTTGGTTCACCAAAATTGAATCTCAAGTCATTCAGAATGTATCTGATTTGGTTTATTATGTACATCCTATTTTTTAGAGGCAAAATGCTGCTCGACTTTTGCGACTCTGAAATGCTCAAAATCCATTTTTATTATCGAATTTAGGTAATTTCAGGCACAATTTCCATATCATCACGAAAAAATTCTGTCGGTAACATAGTTTGGTACTCAAAAGAATGAAAAAATGAGAGACCTTCTTGAGGTATTACCTAATCCGATTTCGATCTCACGCATGAAAATATAATAAACGTTATTAATATTGTTGTTCGTTCGAGAGACACCTTGATTAAAAGTCCCTTTGAATAATTAGCGAACGAAGTGTTATAAAACAATATATATCGAGTCGAGTGTAGAATGAAAACGGATTCAGTCAGTATCGTGCGGTGATTGAAAATGAATACGCCCCCCTATTGAGCAGTCTCGCTAGCCCCCTGTTGTAAGTCAGAAAGTTAAAGTCCTATACAAAGATATATGGACCAGTATGGGGCACAATTAGGTAATACTGAAAATCTTACTGTATAAATATAATAAGTAATTTTGTTTCATCTTCTGTAAATGTATTTGAAACATTCCTCATGCAAGATTCTAAATTTTTCGTACAAGCTCTAGTTTCGTTTACGTCAAAGTCACGTTTTGAGAGGTCAGGCTAACTAGAAAAAATGGACCCTGTTGTAAAAGAAATTGCTTAGATGGATTTTACAAAGGAATTATGTACATTGTTGAGTGCCTCTCATCTAGAGTCACAAGAAATTTTGCTACCTAACTTTTTCATATACGTCATATTTCATATGTCTACTTTACTGCAGCCGTTAATTTGTTATTTCAAAAGTCGCAAACCTTTCAATTTATTTTTCATAGAAATGTCCATAACACTACCCAGTGGATATAGTACGTCATGTCGGTATTTTTAGGATACTACTGACGTATGCCGACCAACAAAAATGACGTAACTGTCTTATGCCACATCCAATTGACGTCAAAAATGTGTACGCTCAAAATAAAACCATTATTTTGGTAGAGAATAAACTAACGCATACTTTCAACATACATCTTAATTCAAGGAACTGGTGTAAGATATTGGCAACGCGTCAGATCGCCGCGTGAGCGTTGCTAGACAACGCGGTTATGAGTTTTGCTATGCAGCCAGTGTCTATCTCTTTCTAACATAGGTGTCTATACACACTTCTCTCTCGTACACATTGAACTCAAGACAAATATGGTTCTCAGTGTATGTGGTTTGATTCGGCCAGACAATGGAGTCTTATAAATGTGATTCTTCCAACGTTGAAGCTTAATAAAAAAGCCACCCAGCAAAACTTTTTTGTAACTCGAGATGAGGGCTTTTTCATTTCAAGGATAGTATGATTTCGTTGTGAAATCCATCCATACATTTTTTCCTTAAACGCTAGATATTTGGTACTGTACCGTTAGAGATTTGAAGCGGAATGTGTTTAAAATATTGTGTACTAAAAAATTTAGTCACTATAGCCTATTCATAGTCCATTTACGCCCCTGCACAACAAAGATGCAGCGCGGCAAAGCGGCAGCCGCCTAAGCGTTGCACTAGCTATTGGTCATTCGGCCATAAAACTACGAACAAGTGCAGGATTCGACAGGATAGGACTCAGGCTCTGGGTCGCCGGCAGTTGCTGTTCATATTCGGTGCATACATAGCGTGTGTTTATATGTTAGCATGTCGTCTACAGATACAGCAGATGCAACTGACAATATTTTTCCCAATGTTTCCTATACCCATGCTTCCTCTTCAGTGATGTCTCCTCCCCGAAAACGTGACAAGAAGGGACATTTGAATATTCAGCCAAAAGATATTCTCCTTAACGTTTATAAGAGCGAAATTTTAGAGCATCCTGAAATGAAAATTCATGATATTGAAAGACGTGTGGCGAACAAAACAGGCTTATGTCCTAAGAAAATTTTCAACATTGTTAAAGAATATGAAAAAAAATGTCTCCACCACAAAAGAGTCTGCATTACACGAAGCTGTTGGATACAGTTGATAACTTTGATCGGAATGCCATTAGTCGCAAAGTCCATACATTTTTTGAAAGGCAGGAACTTCCCACCATAGACAGGAGGTTAATAGTGATGAAGACTTACCTACTTTCCAAAGGACCACATTCTAGAGTTTACTCAAAGAACTACATTTTGAGGATAAAAAAACAGACAGAAATAGTATTTCGATGGACAGCCAAGAGATTATTTTATGGCGAAGAAATTATTTAAAATCAATAAAGAAATACCCCGACCAGGGCAGGAAGATTTATCCCTTGGATGGGGCAAATGCAGGACATACAAAACCTAAAGTATGGGCTGACTCTACAATCAAACCAGCAAGACAAGCCTTCTTAGATGAACTAACCACTGGCCTAACGAATCCGTCAGGTACGTGTATCTAACCAATTCGTCATTTGTGTTGTAACAAGGGTGTCAAGTAGACTGAATCTATGAGCCCACGCTTTCAACTTAGCTACACTAAACTTAGCTATATCTGGTAGATGTGGAACCAACACCTGTTACATACTTTGCTTGTATTATTATTAGTTTTCTTGAGTACTATATGAAATAATTATTTCCAGGAAAAGGAAAACGATTTGTTATCTGTTACATTGGCGTGAACATGGCTTTGAGCCCACTGCCCTATGGGCATTTGAGTCAAAGAAAACGACCGAATACCATGAAGAAATGGATGGAGATCATTTGAACGATCTTTGAAGAAACGCTCCCAAAGCTTGACGACAATGCCGTCATTGTACTTGATAATGCTGCATACCACACTAGAAAACTAGAAAAAAATCTCACAATGTTCACAAGAAAGGCAGAAATTCAACAATGGCTTCTATCAAAAGACATTAGTTTCAATGGAAATATGGTCAAAGCAGAACTTATCCATTTAGTCAGGTAGCATAAATATAAATATAATCCTAATGTTATTGACGAAGTGGGTAATGACCAAAATATGACCGTTTTAGGGTTACCCCCTTATCACTGCGAATTAAATCTAATTGAAATGATTTGGGCAAATATAAAAAACCACACAGGCTTCAAACAATAGAATATTCAAATTTTTTGAAGTGAAAAATTTGTTTTATGAAGCTGGTAACAGAGTGACGACAAACCATTGGAAAGATTGCATCTGTCATGTTCAAGAGGCAATCGAAACAAAGATGTGGGATCTGGACAATATAGTATGATCGATATTCAAAGTGAACCTGTAATAATTGATATGAATCATTCGGACGATGATTCAAGTACTTCCAGCGAATAAAGAATTATGAAAAGTATGATCACTTCTTTCTATAAAAATAATCATTTATTTTGTTAGATTATCCCAAGACCATTGAGACAAATACGGTCCTGTACAATCTCGCTTTTGGGCATGTTTTGTTTGGGCGTAAATGGACTACGAATGGGGTATTTATATGATATATATATATATATATATATATATATATATATATATTCACTGAGTGGATTTTTGAGATTTGGAGTGGAATGTGTTT